AGGTCGACCTAAAACTTTCCACCAAGGTACAAGCCTTTTCCAAGGTTTCTGTTGGACTAATGTTACTTCATAACAGACTACGGAGAGCTTCAAAAGAGACAGACATAATATCAGTCTGACTGTCTGTTTAACTTGTGTCAGTCTAGTAATACAAACTTGTGTGTGAGAATGTCTGGGTGTCTATGCGAGGACGATTTTGTGTGCGAAAATGTGTATGTATTACATTGCATAAGTATGTCTGTGGTAAATCTATGTCTCAGCGCATTGGTCTTGGTGTGTTTATAATGATGCTTGAGCACTTCTTTATTAAACACACTTGACCTATTTAAAATGCCAGCCAGTTGAAGGCCTTCAGTTCTCGTATGTTTTGCTTTTGACCAGTTCAGACTTTTTGTAATTTCCAGTAACAGTGTTCCTGAAGATTTTGTAATTAATCAATACATACACTTTTTAATAAAATGTATAATAATTAAAAATATATAGCCATCAAAAGGCATACATATAAATCCTATAGTAGTGGCTTTTAAACAAGTAAACTGCCATTTTTCTTAAAAATAAATGTATATTTAGGTGACAAAACTTAAGAATGAATAAAAAAATATTTCCAACTACTGTAGGAATGAATTTAAAACAATGAGACCTTGCAAAAATGCTAGATGTATGAGATGTATATCAACAGTATGCGAAATACTGTATAGGAAGTAAAAAATTTAATTGTGATTTAAATGGTTTTGAGCATGACATTTGCTTAAGGTTATAGTGGGAAGTTCATACTTATGAGTTAGTCATAACAGCAGGATAAGTATTGACCAGTATTGGGCACGTTACTGTGAAAAAAACCTAATTAGTATAATTAATATGAACACTATTATATGAAATAAATTATTGTAAATGTTATCACTGCTTTAATGGAATGATAAAACAAAAAATAATGGATGGTTTAAAAAAATTTATATGCACAAACCACAACTGTCAACTAATTATGCTTCTTAAAAATATAACTAAAACAGACAGACAGATAGATGTTCATTCATGTTTTAATCTTGGTATAACATTCATTTATTTATTTATAACGCGCATTGCTTGTAATACTTCCAAAATGGTAAATTAGCCCATGTATTATTGTCAATATATTTTTTAAAGCTAATCTGTTATCAATAAATTAGCCTCCAACGTTTAAACCTGAAATCACTCTCAGTTTGAAAAGCAAAACAAGAAATTTTTGTATCTTATAGCAGCATATTTATAATGAAATTAATTTGAGCCAAATCTATCTGCGTATATATAAATGTCTGTATTGAAAATTAAAAGTTTATTTTAAAAAGATTCATGCTTCTCAAATGTCTATTTACAATCGTCACTTGAATACACACACACACGCATGTTGAAGGGGATTGTTCAGAGCGAGAAGGGGGAGGGGACAGGATGTATGTTTTTGCAAGTGCTTATCATATAATCCCACTGTAAAAAGGTGACTTGTTGACTTTACTTCAGTGAGTAAATTGAGTAAATCTGCCTTCAAATTGTTAATAAATGAACTATGCACATAATTATAATGTTTAGTCAGCTTAACAGTACTAGTTTACTCACTTTTTTTACTCTTCGTTTACAAGTAACCAATCACTTTTTTACGTTATACTTTCTATTACTTATTTTACTATTTTGTTTACTTATTTTACTATTGTTTTAACATTACTAGTTTTTATTATCTATCTATTTTCTATTAGCTGCAAACAAAAGTCTAAGTATGCATTTGAGAAAAAAAGTGACCATAGATAGACAGACAGATAGACAGACAGACAGACCGACCGACCGATCTATCGATCGATCGATAGATAGATAGATAGATGTTCATGTCTAATGTTCGTTCATGTTTTAATCTTGCTATAACTGTAGTAAACTGTAAATATATGGTCAAAAGTGACCATGAATATAAAGAAACCACCTGCTTGTCATAGCAGCTACTCTGAAGGGCACACAAGAAAGACAAAACACGAGCACCCAAATAAGTAATAGAAGTGACGTTGTATGGAAAGCCCCTGCTACGGCCTTAAATTACCAACTACGCACTCCATGGTTTAAAATAATGCAGATGTATTAGCACAAGAACCAGAACCCACGTTCACGTTTCTTAAGCACATTTTTGAGAGAGCATTCATACGCCCATTAAAGTCCAAATGGCAAAAGATAAATTGTGGTACTCATTTATCATCTTTATTGAATTTAAAAATTGTAGCTTATTAAGTGTGTCTTGCTTTTGATTTTTATTTAGTTTTACTTCAGGAGAGATAACAATGAGTGATGACCCAAGAAAACAAACTTCACCCCAAAATAAACATTTCCTCATCATTTACTCACACTCGGGTGGTTCTAAACTGAATCTCTTTCTTCTGTTAAAAGCAAAACAAGCCACTGACACCCATATTAGAAACAAAAAATACTATGAAAGTCAATGGCTGTTTTTCCCCAGCATTCTTTAGTTCAGTCAACAGTAAAAAAAATAAATAAAAATGCTGAGTTCCACACAACTCCTTCATATTGTCCCAAAGCAAACACATTAAGCCAAGGACCTGGGAGAGGACAGGGCCCTTGATTGAAATTAATTTGTGTCATGACGTGAAAAACGCCTTTTTGCATAACTGTGCATTCACACCGAAAGCAGCGAGAGCATCAAAGTCATTAGCTGGAAATCATTCATTTTAGGAGCCTGCGCGATATGTGGCGAGGAACGGCATGGTGCATCTTTACTGGTGTGGGCGTCGAGGAAAGTTGAAATCAAGTCAACTTTATGGTAATGAGCCATGATGTGGTTCGGCGGCAAGCAATCGAAAGAAAAGAGAGAAAGTCCACTGCTTGAGGGGACTCCAGAGAACACAGTCCTGTGAACTTTGGTTCCAACCACAGTTGTTTCCAAGGGTTTGATTATTGCGGTCGGCAGATTTCTAATTGTTTACGATGTTTACTTACAGGGATATACATTTAAAAAGGTTACTAGTGAGTTACTGATGTGCATTAATGTTATTAATGTGTATATATATATATATATATATATATATATATATATATATATATATATATATATATTTTTTTTTTTTTTTTTTTTTTCAAAAAAGCAGGAATCTCATGTTAACTATAAAGACTTCAGAAAATTTCAAACATGTGGACATATTGGATAGATGGAGCAAAGCCATTTTCCATAGTTAAATGAATTTGATAAAAATCGTGCAACATTTTTGCTCTAGAAAGCATGCTTTTATGTGGGAATGTAGCTTATTTTCTGAAATGCTGCAACGGCTCCTTTAATTACGAGATAAATGTTGTGAATTTTGATGCTCTCACCGCTGGAGTTGAAGATGGCAGACATCGTTGTTGCCAATGTGTCAAGAGCAAACTTTGACACTCTCGCCGCCTTCAGTGTGAACGCACAGTTACGCTTTCGCATGTCGATAATGTGAAGTATTCTTTTCGACTCGCTGCTGTTCAAAAACAGTGATGCCGCTAAACTATGGCTCGGAGTGGCTGTAGCTTAATCAGAGTTATAAATAGCCCTTTTTAGTCCTCAGTAAGGGTGACCAGATGTTCTGTTTTCCCCCAGGAAAGTCCCTTATTTCCCAGGACAGTTCCTTATTTTACCTCGAGAACGATCCAGTCAGAGGTAGGCTAACCAATCGCATCATAGAACAGAAAATAAATTTAAAACAGTATTGCAGTAAGAGAGCTTAGAATCATGGAGTCATGCAGAATGGACTCATAACTGTATAATAATCCGGAGCGATATAGACAGTATATCTGAGGGGAAAAAAAAACATGCTAACCTACTGTAATCAATTGATGCCAGACCAAATGGGAAATTAATTTAATTTAATTAATCTCAGCTAAAGTTTAAAGTAAAATTTTTTAAAGATAAAAAAAACTGTTTAAAGCATTTATTGTTAGGCACACATTTAGGAGGCATTGCAAATCTGTGTGTTTTTTGAAATATATACTGTATATATATAATTTTGGTAGCCTTTTTCAACATGGAAAAATTTAGTTATATAATAATACAAATTATTTCTCAGAGATGGGTTGTGGCTGGAAGAGCATCCACTGCGTAAAAACTTGCTGGATAAGTTGCTGGTTTATTCTGCTGTAGCGACCCCGGATTGATAAAGGGACTAAGCTGACAAAAAAAAATGAATAAATGAATGAATATTACAAATTTCCGAAATTAACAATATAAATAATATAAAAATAAACTACACTGTAAAACTCAAAAAGTTAAGGCAATCATTTGAGTAAACAGATTGCAAACTATTTAGGTTCAAAAACTAATCCTAATGAGTACTGTCAACTTAATCCATTTGAGTAAATGAAGCAATTTGAGCACAGTAAAACCCAGTAAATGAAGAGAACTCAAACCAACTGAGTACTGTAAAACCCAATAAGTTAGGGCAACTCAAACCGTTTGAAGAAACCGATTGCTACAAACCATTTGAGTTAAAAAAAAACTAATTTATATGAGTAACTTACTCTATTAAGTTGAATGAGGTATTTAATTAACTCATTACCTTGACTGTAAAAAATGCAGGGCTCCACACAATTCATTCATGCTGTCTCAACACAAATCGATTAAGTTTACTTAACACTTTTAACAAATTTATGTGGATTGAACATAAAAAAATGAAATGAATGAATAAAATCTCAAAAATAGTTTCAGCTCATTTTAATTAAGTAGTTTGAACAAGTAAAAAAATTTGTTTTTTGAGTGTTTAACACTGAGTTCAGCTCTTTTCAAATGAGTAGAATTAACTAATCGGTGAATTTTAAGTTAACTACACTCATTTCAGTTTAATAAAGTTGACGGTTGGGTTTTACAGTGTACTTTTTTAAGGTGCTAAAATAAATGGGGCCCTTGGGTTTACTATAGCCCCAGGGCCCAAAATGTGCTTTATCCGGCCCTGCATATCTTTACTGTAAAATATACACTAGTTTTCACAATGCAACATCAAAATACAGTAACATACCACATAACTGTCCTAGAGTAAAATACATAGTACATTCATTTCAGCTTTGTTTATAAGCTGTCCAGAAACAAACTGCAACCCATTTCTGGGTCATGACCCAAGCTGACTTAGAGATAACTCTAGAGATAATAAATCTTACCATTAGGGGCAAGCTATTCAACTCCAGGTTGGACCGAATGTGTGTAATGAGTGTAATAAATCACACTGGACAAAACTGCATGCCTCATGGTGCAGAGTGTAGTGCCTGAATGTGTGTGATCTTACTAAGTGTTTCTCGGGTACATGTGGGAAAAGTGAAAAATAGCACTTCTGAAAAGTCCAACAAATAGCACCAGAGTGCTACTAGCAGCACCGCGGACCAAGCTGAGAGAGACTGTTTAGAGGAACATGAGAGTGTTGGTGTTTTATAAGAGGCAAAGGGGGAGACGACTATGTTACGCATTTTTTTTTTTCGGGTGGTGTCAGAAAGCTCTGCAAAACCCACAGTCCTGTTTTGATCAAGAACCTAAAGTACGTGGGAGTCTGGAAAGGAGGAAGATAAATAGAGAAGGAGGGGGAGAAAGAGAGTTTAAAGAAGACTGCTGGTAGGAGAGAGTGAATATAACCACCCACCTATGCCGCTGTCAGACTGGTGGTCAAAAAAGCAGACACTTCCAGACACTCGCAGAAAACAAGCAGTGACAAAAGTGAAAGAGAGAGTGTAAGAGCTCCCAGGACAGAGGGAGAGTTTGACTGAGACACAGAACAGAGTGAAAACTTAAGTCCAAAGAAGCAGGATACACAGCAGGGATAGAGACAGCCTCAGGACCAGACGAGTGAATGGATACCTTTTGCAGTCTAAGTGGACTTGACCCTCTATGGGTGAGCAAACATTTCATTTTAATGTTTCATTAAATGTTAATGTTTCATTTTAAGTTTTTGAATAAATATAGAATTTTATGTATACTTTGAATAGGTCATTTCTATATGTGTAAAGAGTTATTTATTTATGCTTGATGTTATGCTTGATTTTACTGATGAATCTTTATAATATGCCAAGAACTAGAAAGTGTGTGTCTGTATATATATATATATATATATATATATATATATATATATATATATATATATATATATATATATATATATATATATATATTGCACACTGTAAAAATGTTAAGAAAACATGAAGGAATTAAGTTTCCTTATTAGTTTTAACAAATTTTAGTGGGTTGAGCATAAAACAATTAGGTTGTCCCCCCAAAAAGTCAAGAATTGGGTTGTTTCGGCTCATTTTAAATAAGTAGTTTGAACAAAATGCAAATGTAATTTTTTGAGTGCAGTACTGCGTTATATTATGACTTTTAAGTTTTAATATTGAATAAATGTGTTGCATTGTGTGTTTAAAATGTGATTTCTTTTACATAAACAAGCTAGCAAATGGCAGTGCTTAATGTAAATTTAAAGAGATAGTTCTCCCAGAAAAAAAAGACCCTTAAAAAATTACTTTTACTACACTGTAATAAACTATTAAGTGAATTAATTATGTGCATAATTATAAATTTTAAGTTAAGTGAACTTAACAGCTCTAAGTTAAAACAGAAATTGGTTTACTCACTTTTTTTATTAGTCGCTTTTTACAGTGTACTTGTTCAAACTACTTATTATTTAATTTGAGTTAAACCGACTCAACTCTTACATTTTTTTTGATAACTTAATTATTTTAAGTTTAAACCACTTAAATTTGTAAAAAAAAAAAAAATTTATACATTTTTGTTGGGACACTATGAAGAACACTCAAGAAATATTTTTGCTGGTTGTTCAAACTACTTATTTAAAATGAGCTCAGTCAACACAATTCTTGAAGGTTTTTTTTTTGGGACAACTTAATTGTTTTTTTTTTGTTCAATCTATTTAAATTTATAAAAACAATTAAGTTAACTTATTCAATTTGTTTTGGGACGACATGAAGAAATTGTGTTGAACCCAGCATTGTTTACAGTGACTCATACTTCTCTTTGAGTTCCTTTCTACCATTGAACACAAAAGAAGATATTTCGAAACCTTCTTGGAGCTGGCCCCCATTGACTTATTATAAGTCAAATAATTGTATTCCCACGATGGACTTCAGTGTGTACCAACAACCAGCTTTCTTTATCTATCTCCTTTTGTGTTAAACAGAATCAAGAAGCTCCTAAAGGTGTAATACCAAACATAGGATGAGTAAATTATGGGTGCACTATCCCTTTAACTTGGAATTACTTTCAGATCTGTTCCTTTAATTAATTTAGTTAAAATTCATGACTTAGTCTCAATAATTTCTCATCCAATAATCGAAAGAGGAAAGCCAGTAATGAGATTGAGCTCGATAAACAAAAACAAGACCAAAACAGTAAACAAAACTTGAGATGTTGAAAAATCAAATCTAATTTTAGATGTTCTGGAGCATTCATATCATATCTGGTTTTGGTGTGGACAGGGTTTGGACTGAGCCATTGTTGATCCCGTGAAAGAATGAAAACGGTCAATTATCATAGAACTGGTTGAGAAGCTAAGCACACCCTTTTCTTTATCTTTAGGACTGGAATCAGACGTGGTACACGCATAGGCCTGAACTGAGCAACTGCTTCCAGAACACAGTCCTTGTGTGGGCTCCGTGCATCTACCTGTGGGTCCTTTCTCCATTTTACTGCCTCCATCTCTACTGCCATGGCCGAGGTCGGCTGCCGCTTTCTTCGCTCTGCAATGCAAAGCTGGTGAGACAAAGCGTTATGAGTTTTTAATATTACATCAGCCTGTTCAATACTCAAAGAATCAGCTTTGTGGACTATAAATCTCAAACCATAGTGTTAACACAAAGTGAACGTGAAAGTGGTCGACTGAGGGGTCGAGTTCAAACTTTAGTGGCCTAGGAAGACAGTAAAAGCAAGTGTGATGTGTGTAACCTCAGTTTGTGGTACATGTGCGTGTGTGGTTAGCACTTTAGTGAGCTCTGATGTCACTTTTCACTCTTCCGCTCTAAAACTCTTTTGTTTGAAATACCGTTGTTCCTCGGTTTGTTAAGGGTTTCGCAGATTCCTCTCCGGTGTTATCACAATGCAAATCGCACCTTGTCTCTACAGTCATTGAGTACTGGAGCTTCCGGAGGAGTGACTCAGTTCTCACCCTGATATGAATTGCATTTCTCTCTTCTGTTCTACAGTTGTTGGGGTTCTTCTTGGCGTCGTTTGGATTCGTGGAATTCTTCTACATCCTGTTGGAAAGAAGACTAGAAATACACCAACACCTTGTCTTCTTGCTCAGTCCCATCATGCGCAGTCTCACTGTGGTAATGTAGCATCTTGATGTCATATTTGAGGGGATTATGTAACAGTATACAGACAGATATTAGTGTAAACACATGTACCGGACAGTTTGTTAAAGTAAAAGTGCCCCAATCTGTTGGATTCGTCAAATGAAAGTAAACAATTCTAGGTTTTCAGTCAGATACCTATTTTAAAGGGATGGTTCACCCTAAAATGAAAATTTACTCACTGTTTACTCGCTTTCACATGATTCCAAATCTTTTTTTCATTATTTTATTTGGTTAAAAACAAGGGAAGGGAGAGTAAATAATGGAAGAAGTTTCAGTTTTGGATGAACTATCCATTTAACGCGGTGAGGAAAATTTCAATAGCTATCAAACAGGTTAGTAAATTTGTATTAAGGTGAAAGATTTCCCTGACAGGTACAAGCTACTTGTTTTGAATGTGACTTCAGCTTTGCTTATTTATTTTCAGTGAAATAATGTAGATATGGTGTTACGGTGGTGCAGTGCATAGCACGATCACCTCACAGCAAGAAGGTCGCTGGTTCGAGTCTCGACTGGGTCAGTTGGCATTTCTGTGTGAAGTTTGCATGTTCTCCCAGTGTTGGCGTGGGTTTCCTCTGGGTGCTCCGGTTTCCCCCACAGTCCAAAGATATGCGCTATAGGTGAATTGGGTGAGCTAAATTGTCCGTAGTGTATGAGTGTGTGTGGATGGGTGTTTCAATGGGTTACAACTGGAAGGGCATCCGCTGCATAAAAACATATGCTGGATAAGTTGGCGGTTCATTACGCTGTGGCGACTCCTTTTAATAAAAGGACTAAGCCGAAAAAAAAATAATGATGAAGATATTTGAATAGCGAGGTGGACAGGTAAAACAAGTAAAGCTAACTGACTAGCATTGTTTCTCTTTTGGACAAAGCTGGTTGACCAAGAACGTCTTGCGGGTGAAGCTAATGAGTATGTCTACATTTTGACCGAATATCAAACATTTCATTTGTCATAGTGGTAACGTCCAGACAGTCAAGCAGTATCATCATTATACGTTGATACTTTGTTGTTTTTAGGTTGCGTTGGAAAGTGACCAAAATCGAATGTCTGTCTGACGTTGACATTGGTCTGACATTGGGTTCTGACATGAACTCGATTTTCATTTCCACCCAAAATGCAACGTCCCAACGATGTTGGGGTACAAAGTCAATCTGACGTCAAGTTAACATCATTCATTTTTGCGTGAAATATGCCACACTGTAAAAAATGCAAGTTCTACAGAATTCCTTCATGTTGTCCCAACACAAGTCGATTAAGTTAACCAACATTTTGTTTATAAAGATTTATAAAAATGTAAGTGTATTGAACATAATCCCAAAAACTGAAGAATTGCGTTGTTTTAACTCAATTTTAATAAGTAATTTGTAAAAGCAGCAAAAATGCATTAAGCTAATTATGACCACTGTGGAAACATCAGTGTCCATATTCGAAACTATTAGGTTATTAGGTATCTAAATTAAAAGATTAGGTATCCAAAACAAAACCCTAAGCAGTTTTTTAATTTTGGTTAGATATCCAACAACTATCCAAGACGAAATGTGTGTGTGTTTGTGTCAGCCCACATATAGGCAAATATACATCAGCAATGTAAGCTTCATTCATTCCCCTCCTACACGCTTTCTTTCCCATCATTCATTCTCAACACACCTGCTTAGCTCAGTAAAATGGCTCCTAAACCCTAACACAGGAGGAGCTGTTTTCATGTAATAGACTGTGACTTTCTGAGGTAAACTAGGTTGGGGGCACACCTACACACGGCCTAATGAACACAATCTCATCATCGCTTTCTGTCCGCATGTTCCATTTGCATCTGCAGAGACGGGCTCCAGACCAGACTCATGACCCATCTGTGGTCTCCTCAGACAGCTAAGTCAACATTGGCTAGTGTTGAAGAAGCAAAAAAGAACACCTAAAGAGTTAAACAGTGGGATCTTGTCCTGAAATGTCGTCCATCTTAACAGATAGTGATCTTAATTGGTCAAAGACTGGCCCAGTGTTGGAATGTAGGTCTAGAAGAACAATCACCGTTTTTTAAGTAGGTGCATATTGCTTTAGAAATTATGAAACCATTACTTTATTACCTGGCCCAACCACCTGTTGGGTTTCTTGTGCAATATTTGGGCTTATGTAATCAACAGTTTAGAAAGCAACAGCCACCACTGTTGTATTAACCTAGAGGGGGAAGCTGGAGAGTTGCGATATATTTACACATCTGGATTGTTTTAGCATCTGATTAACCACAGGAACACAGTAAACCTGAGCAGATCTGTGTTGGAAAACTACTTGCACTAAGCAGTTCCCAATCTTTTAGGTTAGTTACTGTATGAGTGATAAGTTGATTAATGCCAGGCTTAGATGGAAAGACATAAGAGCAGTTTTGTTTTTACATGTTTAATGTAGTGTGTTTTCGGGATTCGCTAATGACAACAGGCAAAACACTTGACAACAACTGACGCTATGTCTGGGATGCTTCGCAACATCAAAACAGAAAGACCAGCATGTTCATTTCTAGCATGTTAATTATTTTTTAGCTCTCCACTGTTTTTCGGTCACATTTGAGATGTTGACTTACAGAAACAAAGAAGCTCTTCTGTCCACATCTTCCAAACATAGTAAAACAAAAGACAGACGTTGGCTTTCGTGCTGCTAGGTGGAGTTATGCAGTAGAGGAACTCTGCATACAGGACACCCAGTACTAGACTTGCTCCTTTGATAGACATTGTTTGTTTACACTCTTGTTTCTTGAATAATTCACTAGATCGGCTTGTGCGTGACACCACGCAATGATTGGTCTGGAAGCAATGTGTAGTCTGACATGTTTCCTGTTCATGACATGACAAGAATTTTAGAGCTGAATCAAAATTTTATCGAAAAAATACTAAAAATATCGCATTGCCTTGTGCAGTACACTGCAAAATAATATCTGTTAATGGGCTCTATGCACAGCTAGAGTTATAAAGCCAACGATAAACTTCCGGTGAAAGCTCAATGTGACTATTTTCAATTACACAAGGTTTTTTTTACAGCATCAATGTTGTAATGAAATTACAATACATTCAGTTCAATAGACTTAAGGATTCTTTTAGTTGTTCAAGAGTAAAATGAGACGAAAAACGATGTAACCTCTAGCGCCATCAGGATCAGCAGGCGAGCTCAAAAACTTCATTGAAAATACTGAAGTAAAATAAACTGTCATATTTTAGACATGGCGGGGTGAAATGGAATTTAATGCAGTGCTTCTTATGTGGTCTGACACCCACTTCATATCGTATATCTATCTGACAGTGAAGATCGCTGATTTTTATAGAAGTCTTAAATGTTACAATTTTGTAATGGAAAAACAGTTCACTGGAAGCCTTTGGTCTGCCTGGCTGAAAACTAAAGGTTTGTGTGCATAGAGTCAGTTAATCTGTTTACGTATTTTATAATTTACAAGTGTTTTCCGATTGAACACCAACCCAGACAATATATTGCTTTAAACCAGATGCCAAAAGTAGTTGGCCCATCGTAACCTTTGATTCAGCCCACCATCTCATAAGTGGAGAGTGAGAATGATGAAGAGGGTTGGGGCGGATGACTTTAACACAGAGATTGACATCACTAATTTGACGTAACAAAACAATTTTTGTTTGTTGTTACATTTTTGACAAAATGTATATATTGTCACTCGACAGATAGAGGACTATGCAGAAGATATCGGCGAGCGAATCAAGGCAAATGCGAGTGTCATTCTGTTATAAATGTTTTATTTTTACTGTAATAAGCTCATTATACAACATAAAAAGATATACAGTATTAGTTCATATAAAGCAATGTTTTCTCGTTATTTTTAAACATTATTAAATAAATTAGGAAATTACTCATGGCAACTTGCAATTTGAGGGTAACAAGTAAAAACAGACTTACAAAAATTGTTCACCTTTCTAAAAAGATTTTGAGCACAAATCTTGAAAATGCCCATTTTAGCAGATAAGAACCACCCACTTTATTCTAAGTTTTGCCTCTTGCCATCAGGCAGAAGGTACACTTATTTCAGACGGGCTATAAGGTCCAACAGATATTTCCATTCATTTGTTCCAACTGCAGTTACTTAACAAGCTTTAAGTTGTATTTGCTCTTTTTAATGAATATTTTAGTTAATCATGATTAACTTTATTGTTTACTATATTTCTATTTTTGTTTGAGTAACTTAACAAGCTTTTAGTTGTATTTGCTCATTTTTTAAATTAATATTTTAGTTGATCATGATTAATTTTGGCGAGGCAGTGGCGCAGTAGGAAGTGCTGTGGCCTCACAGCAAGAAGGTCGCTGGGTCGCTGGTTTGAACCTCGGCTCAGTTGGCGTTTCTGTGTGGAGTTTGCATGTTCTCCCTGCCTTCGCGTGGGTTTCTTCCGGGTGCTCAGGTTTCCCCCATATTCCAAAGACATGTGGTACAGGTGAATTTGGTTGGCTAAATTGTCCGTAGTGTATGAATGTGTGTGTAAATGTTTCCCAAAGATAGGTTGAGGCTGGAAGGGCATCCTCTGTGTAAAAACTTGCTGGATAAGTCGGTGGTTCATTCCGCTGTGGCGACCCCAGATTAATAAAGGGACTAAGCCGACAAGAAAATGAATGAACGATTAATTTTAGTCTTCTGTTGTTTCTATGTTTGTTTGAGTTACTTGACAAGCTTTAAGTTGTATTTAATCTTTTTAAAATAAATATTTTAGTTAATCATGGTTATTTTTAGTCTACTGTTGTTTCTATGTCTGTTTGAGTGTTGATCTGTGTCAGTTGTTAACCAAATTGCCCCTCGGAGGCAATAAAGACATTCCAATCCAATTCTAATTCCAATCCAACTATATTTACCTTCAGCCCACTAGCCTCAATCAAGTTTGTTTTTTGGCCCTTCATAAAAAAAAAAGTTTGGGCACCCCTACTATTCAAAACGTTATTAAAAGTCACTTTTCTAACTTTTCTAAGGTTACAAGTTTTTAGAGGGAATATATAATGCAATTCAACAAAAAATAAATAAAAGTGGCAAAATAAAAACATGAATCACAAAATACAAAAAACTATCACTTTTTACAGTGCATTAATGCCATCAAACCATACTTTTTCCATTATTTTTACCTAAACTAGTTAGAGCAAAGCTTGCTTTAACATTTGCACAAAGGCTGTAACCTCACAATAAATACCCTTGCAATATTTAAACTAATGGTCCCCTTCAATAATGAATTTTTTGTGGAGCTGAAGTCTGCTGTACAGCTTGGTTATTTCTTCTCCCCACCATAAGCTGTTGTCGGTTTCACTGCGTGCTGTCATTGAAGCCGCAGGAAGCAGATCTGTCTCTGTCGTCTTTCGCTCTTAACTCTGCAGTATAATTACAAGCTTTGGCTTCCTCCCACTGTCCGGAGGAGAAGTCATTGGCTTATTCTCATGAGACTTAACGTCAAAACACAGCCTCATCAATGCAGATGTTTGCATGTGGTTTACATGTTCGGTTTCCAGGTAGCACAACAGGCGTCTTTCATTAGGACGTGATTAAGAGTTCCTTTTAAAGGTTTCACCTCATTTCTCTGAGGTTCTATGGCTCTGGTTTGGTTATGAGGAGGCGTCTTTGGGTTCAGTCCTGATCCCTCATCTGTACCGCACCAGGAGGCTGCCTTTACAAAATCAAATGGTGTTTTGCGCTACCTAGGAGACAACAAAATGAACATTGCATCAAGCTTGGGATTGGCGAGAGCTAATGGCTGTCTGGTTTTGAGACATGAAGAATGTCAAATTGCTTTTGGATGCAGAAAAGGCACAGTAATTAAGAGAGATGTGGGATCAGCAGAGGCCACACTTTACATGTGTTGTTTTATTAGAGGAGGCAGTTGTGGTAGACAGGGAAACCCCAATATAACGTTGACAAAACTGCTGAAACAAAACAAAGCAAATTTAATGATGGATTAGTCTTAAAACACAGCACAAGATGTCCCCAACAAACTGAATTTGGCTTTTCTTTTTTTTTTTTCTTTTTTTTTTTCTTTCAGATTTGGTTTTTATGTTTTGTGACTTTGGTGCAAAAGTTGTGAACTGATTGAAATAACCTGTATAATGATTCTTCATCACTTTGTTTTCAGCTGGTTGCTGACAAGATAAAAGTATATGCTTTCTAGTCTTCCTTCTCTCAAAGGGTCATGGCCTCAATTGTTGTAATTTGAACATATTAAATGTAATTAAATCTATTTAAAGTCATTCACAATGAGTGAAAGGTGTAATTTCGAAAAAGATGAAGTAATGAAGTTTCATGTAACACTTTCACCATTTTCTGTTAGTCAGCCAAATAGACAGACCTGTCCTCTAACTGTCTGCATTGGTCACTCGAAAAGAACCACTACGTTTACACCCTACACAGGGGCGGATGCAACAAATTGTTTAAAGCAGGGGCGTCAAACTCCTGGAGGGCCGCAGCCCTGCACACTTTAGTTCCAATCCTGCTTTAATACACTTAAAACAAGGTTTAAAACAAGCCCGAAGGACTCAATTACTTTGATCAGGTGTATTTAACTAGAGTTAAAGCTAAACTGTGCAGAGCTGTGGCCCTCCAGGAATTAAATTTCACACCTATGGTTTAAAAAATTCTGTCAATTACTCACCCTCATGACGTTCAAAACCCCTAAAACCTTCAGAAGAAAAATTAAGATTTTGAATCTGAGTTTAAATAGTTTAACTGAACAAGTCATGCTTGCTTTCACATTTTATAACCTCACAGTAAATAACCCCTGAAAACTTGCTCATCTTCAGAAGACAAGTCAAGATTAAGAATCTGAGCGCTCTCTGATTCTCCATAACAGTCCCGACTTGTTCGTTGTACAGGAAGGTACAAAAAACATCCTCAAAACAGATCATATGCATATTTTTAAGCACACATAAAACAAAAATAATTAATTTATTCAAGTTTCTTCTCAGTGTCAGTATAGGGTGCATGTTTCATGTGCGCACAAATGTTTTCTCATGGTAGCTTGATAATATTCAGATTGAAGTACTGAAGGTATATGGTATTAACTATTAAAAATCTTAATAATATTTATGTATTATCAAAAATAGTAAAGTTGATATTATTAAGAATAGAAATGTATTAATAAGTATAAAAAAAATGCTAATAAAAGTCACGTTTTCAAACTTTTCAAGGTTACAAGTTGTTGGAAGGAAGATCAAGATCTCATAATGCAATTTAAAAAACAAATAAACTTGGAATAATAATAATAAAAACAAATCACAAAATATGAAAATCTACCAATTAACAGATACATTGTACAGTGTATGCCAATAAACCATCTACTTTTTGATTATTTAATCATTATTTTTGAATTAGTTTGAGTCATGCTTGCTTTCACATTTATAACCTCATGTTAAATATCCCCTGAAAACTTGCTCATCTTCTGAAGACAAATTAGGATTAAGAATCTGAGCGCTCTCTGATTTTCCATAACCGTCCCGACTTGTTCAATGTACAGAAAAGTACCAAAAAATATTCTCAAAACAGATCATATGCATAATTTGTCCAAACAAAACACTCTTCAGTGTCAGTATAGGGTGCACGTTTTATGTGCGCACAAAGTTTTTGTAGTAGCTTGATAATATTCAGATTGAACCACTGAAGGCATATGGTTTTAACTATTAAAAATGTTAATAATAGTTATGTATTATTAATAAAAGTAAAGTTAATAATATTATTAATAATAGAAATGTATTAAATATTAAAAATGTTAACAAAAGTCACTTTTTAAAACTTTTCGAGGTTACAAGCTGTTGGAAGGAAGATCAAGATCCCATAATGCAATTCAAAAACATAAATAAACATGGAATAATAATAAAAACAAATCATAAAATATAAAAAATACCAATTTACAGACACATTTTACAGTGTATGCCAATAAACCATCTACTTTTTGATTATTTGATAATTATTTTTAACTGCACTAGTTTGAGTGATGCTTGCTTTCACATTTACAACCCTTAAAACTTGCTCAACTTCAGAAGACAAATTAATATTAAGAATCTGAGCGCTCTCACATTCGTCATAACCGTCTCCATAACACTTTTCGAAGTAAAAAATTGAAGGAATAAGTCCACATATTTTCTTATTATTTTGTCCACATACAAAAAAAAAAAAAAATTATTCAACATTTTCTTCTCCTCAGTGTCAGTATAGGGTGCACATTTTTATGTGCGGACAAAAGTTTTCTCGTAGTACCTTGAGAATATTCAGATTGAACCACTGAAGGCATATAGCAGGGGTGGCCAACCCTGTTGAAAAACTGAAATCTGCAGGAAGGTGGTTCTCCAGGAACAGGGTTGGCCACCCCTGGCATATGGTATGTTTTGAGAATGTTTTATTGTTGTTTTTGTGGACAACGAATTGGCACTATTGCTGTTTACAGAGGATCAGAGAGCTCTCAGATTTCAACTAAAATACTTAAACACTTTCTTGAAAGAAAGTCTCAGGGGTTGGAAATGAAATGAAAGTGAGTATTTAATAAAACTTTTTAAATTTTTAGGTGAACTAGCCCTTTCAATCTAAACTAAAGCATTTTAGCATTTATTTAGCCCCTTTAAATGTGCCTCATTCAGTATATTTTTATCAGGAAGAAGACTATCTGTTTAAAGCCTGTAGCTGATGTTTTTTTATGTACTGTAATTTTAACACATGAGAGCAATGTCATTAATAGCTGTGTGTTTGACAGGTGTTAGCGGTGTGTGTGATTCATTGGGAGAGAGTGCGGGGATGCCGTTCCTCCGTCTTCCTGTTCTTCTTCTGGCTGTTGGGTGTGCTCTGCTCCATTATTCCACTTCACGCAAAGGTCCAGCTGGCTGTGGAGCAGGTGAGAGAAGTGACAAGATCCCCAATCCTGGGAATTCAGCTTCACAGTACATTCACAAAACCCTGGACTAACCCTGCACGTGTGTTTGTATTAACACATGGATGATACACAGGTACACGCATGAAAAAGTTCATGGGCTCTAGCATACGGTCAAACGGATGCACATTGCAGCGAACCTGTGTGCACAAACACGCAGTAACTCAGCATTCCAGCAGTTTCTACTTTAAGCGCTGTTGATTTTCTCCATGTTTGGATTTGGTTTGTCACATTCATACCATGAGCTCAGGTGAAGTCCTTGTAGGTGTTAGTTTTAAATGCATGTCAGAAAGTGTTTAAATCTGACATTTTCCCCAATTGGTGCTTACGGTATTTGGAAGTACAATATGAGTGTCTTTCATTTTGCAGAAAGACACAATTAAACTAAAATTATCAAATTAATTTTGTCAAAAGTAAAACATTTCAGTCATTATGTTTGCTTCCAATTTAAACATACAATTGACATCTGAATAAGAAACGGTGTGAACATTATCAAAAGTATATCATTAACCAGGCTAAAGTAAGTTTTAAACGACTTCACAAGCCTCATAAACAATAACACGGCTAGCAAGAATGCACTTTCAACAAATTTAGAAATGAAACTGGGCAGTTCTCAACCATATCATGCAAAAATGGGTCAAAACAGAAAGACAGATAAGCATATTTCCCATTGGCATGTTGACTTTATGCTTGGATAAGAGTGGGAAGACGTTTCGACTGACCTACATTTTGACCACTGAAACCGCTCTGGCCTTGTTTTTTTATTTTGCGGTGTGGTTAAGAATAAAGCCTCCATCCTGGCAAGGGGCTCCATAGCCAAACGGATGTTTACTACAGATCAGTCTCAACATGACTTGTGCTACAATCTCTTACTCAGGACTCTGAAAGATTCAGTTAGTATCTACGATATGTTCAAAAATGCATGAGCAGAAAATGAACAGCACATGTGAAGTGTTTGTAAATATAGCTACTTTTGGCTCCGCACCAACAAATAGTGGCCGGAGGCTTGAACAGCAGCAGTCTATGGGTTTCCAGATTGTAGCGTGACTTGAGGCCTTTTATGACTCTTTTCATACGTAATTCATTTATATAAAGCAGGCCATTAAAGAGTTTGGTTTTCACCATGATTTGCCTTAACTGTTCAAAATAAGCTTTACTGTGCTGTTAATGCTCGTGCACACCCATGTCTCTGACATTAAGAAGGGGCGCTGCAGTACTGCACCATTTCTAATAGAATAAACAACAGATCGTTTGTTATTTGGGGCATGACATCCCTTACAAAAAAATAAGTTTATTCAAGTAAACTATCAGAATACATATTTATTTTAAATAAAGTATACATAGGGGGGAGCAGGGACAAAAGTACAATTAAAGCCTCCATCCTTTATACAAACAAACCAATTCCTTACATTTATAATAATTCCATACATTTATATTTCTGGACACTCAAAACCCTTTACACATTGGGGGAATCTCCTCATCCATCACCAGTGTGCAGCATCCACCTGGTTGACACGACGGCAGCCAAATTGTGCCTGACCGCACACCACACACCAGCTGATTGGTGGAGAGGAGACAGAGTGATCAAGGCAATTATGATACAGGGATGGTTAGGAGGCCATGATGAATAGATGCCAGTAGGCTAATTTGGCCAAAATGTCAGGGTTTGAAACCCCTACTCTTTTTCGAAGAACATCCTGGGATTTTTAATGACCACATAGAGTCAGGACTTCTGTTTAACCTCTCATTCACAAGACAAAGCTCACTGAGCAGTGAAGAGTCCCCTTCACTATACTGGGGTGTCAGGACCCACACAGACAGCAGGTTGAGGGCCTCCTGCTGCCCTCACTAACACAACTTCCAGCAGCAACCTAGTTTTCCCATGTGGTCTACCATCCAGGTATTGACCAGGCGCAGCCCTGCTTAGCTTCAAGGGGTGACCATGTGAGCGTTGCAGAGAGTTAGCTGCCGGCCAACTTTTTTAACTGACACGTTCTATCATTATTAGGTGCCATTTTGAATTAATGTTCAATTCACTTGTTACTGTTTATTTGTAAAGCGATTTTACAATGTAGATTGTCAAAGCAGCTTAACATAGAAGTTCTAGTAAATTGAAACTGTGTCAATTTTCAGAGTTCAGGTTCAGTTTAGTTCAGAGCAGTGTGGTTAGATTTCACTGCTGAAACCTTGTAGAGCTAATCCATTTATGCACAGCTCCAAAAGTCCCTAACTAAGCAAGACAGTGACAGTGGAAAGGCACAAAACTTTACCAATTGACGAAAGTGAAGGGAAAAAACCTAGAGAGAAACAAGACTCAGTTGGGCAACTTCAAAATAATTTCACTTTAAACATTAATGGTACGCTGTTACGTTTGACCTGTAAGTAGAGACAAAAGTAACACATGGGTGGGTCAAAAGTAACAAAAATATCAGTGACAAAAGTAAATTTTACTTCCGTCTAAGCAAGAACTCTTGCTATTTATACCCGATGTACTTTTAAACTGAAATCTTAGAGCAAAGTAAACCTATACTTGTTAATTGACATGTACAGTACTTAGATGTGTAATTGCATGCTCTTAAGTATACTTGGTTTGTTGTTGTTTTTACTGTTTTGATTGATTGGCCTATTAATTTTTTACATATTACATACTCGATCTAGAAAACTAGTTTACCAAGAGTTAAAGAGTCAGACTTGAGATCCAAAGGTTGCAGGTTAAAGTCCCAGCACCATCAGGAATTGTTTGTTTGTGTGTGCAGTATTATTTAAATACCACATGTATTACAAAGGTATACTACTAGTATACTCACTTGTTCACTTGCAGTACAAATGAGAAACCTCATTAGACTAGTCACACTTATAGTTAGGGCTGCACGATATTGGAAAAATCTAACATTGCGATCTGTGTTTTTTTTTGCAATTTAATTACGATAAAATGCAATTTCACTAGATTTGATGAATAACAATTTAGGAAAGAATTTTTAATTTATATTGATTGGGGTGACTGTAGGGGAGTGCATATGCATAATATATAAAAAACAATCTACAAACATAGAGAAATTCAATAAAAAAAGATAACAATTAAATAAACAGTGTTTTATTGTTTTTAGAGGAGTCGATCTGTATTCAGGTATATACTACTTGAATAATCAAATGTAAAACAATACCTCATAGTCTTTGTTTAATAAACAATTCAATCAAATTATTCATTATTAATTTGTCAAAGTTACAAATGGTACAATTTCTTATGCCTGAATGCTTTTAAAACCCTCACACAGTCACAGGCCTCAAAAAGCACTTTCAAAATGGTAAATTATAACCCAGACTCAACATTGCGTATACTCATGATGGGACTTTTGCGAATGATTACATTGCAATATTGATGCTAAAACAATATATTGTGCAGCTCCACTTACGGTAAACTTAAAAGATTACTTTTTTTATACTCAAAGAGGGCCATTCTAGTCCAAAGAGATATTATTACAAGTATGCTAGTACATAGTAAGATGTTAATATGTGAAGTATACTTAAATATTTTACTTATTTTAGTATTTTAATACATATAAGTATACTTTATTCAATTCATTTGAAGTATACTTTTTATGAGGGATACTTAAATGTCCATCAACATTGTGTGCTCTAGAAAGTTCCATAGGAACAGAGTGTTCAGGGTGTAAACAGCGTGTTGGGAAGTCTGTGGATCAGGACTGTAATAACATCACAGTAGCAGTATGGGAAATCCCTGGTTTTGGTGCACATTTAAATTGGAAACTCACTCTCTCTCCTCTGTGTGTGATCTGCTGATTCTGGTGTTTATGCTTTTCAGGGTCTCTCTCCGGATATTGTGCGGTACTTGGCCTTTTTCTCCTACTTCGCCTTGCAGTTGGCCCAACTCTTCCTCAGCTGTTTTGCAGACCAGGCACCCTTAGGCAAAGCCGTCCACAAGGTACGGATGGAGCAAGCTGTTCCTCAAACTAAAATAATCACAAACAAACCCTGTGGTGTTTACTTGCATCTTTATGTAATATAGAACCCAACCCCTCCATTTTCAAGAGACTTATGGTAATGGTGGTAGCACATCCAGCTACTGCCTCCCGCAAGTATGTAGTGCTTAGATATTAGCCGAGCTGACGATTGCCTAAAAGAGCTGTTTTCCGGCAGTCCCTTTGACTCATCTACATGGACACCCTGTGGTCCTCCTTCCCGGATAATGATACCTCCTGTTTTAAGCTAAATTCTTGACTCATTCTGCCCACTGTTTGGTTGTTATGTGTGCAAATTACACACACAGCACAGAGGAGAGCAACACGCAACCTAATCTTCAGATCTCTCAGGAGATAGTGGTCCATCTGACTCGTCTTTGCAAAGAGAAAAACAAGGAAACAAGCTAAGTAAGGAATTAGTGTGTTTGTGATGAGGTCGTAGCCACAGACGTCTGTGCCACACCCCTTGATCCCCTCCTGGCTCAGTCACTTCCTGTGTAGGGTTATTCGCAGCGTCCTGAAGAGTGAGACCTCCGGTGAGGAGGCGGGAGAGAGAGAGTAAGTGTTTGGGTGGATAGCTGTACGGGCAAGGGGGCAGCATTGAGGTCAGTAGTGGGTGGAAGTGTGTTACTGTGGCACATAAGGCACACAAACACGCACAGATAGAGGTCTACCACTCTTTCTTACAAACGCTTTCACACTGTTTCTCTGTTTACTCTCAGCTCGATGTTGCCAAATATGATTTCTAGCCACTGCTTTCTCCATCCAAGAAAGCAAAACTGTGAAGGCCCTCTTTCTAAAACTGATTGTTGACATTTTCACATTTGGTTATATATGGTTTTAATATTAGAACTGTTTGGGACGAGCCTTGTTATAGCTGATAATATAATTGCACCTGTATCGTGGATTAAAGGGGTTGTTCACCTAAAACTGAAAATTCTCTCATCATCTTTTACTTGTTCCAAACCTGTTTGTCTTTCTGTCTTCTGTTAAACACAAAAGAAGACATTTTGAAGAAAACTTGAAACCATTGAATTTCATAATATTTGTTTTCAGGTACAGGGTTTCAGCTTTCAACATAATTTCAAGAGTTCACACTTATCTAATGATTGATTATAAAGCTTGTTTGGCATGCTGTCCCGGGAGAGAGCCCTGAGCTCATAAGATCCCAAGCCCGGGGCTCCCTCCCGTTTGCAAGGTGAGAGGGGAGTTTAAGCTCAGGTAGATCTCGAGAACTCCCCTGCTGTTTGAAGCTTGTGTGCAATTAGGGATTGTTATAAAGATATAACTACTTAGTAGGAGCATGTCTATGGTGCAGATTTGGATTAGTCAATTAACTTAAGTTGCATGTTTTTGACCAGTGGGAGCAACCCAGGCAACTCAGGGGAAACCCACGGGGAGAATGTGTAAACTCCACACAGAAATGTCAGCTGGCTTGGTAAAGACTAGAACCAGTGACGTTCTTGCTGTGAGGCAGCAGTGCTAACCACTGGGCCACCGTGCCACCCATCTAGGAAAGGAGGTGGATTAGGGTTGGAAGGGGGGATTCTTCAAAACGAAGATGGCGGTTATATGGAACTTAGGGTATTCATAGTGAGTTAGGAATCGTCTGATTGGTGAATCATAAATTGGATATTGCGGGACCAGCCGCAAGCAATCATAAACATGTGATCCTCTCGAAATTAGTTTATAAATAAACTTCACATCTTCTTTGGTGTTCAACTGAATAAAGAAACTTTAGTAATAATAAAGTTTATTTATAAACTAATTTTGAGAGGATCACGTGCTTATTATTGCTTAAATTATTAAATTTATGATTCACCAATCAGACGATTCCTAGGTCTCCATAAATAAACTAAGTTCCATACCATAATCATCTTCATTTTGAAGAATCCCCCCTTCCTCCTCCTTTCCTAGATTGGCAGCCAGTTGGTTAGCACTGTTGCCCCAAAGCAAAAACATCATTGGTTCTAGTCCTTATCAGGCCAATCGACCTTTCTGGGTGGAGTTTTACATGTTCTTCCTGTGCTTGCGTGGGTTTCTCTCGGTTTCCTCTCATCATCCAAAAAAACAAAACAAAACATACAACTTAAGATAATTGACTAATTCAAATTGGCACTATAGACATGCTCCTAGTAAGTAGTTATATCTTAATAACAATCCCTAATTGCTCACTATCTTCAAACAGCTGGGGAGTTCTCGAGATCTACCTGTACTCAAACTCCCCTCTCGCCCTGCAACTGGAGGGAGCCTAGGGCTTGAGGATCCTATAAGCTCAGGGCTCTCTCTTGGGACAGCATGCCAAGGATACATCGTAATCAATCATCAGCTAAGTGTTAACTCTTGAAATAAAGGTGTGGATCCACTTGAGGGTTGGTTTCAGTAAAGACACTGCTAGGGATCAGTATTGGCTAATAAATGTGACTTTTTAACTATTTAGTGGTACTTATGCAAAGACTAATGGGGTCGCTAATATTTATATATTTTTGGCTAAATCTTGTGTTAACTTGATTTGATCCTTTTCTTAGAATGCATGTCCTGTTCAAGATGCGTCCTTCTTGTCCAAGATCCTCTTCTGGTGGTTCAGCGGGTAGGCAATTAAAATGATTTTGAATACTATTTTCAATTTATGAAAGTGCAACAATACTTGGTCCAGTGAAAGTAATACATATTCAGTCTGTATTTTCTGTGCTTGCAGGTTAATATTTAAAGGATACCGTTCTCCTCTGCAAGCAGAAGATTTGTGGAGTCTGAGAGAAGAAGATACTTCTGAGAGGATCATTTCTGACCTGGAGGAAGAATGGACAGCAAAGCGCACCAAACTACAGCAGTAAGTTCCATTGAAGTTTTTCCAGACATGACATTTGGAGGCACGTGTACATTTATGGTGTTTGTTAATGTCGCCGTGCATCTGCTGCTTTGATCAATGCATTCACATTTCCATCTGAAAGAGACAGATGTCAAAGAAGTCAAACAGGAGCCCTGCTACTTACATGGTCGAGACAGGGGAATGGTGTCAATTGGTTGGCTTGTTAACACTTTTCTGCTTTGAACACAAAGTCCTCTGAAATCCTCTTTTAAGGCCTCACATGTCAGAGATCCCATGCATTTTACAACTTGTGGAAACTTGCATTGTGCCGCAGGATGTTTTAATGTCATTCTGTTTTCAATTAGAACTTACGAAGAGGGATTTAAAAAGCTTAACGATGACATTTAGGCTTTACCAATGTCTTATGCACATGTCCAGCATTTGCTTTTCTCCATCTGCAGGCAGGAGAACCACATGAGCACCAGTGCTGCTTTGGGATCTCGTCTACCAGACCAAGCCCAACTGCTCAGGAAGATTCAGAAGGAGCAGAGTTCGGGATTTTGCCTCTTAAGAACACTTGCGCGCAGCTTCGGACCATATTTCCTAACCGGCACCCTGTGCCTTATAGTCCACGATGTCTTCATGTTTTCAGTTCCACAAGTTCTAAGGTGAGAAATTCAAAGGTGATTTAATGAGTCACCTTGGCCTCATCCTTAGTTTAAGTTCATAAACTTTGGCTTTTTGGTATATCTAGAGTAAGTCAGACCTTGGGTCATGTTTATGTGAAGATCTGCCTTCAGATAAACACAGATGGCCCCTCTGTGCTTTTTAAGACAGCTCGCTGGGTTATCAAAATATTTTTAGAATAGACATCTTACGGTTCACAATATCTTGGGATAAAAACAGGAAGTGGCAGTGTGCGGCAGGTGCTTGAGTCAGAGACGCCATACCAGCCAGACAGAGATCATGCTGTTTATGCCCAGAGAGAAGCAATTATGGCTTCAAGTCTGAAAGCATGAGAGAGCGAGAGATGACCACAGCGCTCTGTCCGCCGTAGACGTGTTAGCTTCAGGGAGGGTAGAGGAACACTGTCGGGGTTGTGGTTACTATAGGAAAGCAGCCAGCTAAATGGGAGGTTCAGTCAGCTACCAGCAAACTGCAGGGAGATCCAAACTGTAGCAAGTAGATGTATTGTACTGGGCTATAGCGTCAAAAAAAAGGTGGACTTTGGTGGGAGCTGTGAAAACATTCATGGTCACAGTAACCAAGGTAGGCTTTGTAGCATTTGGTCAGCATTCAGCAAAACATTCATCCAGTTGAACATGCTACTTCTTGTTAGGTTCAACAAATCGACTGTTCTTCATTTGAAAATTTTTTAAAGAAAGTTGTGGGTTTAAGCGCTACTGTAAACCTTGAGCTTAACCACAATGGTTGGATGTGGTCTGTTATAGAGGAATCAAGCCAAATGGTTAGTTACATCAGTAATCAGCTAATTCCTTTGTAATGAATCACACTTTTATTTACACCTTGTTCTTTTTAAAGTCTTTTATTAGGCTTTATGAAGGATGAGGACACACCCCTGTGGAAGGGCTATTTCTACGCCACACTTATGTTCCTCCTGTCCTGCCTTCAGTCTGTTTTCAACCACCAATACACATACACCTGCTTTACTGTGGGCATGAGGGTCAAAACAGCTGTCATGGGTCTAGTCTACAGAAAGGTAGGTCCTCTCATCTGCACAAAACCTGGTTTGAGTATATTGTTTTGTAAATGGTGCATGGGTTTTAAGTAATGGGAGTATTTTCAGAAATGCTTTCAGGGTAATTACACATTATAAAAATGTATGTATTTTTAACATTTGTATAATGTTGTAAATAAACTATAGGCGGGCATAGATTTTTTTTTTAAATCTAGATTAATCTCACTTTATTCTTGGAATTAATCTAGATTAAAATGGCTCATTTGAATTCTGCTGAAGGCATTCAGAATATGTGTGCTACCCAAATGACTAAAAGAAAGTCTTTGAGACCGGGTGGCGCATGGGGGCTAATCTATTGTTTCCAAAATGCATCACAAACTGCTTGAGAAACTGTTCTACTATGATAACTGGTGATGAAAATAAATGATGTTCAAAAAGATGTACTTGTGTTTACAAACTGTTTATTCAGTTAAACATGAATTTTGAAAAGCTCGAAACAGCGATTTTTAATCACTTTAATCCGACTAAAGTCATAACTGAACTAAACAGAAATGGAATCAAGATGTGGAGTATTCAGATATTAGTGGCATTATTGAAATAAACACCACAATCAAACTGTTACCGGCATGTAGGACTTTTCGCCATATTTTCCAACAAGATTCACACACGTGGCTGTCAGTAAAGGACCGCACACCACACACACACATACATCGAGAAATATGAAAGTTTTTTTCTTTCCATTCGGCGTACGTTAGTAAATTCTATAACACTCTCACCAGTCCTTACTCCTTATTTGCTTCTAATACCCCAGTTTGTCACGGGGGCATGAATGAAATGTTCATGAGTGAAGGTAAAACTGCTGAACTGCAGTTAGTCACCCAAAATTACAGGACACTCTTACATGAAACCACTTCACAGAACCACTTTAATTATATTATTGTCTATTAAGGCAAATAACTAGATTACAGATGTTCATGTAAGCGTAGTCAGTAGTGTCTTTGAGGTAAGTGAAAGATATAGAAGGTCATGCTGCTGATTTGATTCAGAAAGGCACTTTTTTGTCAGATGCTCACCGGTTTGACTTACATTCACCGTCATTCATTTCAAAAAGCACCCAGTCTATTTTTAAATTTCGTATATGTTTTACTCGAACACATAAACTCTACAGGAGCCTGTTAGATGTGGAGCTAACATTAATCAGATTCACTTTAGTGAACTGCATCCATGTTAGCTTGTCACGTTTGATGTGGTCATATTAAAGTAGGAATACACACAGGTTTGAAGACTCGTTCTTGCCACCCACAGTGCAATTCTGCCAGGTATACATCCATGCTAAAATATCAAGGTGAAAGACATCAAAGCTTGCGTAGTATAGACCCAGCTCCCGATATTGAGAATAGATTAACGGTTATTTTTTTTTCGCCAGATAAGAGTCTCGCGTTAACGCAGCAAGTTAACGCCGATAACAGCCCACCACTAAAATAAACATTCATTTCCATGATTTTATGGACCAAACAGGCTCAATGTAAAGATTAAGAAGGTGTCTGTTTTTGCGCATAATGTTGTTAGACTAACGAAACTATAATGTTGTGTTTAAACTTTCAAGCAACACAATTTTAATCAGTGCCTTTGTCTCTGCATTCTTGTTTTTTCTCAGTCTCTTGTTATGAACAGTTCAGCGCGCAGAACCTGCACAGTAGGGGAGATAGTCAATCTGGTGTCTGCCGATACACAGAAGCTGATGGATTTTGTGGTGTATTTCAATGCAGTGTGGCTGGCACCCATTGAGGTCACACTCTGTCTCTTTTTTCTTTGGCAGGTGAGGGCTCATTTATTTGCTATTATAATATCTCAGTATTCGGGAACGTGGCTGAATATTTGTTTTAGCTTTCCAATAAAAATAAGCAAGACTTTTCTTATTTGACTTATTTCAGCATTTGGGACCCTCAGCACTTGCGGGCATTGCCACAGTGATTTTCATCTTTCCTCTGAACGGATTTATTGCAAGAAAGAGAAGCAAGCTCCAGGTATTGCATTGTTTTAAATTAGGATATTTGTGTTCTCACTTACCTTATTTGAGGCCTGGACTCCTTAAAGAAGAAAATCTAAATTCAAGAGAATACTTTAACTTATCTTAACAGATTCATCCACTCATTCTAAAAACATGTTTGTAGATTAGAGGGAGTTTAAATTTAGGTTTTGTTTTTCAACATCTGAAACATTTGAAATCCCCCAATTGCAATTTTAAAATTTTCCTCTACATCATAGGTCTCAAACTCTATTCCTGGAGAGCCTCAGCTCTGCACAGTTTTGCTACAACCCTGATCAAACACAGTTAATCCAACTGGTCAAGGTGTTCAAAACTACAAGAGACTATTAAGCAGGTGTGATTTGGTGGTGGTTGGAGAAAAATTGCAGAGCTGTGGCCCCCCAGAAATTGAGTTTGAGACCATTGCTCTACATGCTCCTTAATGTATGTGATGTAAAGCAAGAAGAGTTCAATTCAAATTCAAGTAATCCAACCTGTCGCTTCAAAGGCATCAGGTTACCTTACTTTTTAAAATAAAGTAACTAACTGCTTTTTACAATGTTAGTGCTGCTAATCAAATAGGTGGATTAGCAATAGATGGATGCCTAATTTTGAATGAGACTCTCAATAAAGGTAAAGAAAAAAATCTAGATTAATCCAAAACATGAGACTATAGTGGAGCGCTATAAATGAGCTCTAACGTAAGTCACCATGAAGGGTCCACAGCTGGTTTAGATAGTGAAGTGAGCCCAGCGTGGGTGTGCGGGTTGGATTCAAGCTTCTTTTTCTCCTTTGAAGTTTCCCCATGTTTCCTCCAAAGCAAAGCAACCACAATGCTCACAAATGGCAATAAAAGTTTGAAAATTTTCGTTTTAGAAAACAACAGACATTTGGCATGCCACTGATTGAGTCGATCTCTCATAGCAATTGTTTTCTAGAATATTTTAACATGCTGTAAGGAATTTATTGCCGTCTTCAGTGTGAATGAAAGTCTAGCTTAGACCAGTGGAAATTGCTCAACCCAATTCAACCCTGTTCAACATTAAACCATTGTGTTTGTTCAGCTAACAATTTAAATAATTGTCATTGAGTATTTTATGACAGAATTTTTTTTTGTGTGTGTGGACCAACCATGGAAGAAAATGCAATTTAGTGGTGCCATGTCAATGCAAGCAATGTTTTGATGACAGTTTTTTTCTGTTCATTCCACAGGAGATACAAATGAAGTACATGGATGGACGAGTCAAGCTAATGAATGAGATTCTCAATGGCATCAAGATTTTGAAGTTCTATGCCTGGGAAAAGGCTTTTCTGGAGCAGGTCTTAGGATACAGAGAAAAGGAGCTTAAAACTTTGAAGAAATCACAGATCTTATACTCTGTGTCTCTTGCCTCCTTTAACTCGTCATCCTTTCTGGTAAGAAAATGGAGATTTTTTAAAACTCTGTCAGGGATATGTTGTAGTATTTGGATAAGACCAGAAATGGACTCAAGTCTGGCTTCAAGTCAATGGCCCAATCCCAATTCTATTTTTGTACCCCTACCCTAACCCTTGGCCCTTGAAACAAAGTGTAAAGGGGAAGAGCTGTACCCCTAAGAAATGGGACACCTGCACACGTCATCAAATGTCATTGTGAGCTCTTGCTTCATATAAGATTGACGATCGCGATTGCTGTAGTTATTCCAGTTGTCTTTTTTTGGTATTTATATTCAGGAAATCACTGAAGGCATATATTATGTTATCATAACGGGGCAATAAGTTCATAACTGTACTGTGCATTTACACTCTGGCCATATTCATCTCTGTAAACACACCAAAAACAACAGTAACAGTATAGCAGACACTGTGAAAAGCTCATTCCCGACCACTAGACTTTTCTGACAGGGGAATCGAGTGGCATCGAGTGACATATGTGAAAGTAGGTTGAAGGATTACTACACAGAATTTATTATTAGGGATTACAGATAGCGGTTTTTATTTTAGTTTTTTAAAGCATGACCGTAAAAAAACTAACGCAGATATGAATGTATTAAAACATGTTCTTGTCTGTTGTAAAAATTTGTGATAAAGACAAAAAAATCTATCTCCTGAGTATCCAGTAAAGCTGTGCTGCAGTTGTTGCTGGTGTATTCTGGGAAATTTTGGTACCCCTTGGTTTCGAGTGTGGTCCTGAAAAATCTCCCTTTTCGAGGGGTATCCAGCCCTTCCCCTTACAGCTAAAGAGAATTGGGACACCCCTACCTCTTTCCTGTGAACGTGCAAAACGTGGGTTAAAGGGAGGGGCTAAGTGGTAGAATTGGGATTGGGCAAATATTTTTTATGACAAGTCAAGACCAGCTCATTCGAGTCGAAAATTGAGTCCAAAATGCTTTGGGAAAATATGGTCTTGAAATTGACACTGGTCTCTAGTTGTAAATCTAGAACACCAAAACTGCCACCAGCTTTCATGAGGAATTTGGAAAGAAACTAAAACTATATCACGTTATATGAGCATAGATAAACAGATGACAAAAAAGAATGTGCTTTCCTTTCTTTTCAGATTGCGTTTGCCATGTTTGGTGTCTATGTGCTCATTGATGATAAGAATGTCTTGGATGCTCAAAAAATCTTTGTGTCAATGGCTCTCATCAACATACTGAAAACTCCTCTAAGCCAGCTTCCATTTGCCATGAGCACGACCATGCAGGTGAGAATGACCTGAGCTGTAACATCATTATATTATGCCCATTTATTCATTTATTATTTTAGGATTCTAGTAGATATATTTAGAGATGTTTTCTTGTGCTGTAGGCTCTTGTTTCCTTAAAGCGCCTGGGAAAATTTCTGTGTCAAGATGAACTCAAACCAGACAACGTGGCAAGAGAATCCTTCAAATCTGGTGAGAGCTCATTTGTTGACAAACATGATTGTGTGAAAGACATGTAGGTCTAAAAACAGACTCTATTCTGTTTGTGCATTGTGAGGCTGCCCCTCACTTCCGACTGTCAGTAGAAATATGAGTGAGTGTGAGGTTAACAGCAGTTTGATAATAGCTTCCAAATTTCACAGTTAGATGGTAGTGATGCCTCACTTCCCCTCACTGGGAAAAACAATGATCTTTGAAAACACTGGATGTCCTACATAAGAATGCAGTGTAGCCTACATAAACCTTCATTCGACTTATTTATGTACGCTATTTTCATTTATCATTTTCAGAACATATTGTTCTTTGTAACCAACCCTAACATCTCAGGGAATAGGCTTCTGAGCTTTTTTTTTTATCTCATTTTATTTTACTTGTGAATTAGCGAACGTGGGTGTGTTGCATTCATCAAAGGTGTTTTGGATAGCTTAAAGAAAATGATTATTGTGAAGATGATGCAAATTAGACTGTGTAATTAAACTGAGACTTTAATTCCACAAGCTGCAAAAGAAATCTGCTTTCCCAAAAGAAATCTCTGTAATTTCAACTGTGCTTTTCTCCTGAACAATTTGTGTTTGTAGATAGATGTGTGCAGATACTGTATGCTGCCTGCATAAATTGCATGTTATGGTTGGTGATAAAGGCATGCTATAACATTATTTACTTTGGTCTTTAATCGTTCCTCTTTACTTGTTAGATGTGGATGGTGTCGTGTTTGATAATGGAACCTTTAGCTGGTCTAAGGATGGACCCCCATGTTTAAAAAGGTATTATTATCCGGAAAGTTTCCACAAAGCACCTGAATAGACATTCAGCCAACTTGTGTCCAACTCTCATCAACTTTCCCCCTGACTTACTCCCTTTGTGTGAGCAGGATCAGTGTTAAAGTTCCCTGTGGCTCACTGGTTGCTGTTGTCGGCCATGTTGGCAGTGGAAAATCCTCGCTGCTTTCTGCCATGCTTGGGGAGACTGAAAAAAGAAGCGGGACTGTCTCAGTCAAGGTTGTTAAACAAATTAATCATAACTTATAACGTCCTAATGACTTTGAAAGGCATGTCATGATTGTACAGTAGATTACCTTAATGACATTCTTGTTTTAAAATATTATATATATATATATATATATATATATATATATATAATGCAGAGGTGTACTTACATGCAGATGGGGTACAGTGGTCTGACAACAATGTGAATGCATTCAATGTAAATCTGTAAATAAACAAGCCATTTTAACAATTAGAAAAAGTTCCAAAGCAGTAAAATGCTATTTCCATTTTTTCATTATTTAAAAGGGACTAATCACATTCCAAAATTGTATTAGTTGATTTTTTTAATAGTATTTCTTTGCTTTTGTCTATTTAGGGCTCCATTGCCTACGTACCCCAGCAAGCTTGGATCCAAAACGCCAGTCTGCAGGATAACATTCTGTTTGGACGGGAAAAAAAAGAAAGCTGGTACCAGCGAGTGCTGGAGGCCTGTGCCCTGTTGCCAGATCTGGACAATCTACCTGCAGGAGATGCCACTGAGATTGGAGAGAAGGTGAGACACCTATGCTTTACCCAAAGTAGAGTAATGAGCTAAAGTTATATTATAGAATGATAACGCGGCAAAATACGCAAAATCGAAGATTCCCGGAAATATTGCCTGAGTCACAGAGAGAAAGTGACACACATTTATCATTTTACTGCCTTCCGAGTAACCTGAGGGTCCGTCCTGAATGGATAGTAAAAATAAAAAGGGATATCAGACCTCATTTTGAGCTAAGGGAAATGGCACTAGTTAGCTAGTGTTTTCTTTCCTAAACACACGTTTTAGATGCCATTTATTAAACTCAAGTTAATAAACTGATTCTTTCACTATATTAGGCTTATCAAGATACTGAATTTCAGTACTGAAATAAAAAAAAAAAACATAAATTTTCCGTTAACATTTAAGCACCGCTGATTTGCCATAGTATTCACCAGTGCTCAACGGAAATGACTGTGATTGGCCATAAAGGTCATCAGTTCACCGATCTTCATCGAGTGCAAACACAAACAAGCAATCGACTGATCTTTGCAGTTTTAAAACGCTCCACTGTGCCTGTATTTGTGTTTGCACTCCGTGAAGACTACTAAGACTACTACTATGGCAAATCAGCGGTTTAATAACACGCTCAGCAGCAATTAATTGTTAGTGGGAAATAGACGTTTTTAAAATTTCAGTACCAGGAAAACACTATTACAGACAACACAAGGGTGTGCTACAGAGAACTGCATTGCTTTATTGCTCACCCGGTGGGGAAGCGTCCCCATTGTGTTTACATGGTGCCATGAACTGAATCCTAGAATGGCACTTAAGCTTATTACTCTTAAAGAGATTGTGATTTTGTTTGCCGTCTAATTTGCTTTTAATTGTTTAAATTAAACTCAACTGAATGATATTAAAGAGATGTTTACACCATTTGTGCATTTTGAAATCACTGAAACAGCTAAAGGTTTATAGTCCACAGCATGTTGCTGCAATGTTTACAGTGGTGATCCTATACTACCTGGTTTCTCCTCAACGCAGCCTCACTTTCATTTTTTAAAATGGCAGCCAAGTGAAATAGGCGTATTCGGTTGTATGCAGAAGAATACTTAAGTGAATATAAAAACCTATTTCAGTCATTTAGAGATACAAGTAATCTGCAAGCGAACACATAATTTCTGCTCGGCTCCTGCTGATTCTGAATCTAATGATTTTGCCTGCTCAAATTTTAAATAGTCTGGTTCAGTGTTTGCTATATAGTTCCTCTGAAACCCTCCAGCTCCGCCTCGCTAAATATCATGCCACAAGATTTATAGCTATATGCCTGTTCATGCAGCTGCAGTATACTGTAGATTTTCAGAGCAATCTGTGTATCTATTGGCCGTGACAAGTCTGTTCTTGCTCTGTAGCAGTAGTGTGTAGCAGATAGTCCACTCAAACCAAGTACATCTTTCTTCCATTCCACTTGGAGAGTTTTGATTTAATCATGAACAAAATTGTTTTGCCAGGGTTTAAATTTGTCTGGAGGACAGAAACAGAGGGTGAGCCTGGCACGCGCTGTTTACAGGAAAGGTGACGTGTATCTGCTTGATGATCCCCTGTCTGCTGTGGATGCACACGTCGGTCAGCACATTTTCAACAAAGTCATTGGGCCCAAAGGCATACTGAGAGACAAGGTGACTAATCTAGCAGGGTTCATTCGACAGGCGGGGTGGGTCATTTTCTTATTTCTCAGCAATTTCAAAATCTAACATTCACATTTTATTTAAAAGACACGAGTTTTGGTAACCCATGGCATGAGCTTCCTGCCTCAGGCAGACTTGATCTTGGTTCTGGTGGATGGGGAGATCAGTGAGAGAGGCTCATATCAAGAACTTCTGAACCGCAATGGGGCTTTTGCTGATTTCATCCACACGTTTGCAAACTCCGAAAGGAAAGAGTGCTTTTCGGAGGCCCTTCAAAGAGGTAATATTGCTACGCTGTGTGATTGTGTGAGGCATTCACCATTAAATAATGGACTTCTTATATAAGTTTGAACACTGGTGTTAAAAGCTGATCTTCTCTGTGTTGCTTTAATGTTAAAAAAACCCATGGAAATAGAATTATTGATCATTTTTATTTTTAATTCATATACTTGCAGGCTCCAGAAAGTCCGTAAGATTGAGTGTTACTGACTACATGCCGTTTTCGAGGGATCTATCTCAAGAGCAGTTAATCGGGTATGGAATTTTATATTTGCTAATGCATTGCTAACAAACACTTTAATGACATAATTACTTTAAATGATCCAGAAAATTGAAACTAAATCTTATATTTATGCATGATGACTGTGGTCAAAGTTGGGTGACCAGTCTCTGGATTATGACATTGCAAATAGTTTTTAAAACACAATGTAATCAGATCTGAAAATGATCCTAAAGATGAGGAACGCCTCATTGAGTGGGGTTAAGTTCAACTGGTGGTCTAATCATATGCCTTCCTTCACATTTTAAACCATTTGATCTTGGCATTTTTATTTTTGACCATGGGATACACACTAGGTTAGATTTTAAATAATTGTTGCCAAACATATAATATGCCAGAAAAATATTAATCATTACATTAAAGATCCGACCATAGACTCTTAAGAATTAAATACAAACAGCAAGCTTGATTTTTTTGGCCAGGAGGTATGTTTGAGCTTAACCATGGCTCTTACTTTAGGCATTAAACCAAATCTGACTTCAGTGTTACTCTCTATAGTACTAATCACACTCAGCTGTATCAGTTCTTCACTAAATATCCTAAAAGTGTCAAGACTTAAATGATTTAAACCTCTTTCAGTGGTGACACAAACAGCATTGCTATTGAACCACTACCTGATTCTGATGAAGACCACATCCCAGAGGACCTGGGGAAACTTACGAAGGTTGACAAAGCACGGATAGGCAGAGTAAGATTTATTATTAAATTCTTTTTCTTCTCAAAATATTTTTGTTTTATTTAATCAAATGTTTGACTTTGTCTTCTTTCTGTCCCAAAAGGTCAAACTTGAGATGTACATCGAATACTTCCGTACCATTGGTTTACCTTTAATAATTTCCATAGTATTTCTCTACGCCTTCCAACAAGCAGCGTCTCTGTCAAATAATTACTGGTTGAGCTTGTGGGCCGACCAGCCTGTGATCAACGGCACTCAATTAAACACAGATCTGAAATTGGGAGTCTATGGAGCTCTCGGCTTTGCACAAGGTGAGTAAAGTTTTACCGCTTTACCACAAACAACTTCAGTTGATGTAAGTCAGTGTCAGATGTAACTAATTCATCATTTGTTGTATGTAGGAATTTCCATATTTGGTACCACTGTGGCCATCTCATTAGGGTGCATCATTGCCTCTCGTCATCTTCACTTGGACCTTCTGAACAATGTTCTCCACTCACCCATGTCGTTCTTTGAATCCACTCCCAGCGGCAACCTCCTCAATCGTTTTGCTAAAGAGATAGACGCCATAGACAATATGATTCCAGATGGGCTAAAGATGATGCTAAGTTACTTCTTCAAACTCACAGAAGTCTGTATCATTGTGTTGATGGCCACTCCTTTCGCTGCAGTTATCATCCTCCCTATGGTTTTCCTCTATGGTTTCATACAGGTATGCTTGAATCTACATTTGTGGGGGTTTAGATGTCTAATTTCCTAACTGCAAATGCTAGAATGCTCTTGATCCTTTTTGCTGATACCAGCAATACCTGACACTAGCAGGAATGTTTACGAAAATTTCTCTTTAATTCTTTTCAACCTTGAAGAGTTTCTATGTGGCCACATCCTGCCAGCTGCGGCGGTTGGAGTCAGTGAGTCGCTCTCCCATCTACACGCACTTAAATGAAACAGTGCAAGGCGCCAGTGTCATCCGGGCATTTAATGAGCAGTCACGCTTTATCATGGGTGCCAATCACAAGGTGGATCATAACCAAACTGCTTACTTCCCGAGATTCATAGCCACAAGGTGAGGCACTCATCAAAATTCACTTTATAGCCACATCTGCACTTACAAACAACCACAAAGTAGTCCACCATTCACAAAGTAAGCATTCTTGCATTCAAAAACAGCTAAATGAAGTGCATACAGAATGAAAAAAAAATGTGCTGATGTACTGTAAGACAACTTCTTGTGTTGACACTCACTTATGTGGGATCTTACTGAGCACAATTTTTTGATTAACTGAAATTGCATTGCCATTTAACCTCATTCCAGTTTCCGGATGTGTTTTTATGCAGGTGGTTGGGTGTAAATTTGGAGTTTCTGGGTAATGGCATTGTTCTTGCTGCTTCTATTCTGTCTGTGATGGCAAAAGGAACCCTGAGCCCTGGAATGGTTGGACTGGCAGTGTCTCATTCACTTCAGGTGTGAATCATTTCTTCATTCTCTAGGAAGAAGTTGGCATTATAGTGTTTATAATTGTTAATGAAGTTGTTCAATGCCCTGATGCAGTGTTCTCACCAAACGTGGATGAAGCGTTAAATCGTTAAATCAATGCAAAGATGTGAATATACATCCTGCGGCACAATCTGCGTCATTCACGCTGCCTCATTTGTGCAGAATGTCTGATGTCATCTTTGCATTGACTTAGGGTGCAAATCACTCACGCTTGAAGAATGAAGCGGCACGAGTTGATTGTTTTGTAGAATTTCATCGAGTTGAAAAATCTTCAGCGGACATTTGTGCCATGTTAATCAATCGTGAGCTTGCTATTGTAGGGGAGTGATTATGACGTGGAGCCTGTTGTTGGTGTCCCGAGGTGAAATCCTCTTGCCGACACCAGACAGTTCATCGAAATGGGATTGGCTAAGTTTGAAGCACTGCTGAAAGCCTCAATCACCCAAGTATAGTTTTTGGAGAAGTTGATGAATTTAGAGCTGGGTGCACTTCAGAAAGGATCTAGTGGAATCAGACACGGCGCCAAACAAAACTATGCTGTTTTTCAGCCTTCCTAAAACGCAAACAGCACAGCTACTATCTCAATAAAATCCATGTTAACCATTTAGCAACAAAGCTACAGTCACCGGGGAGACAGAAGCCCGGCCCATGATGCGAATCTGCATCTATTGTGAAGTGAATTTCACATGTGAATGTTCACACTTCTATTGACACGCGAATAGCATGATTTATTTGCATGTGCCACATCTGGTGTGAATACAGCATAACTTCGGAAAACTGAGATATTTTAGATCAAATTTGAGAGCTCTTTGATCCTTCATAGACAGCGAGTTTCCCAACTCATTCGAAATTCAGAAAAAAAAAACATCCTTAAAACAGACTATTGTTCAATCTGAATATTAACAAGTTACAATACTTTTGTGTGCACAAAAAAAAAAACTAAATAATGACTTTAACATTTTTTAACATTTCTAAGTGTCAGTATAGGGCACAGGTTCATGTGCCTCTGATGTTTTACCGCAGATGTGCATGGCTTTGTTTCAAACAGAAAGTTGCGTGTGGGTATCTCTGTGGGTTTACCAAAGGACATAAGGCTACTGAGCATACACAATATACTGACAATGAGGAGAAGAAACTGTAATCAACTGTGTCATAATGTTTTATGTGCACACAAATGTCAAAACACTTCGATTAAATCACTTAAATTAGGCAGGGGTGTCCAAACTCTTTCCTGGAGAGCCGGTGTCCTGCTAAGTTTAACTTCAACTTGCCTCAACACACCTACCAGAAAGATTCTAGTATATGTAGTGAGAGCTTGATTAGCTGGTTCGGGTTTGTTTGATTAGAGTTGGAGCTAAACTCCTCAGGACACCAGCACTCCAGGACCGAGTTTGTACACCCCTGGCTTAAGGCATATGGTCAGGTTTTTTTGTAAGTACTGTACTTTGAATGAAGAAATTGTGGAATATGGAGAATGAGTAAGCTCTCAAATTTCATCCAAAATATCTTAACTTGTATTCCGATGACTTGAGAATGTGTATATAATAACATAATTGTCCTTTTTGTTTTAAACTAACCCTTTAATGACGCAAATATTACAAGAGCTATTCTAGAGAAACTGCATGTTGCAGCCTCACTCTTGCAATGTTCACCCTCAAACCTCAGCTTCACAATAACTTAATTATTGCACAAGATCTGCTGTGGTATATCTTTCATTTGTGGTCAGTGTTTTTTAAATTAAACCAGAGAAGTAAATGCAGTCATTATCATAGCTCTTTTGTGTTGAATAAAGATCAGGCAAATGGGATCCTTTATAGTCAATCTTGTATTATAAAATGCTTAAATGTGTTTGCTTACCTTTCAGGTGACCGGCTTCCTGAGTTGGATTGTAAGGTCATGGACAGATGTAGAAAACAACATTGTGTCAGTTGAGAGAGTGAAAGAGTATGCAGACACACCGAAAGAAGTGAGTGTGGATGTACAGCCTCTCAGTGCCAAATATAATGTGCTATGAATTATAGAAAACAAAAGCTCTAAGAGCCCATTTCTTTCATTGTTGCAATAAGCAATGGCAAGCATTTTTTTGCCATACCTCATTTCTCTCTATATCATTATTTACAGGCAGCTTGGAGCATAGAGGGAAGCTCTTTGCCCCCTTCTTGGCCTCAAACAGGGACCATAGAATTTCAAGATTATGGCCTTCAATACCGTAAAGGCCTTGAGCTGGCTCTAAAGGGCATCTCTGTTCACATCCATGAGCGGGAGAAGGTATAAATAAATTCTAAATGAGCAACTACTTTTAAAAATATTATTGCTGTCAGTTTTTAACACAATTCTTTGCTTCATTTTTCTAGGACAAAGCTAGATTCTTGTAGAGCTTGAGGGAATAGTTTGCCCAAAGATATAAAGATAAAACTTATTTAAACCAAGTAATTTATCCATTTTTAAAGTACTAAGTAGGATATACTGTAAAAGCGCACCGTTGTAATTATACACGACTGTGGTAATGCAAAGTGTTCTTAATAATAGCTTCTATAATTTCCTTGTCTGGAAGTTAAGTAATGCTGAACATTTTCTCACAGACTCTTTGTTTCCTTCTCTTGTCAGATTGGTATTGTGGGAAGAACTGGTGCAGGAAAGTCATCGTTGGCTCTTGGAATTTTCCGAATCTTGGAAGCAGCAAAAGGAGAGATTTACATTGATGGAATCAATATCGCAGAGATCGGGCTTCATGATCTAAGATCCCGCATCACCATTATTCCACAAGTGCGTAAAACTGATATACTTCACCTGGTGGCACTAAAATTAGCCTGCTCAATAATAACTGTTTCTCATAAGCTGTTTCCATCCACAGATGTGAATTAGAACTATTTGCAATACTGGAATATCGCATGAAACATTTACGAATAAAGCACCGTTTCCATCCAATGAGTCAAACAGAACAAAATTGTAACTTTCAAAAATTTCTGCCAGTATTTAAAAAGAAAAATGAAATTTGCTGTGGTGGGAGAAGTCACTGTGGGCCTTGTTCCTCATATCAGTGGTCCCCAGCCTTTTTGTGACTGTGGTCTGGTCAACACTTAACAATTTTTTTCTGTGAATCGGGACAAGTGGGGGGTGTTAGTGGTTTGTAGGTTGCTTGACGACCATCAACCGTTTTCTAAGAGGATGACAAGCTGAAAAAACATTGCTGTCACTCTGCTACATGTTTTATTAATGGAGAAAATTACAAAGCAGACAAAGGTGTTTGTCTGAGACAACTAGTCTACTGAAGTGTGCATATGACATACAAACTGAAGCTGATCGGTCAGTTTTTATCATGTGACTCCCGGTGCGTTCATTCAACTGGGTGCATTTGGAAGGCACGAGTAAATCACGGTGCTTGCGTGTGCAAGCCACACACCTGCATTAAAAATAACGAACGTGTGCGAACTCTAGAAAAGATGCCATATGCGAACAGCTCCTCAAAGGCCACCGTCATTTGCAATTTCCACCAGTTGATCTTCTTGCACAGACATTGTGGATTCACCTGATTTGTTGACAAATGGGTTGCGGATCCATTCCTTAGCAGTTTGCGAGTCCTTTACTGGGTATTTTCCCCTTAGCAATGAAACTTTCCAAAGACGTCTGTTTCTTACTCATTTTGCTGCTTGTGGGTTAAATTTTGTGACCGAATGTGAAATGTTAGATTTATTTTTTAAAAATAAAAGATCATTCAGACAAAAAATAATTCATGATTTCTTATGCAGCACTGTACCAATTGGTCCACAGACCGGTGTCGGTACCTGGCCCGGTGGTTAAGGACCATTGCATTATATAATAAATTACCATTTAAATTTTGGAGCACACCAGTTTAAGACAGTTCTGGAAGGTATTAATACCAAACACTCTGATGACAGACTTTAGCTAAGGCATTTAAAAATGACCAAAACATTTCAGATGTTGTGCAATGTGGTTGGTCCACTGGTTTGTCCATTATTGCCATCCCATCGCAACCATTTATCATCACACGTTCTGTGTAAACAAAATCACATGACTTCTTTACATGACATGCTGGAATTTATTCTGTAAATTAGTATCCATTGTAGTTTTTGCTAATTTTTTGATTAGATAAGACGTGTTTTTTATTTATGTGCTTATAATTATTTCGATTAAGCTTTTTTATGCAATATTCCATTCATTCATTTTCTTTTTGGCTAATCACTTTATTAATCTGGGTCGCCACAGTGGAATGAACCGCTAACTTATTTAGCATATGTTTTACGGAGTGTATGCCCTTCCACCTGCAACCCATCACTGGGACACATCCATACAAACTCATTCACACACATATGCACAACGGACAATTTAGCCTACTCAATTCACCCGTACCGCATGTGTTTGGACTTGTGGGGGAATCCTGAGCACCTGCGAACACAGGCAGAACATGCAAACTTCACACAGAAACGCCATCTGACCCAGCCGAGGTTCGAACCAGCAACCTTCTTGCTACATGCTACCCATTGCGCCACCATGCAGCCCCGCCATATTTCAAATTGTGCATAAAATAAGTGGATGAAAACATAGCTATAGTCATGATTTCAATTATCTCCGAACTCCTAACAAATCTGTGTTTTGCATCTTCCTAGGACCCAGTGCTGTTCTCTGGATCTCTCCGCATGAACCTCGACCCCTTCAACGCCTATTCTGATGAGGAGGTGTGGAATGCCCTGGAACTGGCTCATCTTAAAAACTTTGTGTCTGAACTGCCAGATAAACTCAACCATGAATGCTCAGAAGGTGGAGAAAATCTCAGGTATGTGCATCCAAGTGTGCTAATATTTCACAATTTCAAATCTCTAAAAAAGTATTTTGAAGTATTTTTAATAACACTTTATAATAACTACAAACTATAAATCATTTATTAAGCATTAGCAAATAGTTAAGCATTAACTCTACATTTATAAACATTAGTTAGCAGTTTATAACTGCAGCTACAAATGCTCTATTCTTGACTTATAACCACATTTAAAATGTGCTTAATAATTGTATTTTCATACTTAGTAAATGATAAATTTTTCATTACTAAATTAAGTATCGCATTATTTACAAACAAGTTGTATTTAAGAGTAGTTGAGGGTTTTTAGGATCATTCAGAATGAGTTAGTAAATTATTAATAATACATTGAAATTAACGTTTATAGGTCTTATTATTCAGGCATATATTAATGGTTACTATGAATGTTAATAAATGCTTTATTAACTCAACTTCACCTAGTTTTGTGACCTAATCTAAAGTGAGGACTACTCATGCTTTATAAATCCTTTATAAATGACAAATAAAGGCTAAGTTAAATTCTAAACAGGAAAAATGACATTATTCATTCCTATTCAATTAAAGATACACAAATGAAACTGTACTTCAAATAAAAAATAAATCTTTGCAACCTTATCTAAAATAAAATCAGATGCATAACTGTAGAGTTTAAAAATTACATTTTATTACATTGTTTAATTATTATATTGTTGTTTTATCCAGTTTTGTTGTATTTTGACACTCCTGTTATTCAGCAATTATTCTGAATGTTATTCTGTTATTTAAACTTTACAGTAATTTTACATTTTAGAAAAGATTGCAAAGATTATAGTTCATTTGATACTGAGCCTTTATTTGTCATTTATAAGGGATTTATAAAGCATAAATAGTCCTCACTTTAATAAATGTTGATTTCAATAGTTAATTAATCATTTACTAACTCATTCTGAATGATCCTAAAAACCCTCAACTACTCTAAAATACAACTTGTTTGTAAATGATGCGATACTTAATTTAGTAATGAAAAATTAATCATTTACTAAGTATGAAAATACAATTATTAAGCACATTTTAAATGTGGTTATAAGTCAAGAATAGAGCATTTGTAGCTGCAGTTATAAACTGCTTACTAACGTTTATAAATGTAGAGTTAATGCTTAACGGATAATGAATTCACTATTTGCTAATGCTTTATAAATGATTTATAGTGTGTAGTTATTATAAAGTGTTACCGTATTTTTATTCCTTAATCACAATTGACCTGGAAAGGTGTGATTTTTATTTTTTTTTTTTGATTGAGATTAAAAGTGGTGAATGTTTTATTTTCTCCTGCAGTCTTGGTCAGAGGCAGCTGGTATGCCTAGCAAGAGCTCTTCTCAGAAAGACAAAAGTTCTGGTGCTGGATGAGGCAACAGCTGCACTGGACCTGGAGACAGACACGCTGATCCAGTCAACCATCCGCAGCCAGTTTGAGGATTGTGCAGTTCTTACTATAGCACACCGCCTCAATACCATCATGGACTACACAAAGTAAGTCATGATATGCAGCTAATAATCATTGGTTGCCAAAGAGTTTAGACCATGTTACTGCAACTGGAAATATGCTCAAATATAAAAATATTCTCTTTTGTGTTCATTGGCTTGTTACATTAACCAAATAAAAACTGCTTAAAATATAACTAATATACAAGCTGTGCTGAATATAATGCAGTATTATATACTGACAATTGAAAATTAACAAATGTGACAGGAACTTTTGCATTTCCTTTTGGTACTCTGGAACTATAAATAAGAATAGGCCTTAGTCAGGTTAGACAACATTGGCTGCATTTATCCTGTAAGCCATGAGGTCATTTATCTGCCAGTGTCATTTACATTCATAATATGTCCTGTGGACAAACACTTCAGAATCTCAGTACTAATCCAGTTGGTTCTTGCCTACTGGTTTCTGCCCACTTCTGACTTTCTTTATAATTCACAAACTGTTTTTAATGATATAGTTGTAGTATACGATTTTGGATACACCATAGTTCACCCAAAATTTAAATACTCATTTCTTATCATAATAATGTTTCAGTTTTTTCTTCTGTTGAACACAAAGGACAATAAAATAAAATACACTCACCGGCCACTTTATTAGGTACATTTTACCAGTGCTGGGTTGGACCCACTTTTGCCTTCAGAACTGCCTTAATTCTTCGTGGCATAGATTCAACAAGGTACGCGAAATATTCCTTAGAGATTTTGCTCCACATTGACGTGATAGTATCACACAGTTGCTGCAAATTTGTCAGCTGCACATCAATAAAGTGAATCTCCTGTTCCACCACATCCCAAAGGTGCTCTGTTGAGCTCTGAAGACTATGGAGGCCATTTGAATACAGTAAACTCGTTGTCATGTTCAAGAAACCAGTCTGAGATGATTCGCGGTTTATGCGAACCATGGCGCGTTATTTTGCTGGAAGTAGCCATCAGAAGATGGGTACACTATGGTCATAAAGGGATGGACATGGTCAGCAACAATACTCAGGTAGGCTGTGGCGTTGACATGATGTTCAATTGGTACCAATGGGCCCAAAGTTTGCCAAGAAAATATCCCCCACACCATTACACCTCCACCAGCCTGAACAGTTGATACAAGGCAGGATGGATCCATGCTTTCATGCTATTGATGCCAAATTCTGAGAGAGGGTGCTCGCTGCAGAGCCATTTGAGGAGAGCTGAGCTCCAGCGAGGGGGAGCATGAGCTGTTGCTCCTCCTCCTGTAAGCTGTTTTAATGCGTACACCAACCCCACCCCTAACCCTACCCCCAGTGACATCACTCGTAGAAGAAGTGCAAAAAAGGTGGAGCTCAAGCTTAAGCTCCCCTTCGCTGGAGCTCATCTCCCCTCAAATGGCTCTGCAGCGAGCACCACTTGAATTCTGACCCGACCATCCGAATGTGACAGCAAAAATCGAGACTCATTAAACCAGGCAACATTTTTCCACTTTTCTTATTGTCTAATTTTGGTGAGCCTGTGTGAATTGTAGCCTCAGTTTCCTGTTCTTATCTTACAAGAGTGGCACCCGGTGTGGTCTTCTGCTGCTGTAGCCCATCTGCCTCAAGGTTGGACGTGTTGTGCATTCCGAGATGCTCTTCTGCATACCTCGGTTGTAGCAAGTAATTATTTGAGTTACTGTTGCTTTTCTATTGGCTGGAACCAGCCTGACCATTCTCCTCTGACATCAACAAGTCATTTGCGCCCACAGAACAGCCACAGGTATTTTATCTTTTCTGACCATTCTCTGTATACCCTAGAGATGGTTGTGGGTGAAAATCCTAGTAGATCAGCAGTTTCTGAAATACTCAGACCAGTTTGTCTGGCGCCAACAATCCTGCCACATTCAAAGTCAAATCACCTTTCCTCCCAATTGATGCTCGTTTTGAACTGCAGAAAATCATCTTGACCATGTCTACATGCCTAAATGCATTTAGTTGCTGCCTTATGACTGGCTGAATAGAAATTTGCATTAATGAGCAGTTGTTACCTAATAAAGTGGCCGGTAAGTGTATGCTGGAAGTCAGTAATTATTGATTTCCATAGTTTGTTTTTCCTACTATGGAAGTCGATGGTTATTGTTTCTTGCATTCTTTAAAATATCTTATTTTGCATTTATTAGGGAAAAAAGTAATGATGGTTTAGAACAACTTGAGAGTGAATAAACACTAAATGAGCATTTTGTTTATATCTAGCAGGTTTTCATAACACAACGTGCCCATTTGCTAATCTAAATAAGCCTAAATATAAAGTTAGTTTTGATCGCCACACCCTTTCGATTCCCACTCCCACACACTAAAGTTTGTAAAACCGCGTGTTTATTTGTGACGTAATCAATTAATGTAACGACATTAAATCAGTAAATGACTACGAACCACTGTTTTTATCCGCACAAATGGCAGTAATAGCTTAATGTGTTGCTGCTTTAGTAATATTAATACTTACGTCATCATAAGTCAATTTAACAGTTTGGGAACATGGTTGGAAGGCGGTATTTAAGCGTATGCTACATATTTGAGCATATTGTTGTAAACTTAATACATGTTTTTCTGTTTTCTCAGGGTAATTGTTATGGATAAAGGACATGTCGTTGAAATGGATTCTCCCAGTAACCTTATAGCAAAGAGAGGCCAGTTTTACTACATGTGTCGGGAAGCTGGACTCTTGTAAGACTTTATAAATCGCTTGTCTTCTTGCGCCCTCATGTGGTGAAAACAGAATCTTCAGATTCTTCATTTCTCAGTGCAGAACACAGAGGGACATCATAACCCACCTGGTGCTTCACAAAGGAAAACAAAAAAGCCCAGGCACTTGAATTACACTTTTCCCCTGATATGAAAATGGTTTGCTTGATAAATCTGAACTGAAGCTAAGATGCAAGTGTTTACTCAGGTTACCTCCATGGACAGTGCTATTTTAAGCAGCTCTAAAGAATGAGGAAAGGGGTTTAGCATTCTGCCGGAAGTAAATAATGGTGCTTTCAGCGTTATTACAGAAAGTTGTAGCTGATAGAAACCTGTAAATCTGCATCTAATTAAACAGGCACAAGGTATTGAGGGAGGATAGTGTTATGCATGTGCCACACTCAATAAAAGAACATGAATGTGAATAGCTAAGATGCTAGGCAGGTTTTTATAAAAAGAAAAATCAATGAAGACATTTATATAAGCTCTAGTGGTTTCACAGTTCTTCTCACAGACAGTTACGTGAAGAAAGGAGAATAAATATGTTTACTAACATATTGCCACATATACTTGACCTGAAATTCCCAGAAAAAATTCCAGACTCCTTTTCAGACACTAATTAAAGCTTTACGAGAGGGTTTAGGGAGAAATGCAGTATAGTCGCCCAAGTAGCTTGTGGTGTTTGTTTCAGCCAAAGTACACACAGACACACACAAAAAAAGAACAGATGAAAATACACGCAGTACAGAGTAATATTACACGTCTTTATAACTGCTGATCTAATATCTCAAGAAAATACAGTTCAGCATACTGAAGGCAAGATTAAGATATTTTTATTTCGCAAATTTGCACTTCAGTTTGAGAAATCCCAAGTGTTTTGTTCTCTGTTAATGGTTACTGTAGATAATAGTTCTCAAACTCAATTCCTGGAGAGCCGCAGCACTGCACAGTTTTGCTCCAACCCTAATCAAACACCGCTCATGCAACTAATCAAGACTCACCTCAATTATTAGGATCAGCTGTGTTGGATTAGGGTTGGAGCAAAACTGTGCAGAGCTGCGGCCCTCCAGGAATTGAGTTTGAGAACTATGCTGTAGATCTTTAGAAATATTTTAATCTTAAAATTGGACATAAAAAACACTACATCTCGTCTTGTAAGACAATGCGCAAAGTGCCTTTTTGACACTCCAGATTTTATTTATATTTTATATTTAATCTTTGACACTTCATCTCATGTTTTGTATGTTTATACTTGTAATATCTGTATAAAGAAACCTTTGACATCTTGTCTAAAACGTGTCTTCTATAAATATCTTTGTATTTGATGATGAACGTTCATAATTAGGCCCACACAGAATCTCTGCGTGCAGTAATCCAGAATTTCCAGAAAATCCAGTCTATTTATTTACTTGTGTAAATTTAATTTCAGTAATATTATTGACTAATATGAAAATGTTCATTTGTTTTATTTACAATACAGTTTGTAAAGTGATATTTTCAGTCCTTTAGAGGAGATATTATATGAGAGACTTGATTACAAATGAAGTGGATCTAATTGGATTTGCATTGTAAACACTAAATAAAAGTTAAAAAGCTATTACTTTTTATTTTTGTTATGATACTCTAAAATCATTCCACATAAGCCTGCAGATTTTTCACAAAAATCTCTGGAGAAATAGCAAAATAATGTCTGCTGATTCTGTCTGGCCTTATTTATAATTACAAAAGCACAGTGTGTACATCAGACATGGCTAAAGTAGGGCCCACAGGCCGAAGTTGGCCCACCATCCCTTCTGAGAAGAGAGGGAGAATGATGGAACGCGGTTGGGGTGAATGCCTTTAACACAGATCATTATTGAATTTAACAAAACCTTTTGTTTCTTTGTTTTATCGATGAGTTACAAAATACTGAAAAAAATTTTTTCAATTAAATGTAAATAAATCAGACTTTTAAAATGTAAATACTGTCACTAGACAGATAGAGCACAATGCACAAGTCATCTATGAGTAAGGCCAGACAGAAAGCAGACTTATTTTGGAGTAAATAAAAACGTGTGTGTGTGCGTGTATATATATATATATATATATATATATATATATATATATATATATATATATATATATATATATATATATATATATGTGTGTGTGTATATGTATACACACATACACAAACATACATGAACACACACATGTTTTTATTATATATATATATATATATATATATATATATATTTTTTTTTTTTAATTATTATTTCTTTCTTACTTTTAATGTTTTAATGCAAATCCATCTAGATCCATTTCTTTGTAAAACAAAGCAAGTCTATTATATATTACTTTACAACATGTATTGTAAATAAATCTAATGAACACTTTATATTAGTCAATAGTATTACTGAAATTAATTTTAAAACAGAATATACATAAATTTACACACAGATTGAACTGTGTTATAAATAGGATTGCTTATGTTTTTCCAGTAATAAGTTCATTATAGAATGTTAAAAATGAAACTGGGTTAGTTAATATGATTTAAAGCAGGGGTGGCCAGAGTTTTTTCCTCTGAAGGGCTGAAAATCAAACTTGATTGAGGGCAGTGGGCCTAATATATACCAAACTATTTTACAATAAATTTGCCAAAGAGAATTTTATCATTTATATGATTATACTTTAAAAACAAAAAAGAAAACGTTGCTTTTTATCATATTAACTATCCCAGTATAATTTTATTATGAACTTATTGTAAAAACAAACAATCCCATTCATAACACAATAGAGTTCAATGCTGAACACACTAGTCGAGCTGCTCCTGCCTTCACCTTGATTTGCTAATAGGCCTACACAGAATCTGCACATGCAGAAATCTGCAGATTTTTACCCCATCGAGTCTATTTGTGTTATAGTTATTCAGTTTTTATATTAATTTCAATAATATTGACTTATGAGTGTTCAGTTAATTTATTTACAATACAGGTTGTAAAGTAATAATTTCTGTCATTAAGTAGATATGGTTTATGATAGATTGCTTTGTTTACCAAATAAGTGGATCTAGATAGATTTAAGATTAATTTTTATTTCATATAAGAAGTTTTTATTTACCCCCAATATAATCCCCAAACAAGTCTGCTTAAATATATATATATATATATATATATATATATATATATATATATATATATATATATATATATATATATATAAAAAAGTCTGCAGATTATTTCTGGCCCTACTCATATATGACTTGCGCATTGCCCTCTGTCTGTCAAGTTAAAAGTCTGATTTATTTACATTTAACGAAATCATTTAATATCAGCTTTTTGTAACTCATCGATAAAACAAAGAAACAAAAGTTTGTTACATTAAAAATCACGATCTCTGTTAAAGGCATTCACCCCAACCACCTCCCCATTATTCTCTTTTCAGAAGGGACGGTGGGCCAAATCAAAGGTTACCATGAGTTAACTTTGGGCATCTCTAATTTAAAGCAACATTTTCTAGTTTCTAGTATTATCAAATTAATTAGCAAATTCCCTTTGGCAAATTTATTGTAATATGGTTTGGTATACTTTCGGCCCATACTTTGGGCCCCCTGGTGTACATGATGGAAAACCGCAGAAACAAAAATGAGTACCAAACTATATTTATTGTTTACAGTAGTAAAGGACAACAACAAAACAAAACAAAAAAAATGTACATATCAGTACAGAAGGATGCCAACATCTGGAAATCTTTGAGTCAACCTTTAAAACCCTCTCTCCCTTTCAACCATATGAAGAACAACAGCAGGAAGGCTAGAGATGTTAAAAGGGATCAGACCAGCCCTGCGAGCGAAGACTGAAACGTTTCCTCAAAGCCTGAAAAGATTCCCTTTTCTGCTCATAGTTTGGGGGATTAAAAAAAAAAAAGTTTGGGGTGAAAAACAAAACATGTATTGGTCTTTAAGTCATTCCAGTCTCCTCAACCAACACGAAAGTGGAAACGGGAATGATGAATGGATATTTCTACACACATTTAAAAAGTTAGAACTAGTTGGTGTAATCCTGCTCTTATCAACAGATCGAGTACCATCCTTGGGGTTTGGTCCAGAAAAGGTGTTGGGGGTCGCTGTCAAATTGTGTCGTAGTCAAGTCTCTTCATTTTAAGTGACCAATAAGACGATCACAGAACCCGTCCCTACAGTGAGCTCATACGAGAAGCGGCCCCATTTAAAAAGGCAGATGAATACAACACTGGTCGAACATATTTCTACAACACATACAGGCAAATAGCATCGGAGTTACTACCTTAAAGCTCTTAAGAATTGAAAGGTGAAAACGAAAATTAAAAATAACCATATGCTTCCTCACTTTTTATTGGGCAAATACACTGAGGAGGGGTTTGCACTTCCCTGATGTGATTGGCCATTGATTCTGAGCAACATAACAAATAAAAAAAAGCCTGCCGGGATGTGTGGTGGACAATATGAAGAACTACACCCTCCCTCGATGTTTGCTCTCCCACCACAGGAACTGTTTAAACATTGCGTATATAAATATTACTGGAAACACGTATTGTGATGCCCACTCTAGTGATGACAAGAGAGAAAAAGAAACGATGTGAAAGCATCTGAATGAAACATCATGAGGAATAAAATAGATAAGTGTGGGGGGGGGGTTCTGGGTGGTGTGGAGTTTTAGCAGGAGCCGCCGGTTTGTTGCTGAAATACGTCGATCGTGTCCTCATCCTCCATCTCCAGCTAACAATCGAAAACGAGAAGATGCGTGAATATAAATATTAAATATAATATAAAGGTGTGAAACTATTTGAATTGGTGTACACTAGCGTACAATGGTAGATTTGTTTATTATAATGATACGTAAACCTTTATAAGATTAACAATGCATCAACTTACTTATTAAATCATATTTACAAGTTAGTGTATCAAAAAACAATTGATATCCTTCAGAAAAATTTTTACTGTTTGTTTTTGATTATTAAATTACTTTAATTGAACGACACTGTAAAGGGTTTAATAATTGGGTTATCGAAATTATACACATTTTTCAGTCAAATTACACACAAATTAATTTCCAGAGTTAACTAGGAAAATTTTTATTGAAACAAAGCAGATATTGATATTTAAATTGATATTTAAATTAATTGAACCCTTTGACTGCCCCTCTACCAAACAGTTGACCATGTTTTTACAGTTTTAAATAATTACTGTTAAAGGCTAGCAGTAAATCTAAAGAATGACTGTTTTAAATAATGGTTTACACTATACAGCATTACTGGTTTCTAAAAAAATAATAAAAAGTTAGTATTCAAACATGTTTTACTTTAAATATTTTTTTAATAAATTGGTCTTACACTTCACATTTTCAGATTTTCACAGTGTATGTATTAAGTCTGGTACTTTTACCTTAAACCAACATATCAAACATTTGGTAGAGGTTGATATTTTAGAAATTATGGGATGTGTTGAAAAAAAATATATATATATAGCGACATTAGGAGTTAAGAAATGCATTCCAAACATTTTTGTAATTCAGAATTTTTTCTTGGTGGGGTAGTTAAAGCATTAAGTACCAAATCAGAAGGCTGAAAAAACTATATGAAAGCTGAGAATTTAAAAAATACAATTAGACTATGAACAAAGGTTGATGCTGAAATATGAGAATATCACAAATAAATAAATGTTTATACATTTTAAAATGGTCCTTTGATGGACAGAGAAAAAAAATAGTACTCACCTGCGCCGGTGTGTCTGTCTCATTAATCGGTTGTCCGTCAAATCTAAATCTAATCTGTCTTATTGACAACCCCTAAAAGAAAAAAAAAGCAATGTTATAAGTCTAAATTTAAGTGTATTACATAATGAAAAGTTGTGAAATTTAAGTTTAATTGATTTGTAAAATAATTTCCACAGCACAGTTCAGGAACCACACTGACAGTAAACTGTATGAACCACATGGACATCCCACACAGCAGTGCTATGGTTAAATTATTTTGATCTGATTCTTACCTGTCTCTCGCAGTACGCTTTCATTAATTTACTGAGTGGCGTGTGCCTTTTAATTTTGAACTGGACGACTGAGCCATCCTGCCCCGCCACCTTCAGATTGATGTGGTCGTTTTCCGTTTTCACTCCCTCCTGAAACAATAACAACACAGAGCATGTTTGAGAAACTTTAACAATTAAACGGTGTAAAATGTACAGATATGTAGCGCATAAAACAATTACATCTGAGATCTATACTGCTATGGAAAATTGTGCTAGGCCCTTGGAACATTTTTAGGAGGGAAAAGACTGAAGAGGAGAACAACCAGGCCTAGTGCATGCTAGTTATAAGAACTAAATGATTTGATGAAAATATAGAACAACGTTAAGTACATCCTGGTTAAGTATTAAAATACCAGCTGTGGTAAAGAATATAAACAAACGATCTTTAAAAAGACATGCAAATACGAGAGAAAATATTAGCCGTCTAGTCAAACATATTGTTGCGGCGCTGTGCGCCATTTTTAAGCATTTGGCGCAGCGAGGTGCAACTCAGAACTCAATAACCGTAAAAGATAGATTAGTCAAATTAAACTTTTGATGTTGAATACGTTTGATTGACGAGGAAAATACACGTCATCCGTTTGTTTACAAACCAAACAATGGACAACCATTGAGTACGACGACGGTTTTATATTTCGTACCGCTCTTCTTGCGGCATTTTCTTACGCCAGTGGCGTAACGTGGCCGGTCAGCGCCACTCCGCTCTCACAAAGAAAAACCCGCAAACGCCGAATTACACCAGGGCAAATGCGCGGTACATACAAATAATGGCTTACTTTGAATGAGCGCCTGCGTAACGCATCGGTTTAACTTAACAGTAACAAGAATATTATCATATAAACCGAAAGCGGATGGCGTTTACAAGAAATGAAGACAATGATTGCGTGCCGACCGCCTTTCTCCCGCATAAATGCGCAATCTGACTATCGCAGCAAGGTTGCACAAAATGAAACTGGAGAACGGCCTCAAGCGGCTCGTTTTGAGCAAAGCTGAACAACACAGTATACTCAAATATTGGATGCTTACCTTAGGCTTGTCTTCGGACATTTTTGCAGGTGTCTGTCTGTATTACGGAAATAGATTAGAACACAAGACGCGCTCTCCACACTGTAGAGCAACACAGCTGCGGACGGGGACGCGCTTTCCTTTACCTACTTTATCAACGATTGGTTGGTTTCTGGTCACGTGATGTCCACGAGAGCGCGCAATACTCCCCATGGATAATCAGGCCTGTGCTTATGTGCAGTTCAGGTTTTAGCATCAAGACTTAAGGAATCAGTTAAATTTAAAAGCACTTATTGCTTTAGGAGGTACAAAATAATAAGATAGTTTTGTTATATTTCCTATTTTGTACACAGTGCTGCTCGGTGTTTTTCTGGTTCCGTTTGTGTTATCTGATGGAGACGAAACTGTCAGGTTTCCTATCCCACATGAAAAAATACTGCAATATGTTACAATAAATAGCATAGTGTTTTATATTTACACTGCATAGTATTGTATGTGCAACTGCATGCTGTAGTATTAACTATCGTAACTGATAAACTAATAGTGTGGTATACTTATATTTTACTACAGTAAACTGTGGTGTTTTGATGTATAATATACATAGTAGTAGGAAAGTTACAGTATTTGAAGATTTGTTTATATAGTTGTTGTACCACAACATCTATATAGTAGAATTACCTAAACAGATTAATTCAAGCATTTAAATACATTTTAATATTATACAAGAACACTCAAGATGAAATTACTAGCTCTGCCTTTAGACGTACAGTATATGTGTGTATGTCTATGATATATGTACTATGTCTGTATTTTGTTAGGACACAGTCAGAGAACACCAGCCAACGCTTACTGATGCAAACATTTGTGTATTTGACATCTGTACTATTGTGTTTATATAATATTCATTGTGTCTCAATACTGGAAAGATGTGCTATAAAAATTATCATCTGCACATTTTTTAAACAACATTCTCATGCATGGAGAAAAAAAACATTATAAAAAAACACAAACACAGACAAACTTGTTTTGTTGGTATAAGTGGTGTAATGTATTTTGTACACTAAAAAACACAACTCTCAGGAAATCTGTGGCAAATTTTGAATATGAAAAGAAATTACCATTAAGTATGTTAAAAAAAATTAGTTTTGAATTATGAATGATGTCCTTATAAATCACCTTAATCCCTAGGCCCACATAGAAATCTGCGCCCATAAAAAGGCAGGAATTTTATTAACAAATCCATTAATCTTCATTAATTTTAGACATTGATATATAGTTTTTTAGGAATTAATTGTGATATTTCAAGTGTATTTAAAGACATGAAATAAAACCTCATTAATTCATTTACCTTAAATAAAAATATAACATTACACTGATTTCATTTTGTGTGTGTGTGTGTGTGTGTGTGTGTCACCCCAAGATTTGGTGTGGTCTCTTCTGGCCACCCCTACGAAAAATTTCTAGGGGCGCCACTGCACACGAGTAGTAGTAGGCCTGCCTTTGTGTTCAACCAGTGATAATATACAGCCACAGCACTGCTACGACGGCAAAATCGTGTATATATATATATATATATATATATATATATATATATATATATATATATATATATATATATATATATAAAATCAAACACGGAGAGACTAAAAGTAAAAACCCTTTTGTATGAGGAACTACTTTCTTCTGCCATTCCTTCACATCTGCTGCTGACATCAGAACAGCAGAAGTTGTTACTAATTCACCAACATCACTTTAGAGGTAGCATTTGAATGATTCTCTAGCGTAATGTCTAAAGGGATTACAAAACAGGAGATTTTTCTGACATTTTAAGATTATATGGCTGAATGGCATTAATCAGTCTATAGAGATACCTCACTACAGTATTACAGTCTACAGTATTTCTCTGTTGCAATTGGGATATCACAATAATTAAACCCAAAAAAGCAGCGCAATCACTACCAGACTGCTGTTGTGTTTGCGATAAGGAAAAACGCTAAACACATTCGGGCATTTCTTCTTCCTTACTGCCAACACAACACATATTCCTGATATGTGAGTCCCATCTCACACTCAATAGTATAAATACAGCATTATAAAAGAGAGATTGATTTAGAATATCACTCACCAGTTTAATAAGGTTTTGATCAGCTGTAGAAATTACGCTGTTTTAGCTTCTAAGGCACATTTTACAAGGCCCACGAGGCAAATGTCAAAACTTTAATTCAGGCCTGACAACAAGTTTTGGTAATGAAGTTCAAGTGGCCGTGCTCACTATAAATATCAGGTCTGTGACAATTACCATATTGAGACGCAGGTGGTGCTGTTGCGCTTTACCATACTCACCACTTTAGACGTTAACGTAACGTTACACTAAATGTAAACAAGGTAAAATATTTCTGGGACTAGCACAATGTCAAAAAAACGCAAAGTGGACTGCGAATATCAACAATTTTAACCAAGGTGAAATACTCATGTGATTTTTTTTGAGCAGTAATTTTTTTTTTATATATTTAGGCTACCGTTTATCTATAATAGCCTACTAATAAATATATTGCATTAATTTTTCCCTCTTAAATCCATAAGTTCAGTTGTAGGCATCGACAGTTGACATGGATCATTTCATGATTAGGTTGCCCTTTTAAAGCTAAAAGAATAAGTTCAATAATTTAAAATCAGAAACCATCTGTTGCTTGTTACAATGTGGTTTATCAGTTGTTGGCGTTTTGTTTTATCATCAGTTTTTTCTGAATATGAAATTGTTTTTAAAGTAGACTACTGTTCTATGCCATCCTACTGTACTGTTTTATGCTTATATTTGAGACCTTGTTTTATGTTTTGATAGAGATAAAACCTTGCTATTTTGATAAATGTGGTTTAATGAAATGTAAGAGATGTTATATAGTTGTTAATACACTTTTATCTTCTCCAATTAATAATTAAAAACAAAATGTGTATGTATGGCCCCTGACTTTACTCACAACACTCAGCAACACTTGGACCTTACCAAGTTCTAAGGGCTCATTATGTGGCCTCTGTCGCCATCTTGTGGATGGACGTCTTTGGCCTGCTCAATGACAGGCTAATGGCCGTCGATGAAACATTATAAATATTTTGAAATAGGCACTGTCCTTATGAATAATGTGCGTAGTTGTAATCTAAACAACTACATTCTTGACTAATAAAGCCTCAAAACTACATCATGTTGTCCAACAGCAGCAATACTTGGCCGCTTGTTGCTTTATGTGGGTTGGTCGATAGTTGTTACTGGCAGAATATCCCACGGCTATCAACCAATCAGATTCAAGAACCAGACAGAACTCTTTTAAATATGTTTGTCGCACTAAATATGTATAAAATATGTATATGTATAAAATATGTATAAAAACTTTAAAGAAAAGACAAAAAAAAAGCAGAGAAAAAAAAAGCAGAGACTTTTAATTATATTTATTCAAAATAAAAAATAAACCAATACACTGCATGAACAGCCATTCATGAAGCTTCTTAAAATGTGTGTTCAGCTATAGAAATAAAGAAAACAGTCACAGACTAAAGAGTAATCCTTCACTCTGTTTCAAACCCAGCAGAATGATGTTCATATGACTTCACATGAGAGTGAGGTCAATCCACAAAGAATAGTTCAGGTTTCATTGTGACGAGCCAACGTTTCGTTCTTCTTTATACAATGACATTATGATCAACCACAAAGTATGAACAGAAACTAAACAGCACAATCAGCATGAGAATGTTATGATGAGCAGATAGAGTTGAAGTCAGAATTATTACCCAATTTTTACCCAATTTCTTTTTAACGGAGAGAAGATTTCTATTTCTAAACAATAGTTTTATTAACTAAATTCTAATAACTGATTTATTTTTGCCATCATGGCAGTACACTACATAATACTTACTATATAGTAGTTATCAGCTTAAAGTGCAATTTAAAGGCTTAACTTGGTTGATTAGGCAGGTTAGAGTAATTAGGCAAGTTACTGTAATGATGGTTTGTTCTGTAGACAATCGAAAGAAGTTTAGCTTAACACGGCTAATAATATTGACCTTAAAATAGTTTTTGAAAAATTAAAAACTGCTTCTACTCTAGCCGAAATAAAACAAATAAGACTTGCTCCAAAACAAAAAATATTATCAGACATACTGTGAAAACTTCCTTGCTCTGTTAAACATCATTTGGGAAATATTTAAAAAACAATACAAAATACACAGGAGGGCTAATCATTTTGACTTCAACTGTATCGTGGGATGTGTTTATCAGCATTTTTTCTCTTCCTTAATGATTTTCAGACTAGGAAAGTAATAAACAAGTGAACATTTGTACATATATGATGAATATATTCATGGCTGCTTTAATTAACGTGTGAATGGACACAATGAGTTTAGTCGCTAGACAGATACAAGAATCTGATTGTGGAAAATTATATAAATAAAACGAAAATGACTTAAAAGGGATAGTTCACCCACATATTAAAATCTGTCATCATTCACTCACCTTTCACTTACTCAAAACCTATTCGAGTTCCTTCTGTTGATAACAAAAGCTGATTGCTGGCACCCATTAGCTGTGTCTCATTTCAGAGGCTGCATCCTCCCAAGTCTCATTTCAACAAAATTAGAAGGCTCCTTTACTTGCAGCCTCAAAATGTGTCCTTCATTTCCCAGGTAATCCTTTGCGGCCTCAAACATCCCAAGATTCATTGCGCTGATAACGGCAGGATGTTTTTAAAAGAAAACTCTGGATTAAATGTATGAATTAGGTTTTATTTTACTTGGAGGTCTAAACACATGTTAGAAAACAAGAAGAGTATGACATGTCTTGCTAAAAGGTGATTTATGTGTACATGTATGGTTCAAAGGAAATATATTTCTAGCTTTTGTAAACCTTGCTTTGCCTTCAGATCGCTTAAAATATGCTTTAAAATCACTTTGGAAAAAAGAAGTCATTACAAATTTTATTACCGTTTTATTACCGGAAGCTGTTACAGTTGCCTGGTGGCGAGATCTGTCCTCTGTATAGGCTAGATGGTCTCATTTCAAAATGCTCGTTTCGGCCAGTGTGGACTTCAAAGGACTCACCTTTGAAGTTTGCATCCTTCCTTAAGGGTGCTGCCTCTGAAATGATACACAGCTACTGGCTTCCATAGTAACTTTTTCCCCTACTATGGAAGTTGGTGGGTCCCAGCAACCAGCATTTCTCAAAATATCTTCTTTTGTGTTCAACAGAAAAAACATCAAAGGTTTAAAACCCCATGATGGAGACTCAATGGTGAGGTCATTTTCATTTTCAGGTGAACTGTCCATTTAAAATGAATTCTTCGGTAAAATAATCCCTTGAGCTCATTTTTGTGGACTGTTATCCTAGGCAGCGGATAATAAAAATATATTTGGCCATAAAATAAAGCACCCAGTATATTTTAGTTGGGGTTGTCGAATCTGGCGTAAGGACTTGCCCTGCTGAGACCTGAAAAAGAAAAGAATAAATGTATATAAATGTAACAAAATACACACATTTTACATATAAAATCCATCATAAAGACACTTTTATCAATGTTACATATTCACACCAATGAGAGTTTACTACAGAAACACAAGGGGACAAATTGCATGTACACCACTAGAGGGAGCACAACTTTCAAACAAAAACAATCAAAACAAAATTTGACTAGTAAGAGGAAAAAATACCGACTTTTCCATAACGCTGCATTTTTGAACTCACTTCATGCTACATGTGTTTAAAAGTTTAACAATAGGTTATAGTAATGACTTTTGGACATTCTGCCAGCATTATAACCACTTAAATGTTTCCAATTTCTTGCAGACTCACCATATTTTTGACGGATCTCATCGTGCCTAATTTTCATCTCTGCTTTCCTGTGGCGCAAGAACACAAAAACATTCATTCTTCCAATCGCATGCACACCTTACAGGTATGTTGACAGTCAGTACCCATTACAGCTGTAAAACAGGTTTCTCAGAGGTCATCTTTTGTCACATCTAAGTTCCTCATAACAATATCATGCATAAGCCTTTGCTTGTGCGTATGCGTAAGAGCAGACTTTTTATAGCCTATTAAAGCAGCTTTTCAAAAACTGATATGATCTCGTATCTCCTACTGTCTGTCATTACTATTTTGACTATACAAACGTTAATCAGTCTTACCTCTGCTCTTGTTTCGTTTTCGTCTTGTCGACCCGTCGATTAAGTCTATTTTCATTTCGAGAAGATCTGTGAAAAGACACATCATTTCCAGGATTTAGACCTAGCCTTCCTTAAATGATCTTGAGGTGTCTTTACCGCTTTTAGAGATTTGGGAAGAAGCTATTCACATTTGAAGTAGGCTAAGCATATACAACTGAGGTTAGAATTATTAGCCCTCCCGAACAGGGCTGGATTAAGAACATATTGGGCCCTGGGGCTATAGCCAAAGACATTAGAATACACAAGAACTGTCACTCGTATCTTTTCGAATAGGGAAAATTGTAACGGTCAATATGGTAAATAAAGCCCCGCCTACTAGTACAGAAGCAAATCATCCATCGCAATATAGCAAACAAAGCACGCCTTCTATTACAGGAGCCAATCATCGATCGATATAGACTAACAATACTCCGGGGGAGGGGCTCGGCCCAGACATGAGTTTCTGCAGATTTTGTGGGATTTAGATGTTTATAAATGAAACTAAAGAGACAGTTGTTGTTTATTTGTATTCGTGATGCTTAATATGAAATTTAATGGTAAGCTTGACAGTTCTGGAGAATTTGATGTTTCCCCATTCAGACAGAATGCCCAAGCATACTGCCCGAGAGGTGTTTCAAAGATGGCCCCCGAGTGAAATGACTTGTCTTAAAGGGACTTTGCTATAGAAAACACAAGGGCTCCGTTTATTTTATCCCGTCCAAAGTTTTTTTGGTATTACTATTATTAATTTGCTTATTAATATTGTTATCTAATTTTCCACTATTTGATTTATATTTGATTATTATAAATGTTTTCTTTTTTACTAAAGTAGGTGTACATTTATTCATTCATTTTCTTGTCTGCTTAGTCCCTTTATTAATCTGGTGTCGCCACAGCGGAATGAACCTCCAACTTATCCAGCAAGTTTTTACGCAGCGGATGCCCTTCCAGCCGCAACCCATCTCTGGGGAACATCCACACATATATATACACACTCATACACTACGGACAATTTAACCTACCAATTTAGCCTACATGTACCGCATGTCTTTGGACTGTGGGGGAAACCGGAGTACCCGGAGGAAACCCACGCGAACACAGGGAGAACATGCAAACTCCACACAGAAACGCCAACTGAGCCGAGGATCGAAACAGCGACCCAGCGACCTTCTTGCTGTGAGGCGAACGTACTACCCACTGTGCCACTGCGTCGCCAGTAGGTGTACAAGCTTACAAAATTAATCATATAACATAAACATCAAATTTTACACAGGCAGCAAAATCAGTAAAAAACAAACACATTTGCAGTACTAAATGAGGGCTTTACAATAAATACTTTAAATAGGCTTCTCTTTAAAAAGTTTCAACTTTAGCAGAGCAGAAATCCCTAAAATGTCTTTAAAATCCATGCTTCAAATTTCCCATTTGGTCTTGAATCAATCAATGACAGTAGGTTAGCATGTTTCCCCTCTCAGATATACTGTCTGATGAAAGCCAGCGCCAATATTTCATTGCTCCAGAATTATTACTGTCGTTTTATAAAAGGAGAAATTCATTGATTTAAAAGTTTGCTTTCTAACTGGTTTAGTTAGACTTAAACCATGTATTTTCTTGAGGTAGATACTGCGATGGACATTTTGATAACTGTTTGTGTAGACTATTTGATTTGGTCTTGTTTATGAGAGGGCAGGATTGCGCCCATACAGTATGATTCAGCCTATCCCGACTTCTCTTACGTCAAGTTACTAACGGATAATGTTTGAATTTCTTTTTTTTTTCTGCAATTTTGCTCGGCTAGCTCACCTTTGACTAGACCAAAATAAGACACTGTGTTGGGAAATAAGGGACTTTCTTGGGAAAAGAACAGGACATCTTGTCACTCTTACTGAAGACTAAACAGGGATATTTAAAAATGAGCTAAAGCAGCTCCGAGCCATAGTTTAGCGGTGTCTGTTTTTGAACAGCAGCAAGCTGAAAGGAATACTTCACATTATCAACATGCAAAAGCGTAATGCAAAGAAGTGTTTCCTGCATTATGGCGCAAATTAATTCTTCAGCCAATCATGGGCCCCCTCCTTCTGTGGGCCCTGGGGCTTCAGCTGCTCCTGAATTATTAGCCCCCCAGTTTATTATTTCCCCAATTTCTGTTTAACGGAAAGAAGGTTTCTTTTCAACACATTTATTCTGTAGCCAATGTAGAAACAAATCTTGCTTAAAGGGATAATAATATTGACTATAAAATTGTTTAAAAACTTATTTTATTTTAGCCAAAATAAAACAAGACTTTCTCCAGAAGAAAACATATTATAGGAAATACTGTAAAAAATTCCATGCTCTCTTAAACATCATTTGGCAAATATTTGAAAAATTAGGAAGGCTAATCATTTTGACTTTAACTGTATGTCTAAAAATAATTACAGCCTGAAGCAGGTGACATCAGTTGAAAGATAGCTAAATGGAGGGTGCGCCCTACTGTATTTGTCAGTTAACAATGTGTTGCAAAATATCGAATCCAGCTTGTGTGTTCAGACTTACCCAATGTTCTCACACTTGCAGCAACAGAATATGCAAATCAAAAACCCAATGATGAGTAGAGCTGCAGCCACCGACAACGTAATGATCAATATCTGGAAATTCACTAAATTACACAAAAAAACAAAAGAAGGAAACATGTTACATAGTGTTCCCTGTAACAATGCTATAATCACACGTGCTTGTCCATAATATGAATAACTGTGGTTAGTTTTTAGTATTTGTTGAATCTGATAGTCTAGTGAAAGGACTAGAGATATTCCTTATAGTGCTTGTTTATGAATGATATTGTTATTATATTTAAGTGTCCCACTTGCCTAAATAAATTCCAATAATTCTTTAATTTGTTACATAAATATGCAATAAAAATGATTATTACACAAATAAACAAAATAAAAATAAATAAATAAAAAACAGCACACATTATTTTTTTTAATAATAATATTTATTTCATTATTATTATGGGTTTATGAAATAAATGTAAATATTTAAAAAGTATATTTTTGTAACAATTAACAATTTCAAAACAAATTTCTAATATTAATATTATTTAGTTATTACCATACTGTTGTCATTACACAGGCCATACATAAAATACTCACATACAGCGCCACAAACTATTTATGCATTCATTTTCTTGTTGGCTTTTAGCTTTATTAATCTGGGGTCACCACAGCGGAATGAACCGCCAACTTGTCCAGCATATGCTTTATGCAGCGGATGCCCTTCCAGCTGCAACCCATCACTGGGAAACATCCACACACACTCATTCACACACATACACTACTGACTATTTAGTTTACAAAAATCACCAATAGCACATGTCTTTGGACTTGTGGGGGAAACCGGAACACCCGGAGGAAACCCACGCGAACATGGGGAGAACATGCAAACTCCAAACAGAAACGCCAACTGACCCAGCCGAGGCTCAAACCAGTGACTTTCTTGCTTTGAGGCGAACGTGCTACCCACTGCACCACCGTGCAGCCTCATTATTATAATTATGGGTTTATAAAATAAATGCAAATATTTAAAAAGTATATATTTAATAATTTATTTCAGATTTAATTTGAAACTAATTTAAGCAATACAACATATGCCGTGCATTCCTAATATTATTATTATTTAGTTATTACCTTACTGTTGCCATACCTACATTAAATAGAAAATACATTAAATATTTACATACAGTCAGTGGCACAAACTAATCAATAATAAACTGATCAATGTTAAATGACCATTTAAATTGAAAATCACAATAAGTTTGTACTGAGATATATGTTCTTATAATCTATGTAGATCTTTTGTAGATGTACAAAAGAATGAATTAAACAAACAGTGCAAAGGATTGGATAAAAGGCTGGGAAAATGTCATGTAATTAAATTGTGGAGTAAAAAAATCAAGCAAACAAATAAATAGACAATTAAGGATAAAGTGAACAATACTTATTAGTATAAATAATATGTAGATATTTGTGCAGATAAAAAAAAATGTGTAAAATGAAAAAGTGTATTTGAGGATTAGGCTGAGAAAAAAAACGTAAAGATGAAAATTAGTGTTTAAAAAAATAAAAAAATGTAAAATATATATATATTTCTTACTTGAGCAAAGACCCCATCGAGCATCATTCAGTGGACAGAGGGAATGGGGAGGCAGGATGTTTTTGGCTGGGTATGTAATGCAACGCTTAGTTGTCCGACACCATAGACACTTAAAAAATAAAATAAAAAAAGATTGTCAAATACATTCATCCACTGTATACAATCCAAATCTATTTCAAATTCAAATCAAATTTTAAAATATGCAGATGACACTGTGATTGTAAGCCTCTTCCAAGGAGATGAAAATAGTCATGGTCCCATAATGAATCATTTTGTTCAGTGGTGTGAAGAGTCTAATCTAAAATTTAATGCAACAAAAACTATATGATATGATTGTTGATTTCAGAAGGAATCATACAGTAGCTGAGGTGATTAATATCAGGGGTCAAAAAGTAGAATGTGTGGAGAACTACAAATACTTGGGTATAGGGTTGTAACGGTATGAATTTTTTACGGTATGATAATCGTCTAAAACAATACCACGGTTTGACGGTTTCGCGGTATACGGTATGTTACAAATGTTACAAAATAATAGAACAGTGAAGCAAATTTGACTTTTTCCAAATAATATATTTTCAGTTACTATAAACAACACCACTTACAATGAACAAATAAAAAAATAAGAAAATAATAAATAATGTGTCAAAGTCCAAATAAAGTCCAAATAAAGATGGTGCAAATCCTCAGTAAAAAAAAATAGATATAAATATTTACTATACTATAAATAGTTACATAACGAACTAGATTCAATATGGAACATCCTTAGGTTTTATGTGCCAGCATGGATATGGTTGTCTGTGGATATGGATTTGGATATGGTTGTCTGCAATGCAGACAAACAGCTGCACCTTCATTTGCGTCTTTTGAAAACAGCAAGAGCAGCAGTTCGTCTTTGCTGTGTCACTGTTTTGTCATGTTTCTGTGCTGCTGTGCATGCAAAAGTACTTAGTTTGAGAATTATTTCATGCAAAACTTTTTTTTTGCGTTTTATTTAGCCGCGCATAAATGTATGCCTATCTCTCATTCCGTGTTGTTCAAAAAGCTCAGTGTTGGTCCACAAACAAAAGTGAAACCTATGCTTATTGGTTGTGATATAGCGAGTTTTAACCAATCTGGGCATGGAGGAGGGACAATGCATCAATGTATCATGTCTGGTTTGTCCGGAGACACAGTGACGAGCGTTTCTTTGTCAAATCAGCGTTGTCAAATTTTGATGACGTAACCGCACTGATTCCGGAGCCTCTGAAAGTCTGCTGCTCTGAAAGTCTGTGATACAGCACTAGAAAGCTGAGATTCTCTTCTTTATGCCAATCTTTGAATTGAATGAATGTGATCAGCGGATCAAAAGTTATTAAACATTTAAGAGCAATACTTATTTTTAGCCGCAGGCGGCTGTCTCGGTCTTTAAGGGTTAAAACCGTTGATATGCAATTGTTCATGGTATGATAATCGTGCACGTTCAAATCGTGGTAGACCGTCATACCAGTATATTGTGACAACCCTACTTGGGTACCATAGTTGACTAATCTTTAAACCTTAAGGCAAACTGTGATGCTGTGTGCAAGAAGGGGCATCAGCCCCTTCATTATCTCAAGAAACTATCACTTTTTCACATTGGCCCCAAAATGCTTACTCTTTTCTATTGTGCTTTTATCATGTCTATTCTATCCTTCGCTCTGGTGGCATGGTTTGGAGGTCTATCTCTCAAAAAAGAGAAAAAACTGAACTGAACTGAAGGTTATAAGGTGGTCTAGCAGGTTGATTGGTGAATCACATTTGAGTATTGAATTTTTACAGATTGCCCAGAGTATTAGTATCTCTCATCCTCTGATGAGTTTATCTTGCTCCCTTCAGGTCGAAGGTTTCAGATGCTTTTTAGTAGGACAAAGCGGTTCAGGAATAGCTTTGTCCCATCATCTTATTGTCGCTCTGAATAAATTGTGATCTTTCATAAGGTACTTTACTTTGTATGTGTATATGTGGGTAAGTATATGTGTGATTTAATTGTTTATATCAAATGCCAGACTTTGCTGAAAATGAATCTACCTACGGGTACTAATAAGGTCAACTCAACTCAACTTAAATCTAATGTGGTTTTGTTTCCTGACAGTAATAAACAGAAAAAATATTGATGATGATGGCAATGACGTGAGCAGTGACGAGTTATTACACGGCTGACACTGACACACACGTCAGAAGCTCCTAGAACAGCTGTGTCTGTGTGTGTGTGTGTGTGTGTGGGTGTGTGTGTGTGACAATTCTTTTTGTTTGTTTCGTAACAAATGTGTCAACTTCACAAGCTACCTGCCCTGATATGCTAAATATGTCCCACAAAACGAAATATTGTTATGGCTTTCGTTTCTTTCTTGTTTATATATGTAATGTGGCTTAGACAACGTGCATTGTATTAAGCAGATGTTCCATAGAAATAAAGATGACTTGACAAACTCCATTCTTAATTTTACAGCTAAAACAACAACTATTTAAATATCTTGATGGACGTGATGGTACTCTGAAAAAAATCAGGTTTGATTTGAGTTCATTTCAGGAGTTTGAAACAGTTTGACAAAGCAAATTTAAAAAAATGTTTGGTCTTGCTGGTAAACTCATTAGAAGTCTCTGACTCTTTCTTTTGTTCTCTTAAAAACACCGGAGGGCTGATTTATGTTTCAAATATAATTATACTAATAAAAAAATGGACACTGTTTTTTCAGGTTGAAGCCCAGGGATACACCAAGTTGACGTCAAAAAACTACACTGAAATAAATGATTCATTCTATTTACTACATTGGTAAGGTAAGTGGCTGCAACCAATTTATTTGGGCTGAATTTAAACAACAAAATTAAGTTGAACATTACTCAATTAAATTTTTTGTTTAAATTTAGCCCATATAGATTGTTTGCAACAATATTGCAAATCTGAACCAAAAAGCTGCACGTGAACAAACCAGAGGAACTACAGCCCAAATAATGTAGATTTTGCATCTGCGTGAAAGGATGTATCTTTGTACACCTGCAGATGGCACTATCTGTATTGTCATTCTACAAAGTGAACTAATGCTGCACACATACAAACTATAAACAAAACAACATTTACATACATTTTCACTGTATTTGCAGCCTGATCTCACGAGGAAACTTAAGTATTTTACGTTTTGTCAGTTTAGTGGCTAATCCGTATAAATTTGAGTTCAGTCGCACGAAAATGTACGATTTTAAAAAGGAGGCGTGGCACCTAACCCCAACCCTAACCCCAACCTTTATTGGGTGATAAGCAAATCGTACTAAATTGTACGAATTAGATCGTATGAATTCATACGAATTAGCCACTATATCAAAAAGTTACGAATTGCCGTGAGACTGCATTGGTATTTCTCACTCCGCACAAATGGATTTACTTGAGCAAATGTCTGATATTCTAATAATCCTTACTGTTTGTAAATATTTAAGAAAAAAGACAATATGACAGCTGGATTTTGTCTCTTCAGTTTTTGTTCTCAAGCTTTAATTTGTACCCAATTTGCAGCCAATCAGTGTGCTTTATTTAATTGACGCATTATGCCGATTCTACATGCTGAAACCCCCTCTAACGTGAAGCTGATGAGAGGTGATGTGTGGTACATGCTAAAGAAACTAGCTTGAGAGACGACCGTCGACTTATTGTGTTAGCCCTTTTAGCCGCTTTCATTAAATGGAGATCATTAAATCTAAACCTAGAATTCTTCCAAAACTAAAAATTCTGTCATTAATTACTACATTATTAATATTAACCCTCAAACACAAACCTGTTTGAGTTTATTTCATTTGTCGAACATGAAGGAAGATATTTTGTAGAAAGCTGGAAACCAAAAACTATTAAAAAAATTTATATGCAAACATTTGCTGTGATCAGATCACTTCTTGACTCTTGTTGTTTTCTCACCCGTGTCATTTTGTTTCTTCATTTAGTCAATATTAATGCAAAACCTACACACATATTTGTCTGAATGCCTTTTAACAGTATAGATGATGTTAGGATGATTGCAAAGACATTTTATACTTATTTTACCCTTATTTAGCTAGTTTCTATTTCAGAGGTCGCCACAGTGGAATGAACTGCCAACTATTCCAGCATATGTTTTACACAGCGGATGCCCTTCCAGATGCAACCCAGTACTGGGAAACACTCATATACACTCATTCATACACACACACACACACACACACTCATGCACTACGGCCAATTTACTTTATTTAATTCACCACATAGAACATGTCTTTGGTCTGTGGGGGAAACCAAAGCACCTGGAGGAAACTCATGCAAACAAGGGGAGAACATGCAAACTTCACACAGAAATGCCGGGACTCAAACTAGCAACCTTCTTGCTGTGAGACGACTAACTAACGACGTGCTAACTATTGAGCCACCATACCTCCCTCCTTATTTTTTATGCCACAATAATCAATGCCGCATAATGCAGTTTTGTCTACTGAATTGTTATGCCACAGAGTAAGAAACTTCAGATTTAACACTGCTTATGAATCAATAATTGCTTGTCTTTAACAAAATTTTAAAGAGAAGATGGAACTATCAACAATAGCTTCCATCACATAAACTTGCAACTGCTATCAAAACACCATGATTTGTACTAGTTTGTCATCATTTTCACTCTTGTTACTCTGTTATTTAACTCTTACACTATTGTGTCTGTCCCTTCAGTACAGTTATTATTTCATAATTCCACTAATCAGCATAATCTCTCTTTTTTTCCTTGTGTAAATGTTGTGTACAGTAAAGCTTCTGTGCTCCTATTGGTCAATGTCACAGATGTGATGGAACCGGTCATGCACAGTAGTACTGGAAAAAATCAAAACCTGCCAGTCTTTGTTTTGGGATATTGTGTCAGACATGATGTTGATTGTTACACAATAACACACCATGCAATATATATTGTTTGATTTTAGCATTCTGATACCAATTGTGGTTTACAAATCACCACAGCACCCTACAAATCAAGCCAAAACCGGCTGATATTGTTTAGTCCGACCCACCATTATAGTAACAGTGAAGCTTGCTTTAGCAAACAAGTAAAAGGTTAACCTTAGTTACAGGTGGCCTTCAAGGCACTTACGTGCCATGTGACAGAATGTCTCAAACGACTTGGAAAGTCTATGAAGCTGTAAACATCCAGAACAGCCCAAACCGGTTCCACATCAGGTTGAGAAAAAAAATCCAGCCATTCCGGCTACTCCACACATTCTTTATTTCCTCACGACTGTGATTGTTCTTACACCTTTTCCAAAGTCAGATTTAAGCACTTTTCAAGCATTTTCCAGGAGCTGTAACCCAGCTCAAGCTCTTCTGGTGAACGGTCATGCTGTTACAAAATCACCATCTTTAAGGTCTGTTTTCTTTAAAAATCAATGATCTTTACTGCCTGATTGATATCTCAGACGCACTTCATTAAATTCCATTGATCCATGCCATGTCTTCAAATTATGAAAAATTATTTTACCACAGTATTTTCAATGGAGTTTCTGCTGCTCATGGCGGCACTTGCGTTAAAACTGCTTTTCATCTTTGCTTTTGTACAATTAAATTAGTGCTTAAGTCTATTTAACTTAATTTATGCTGTAAACTATGAAACCCTATGAAATTGAAAAAAAGTCACATTAAACTTTCACTGGAAGTTTATTTGCGGGTGAAAAACACTAGCTGTGCATATACCCCACTGTAGTAAATATACGTACTTCTTCATCTATTATATCAGATGCTATTTGTTAAAGGATTCTAGAGTATGCTTTATTAAGAAAAGACTATACTAAGCAACATTTATAATGGCTTGTTTACCCCAATGCCATTATCAACATTGAAATGCTGCCATTAATCATGTGTCATCTTAAATGTAGCCTATATTTATTTTAATAAACTCCAAATGTTGAATATATTATATATTAGATTATTTGGTAAATTTAAAAATATAAATTCAGTCGGACAAATTATGAAAGCCAAACAATAATCATGTAAATAAATCCAAAATCTAGGCACTTTAAAACCTTGAAAACACTAGACTAAAATCCAAGCATTTTAAGGATATCCAGCACCTGTTTTTTGTATTGTGCTTCTCTGATGTCATTTATACAGTTCATATCTTCCACCATTTTGTTGTTAACATGTTTCACCTCAACTCAAATGTTTGTGAATGAAGTTTGTGGATTAGCGACTGAAGTTCTAAAGATACTTTATCTTCCAACACCTGAAAAGCGTCAATTAAAAAGAGAATATTTTATCCAAACTCACATCCACATAGGCCAAGCACTCCTCACAGCTGGTGCCATTCTTGCTCTCACAGCCTAGAAAAGTGAGAAGTGAGAGAAATAACGTAAATGAATGTAGACAGCTTCCTGATTTTACACAATCAGTTCAGTCAAAAACAACAACAAAAGTAGTAATAAACCATTAGAAGTTTAACTCAAAGGGATAGCTCATCCAAAAATGAAAACTTTGTCAGCATTTACTCATCCTTTAACTGTTTCAAACCTTGATGAGTTTCTGTCTTCTGTTGAACACAGAAGACATTTTGAATTTGACTTGGTTCTTGTTTTTCCTACTATTGAAGCTGATGGTTACAGGTTTTCAGCTTTCTTCAAAATATCTTCTGTTGTGTTCAACAACTCATAAAGGTTTGGAACCACTTGAGAGTGAGTAAATAGTGAGCAAGTTGAATATATACATGTCATTCTGTGTTCCTAGAAATGCTCTTTGGTGACTATATATAAGGCCACAATTAGACCTTATGGGACAGGTTGCCTTGGCCATGCTTAGTTACAGTATGAAACTAGACCTAAGCAGTATGGGAAATCAAAGCAAAGCACTTGTTTACTAGTAAAACATTGGTCTTCCAAGAAAATATACTGTATATACGCTTAGTTACTATAAATACAGTAAATTAATGTCAAAGAAGGCTTGCAAATTCTTGCTTACATTGTCAGTTATAAATCTGTATGTAAATTCAACAAGTTTAAACTAGAGACTCCTAATAAATTAGACACGTTTAGACTGTAACATGTTGCCTTACTTGGATGTGGTGTTGTTGGTATAGTTGTAGACTGAGTAGTAGTCTGCGTTGTCGTAGTTGAAGATTGTGTTGTAGTAGTTGAAGATTGTGTTCCTGTTGTGGCTGAAGACTGTCCTGGAGACGTAGTCAAAGTCTGTGGTGAAGTTTGTGTTGTAGTATTTGGAGAAAGTGTTGTATTCTGTGCCAGCGTTAAACACAAAACAACGAGAAGCAGGAAGACCGGAGCCACAAAATTCATTTTCTCTTCTTTAAATGAGCGAATCGCTAAATAAAACAGACTTTTTACGGTTAAGTTGTTATTAATATTAACAGAAAATATCTCCCTCAGTCGAGCCTGAAACTGTGAGCAGGTTTGGTAGTTTTGCTTCCCTTTCAACTTGCAGAACAGCTTTTAGAGATTAAATTACAATACCTGCTCCGGCGAAGGCGTGGCGCATACATATTAAGTACACAGTGCGCAAGATGCGTGGAAATCCTCCTCCAATGGCGATGGCCGTCTTTGAATATTAAGTAGTTCGTGACGTTTTTTAATATTAACTCAATGCCACAAGAACAAGAGGTATTACATATTTCAATAGTTTTCTGAAAGAGAAAAATATAAAGAGAATATATATATATATATATATATATATATATATATATATATATATATATATATATATATATATATATATGTGTGTGTGAGTGTGTGTGTGTGTGTGTGTGTGTGTGTGTGTGTGTGTGTGTGTGTGTGTACATGAAATGTTTTCAGAGCAGTACATGTTTTCAGTGTTTTATGTTTTGTGATTATTCTAAAAGATTTACATATAATTTGAAGTAATTTACAAAATGGGAAAAGTTTGGTTTATATTGAGCCCACTTTTCTTATGTATATGTATTTTCCTAATAACACATATGTGAAATATTAAGTTCCAAATCTTTCCAAAACATGTTTTGCAGGATAAACTCTGTTAATTATATTGTAAGACACTTCTTTAATTTTTTTATTAATGCAAAACTTATGTCAACTTCTAAGCTTTAACCCAAGAAATATTAGTAGGTCATGACGTCGTGTTCAGGGGCAGATTTAACCAATAAGGTAAGCAACCTTTGCATCACCCAGAGACTTTGATTAATCTTTTTTATGATTGTGAATTTTCAAAAACAATTTTTGGGAAGATCTATCATTGTATGTCCAAAAAAAAAAAAAAAAAGGTTTTAAGTTTAGTTAGTAATTTGACCCCCAAAGATGTTATTTTTTATTTTGTTTCAAACAATTTATCCGTGGACTTTTTAATGAATCTTTAAATTTTGTTTGGTAAATTTCATGTTCATTAAATAACACTAAACCTTGTTTAAAGGTTGCTTTTATAGATTTTGATTTTTATATAGAATCACTCAAATATATTAAGAGCGAAAAATGTAAAAATACAATTATTGTGGCAAAGGAGCCGGAGTTAATTGATTATTAATCTTACTGTCAATTGCTTAGGTTAAAATAATATCATTGTAAAGATCTCTATGTTGAATTGTCTTTTAATTTGTTTAATTTATGTAATTTATTTTTTTAGTTTATTTTATGTTATTAGTTACATTTGTATTTTTTTGGATGTCATGTTTAAATTGTATATTTGCTGTTGTTTAATAAAAAAATAAAAAAATTAATCCAAATTAAGTTAGCCCCCAATAAATATCTAGAAGTATAAATTATACCAAAAACTTTATATAATATTGTTTTCTATCATATTTTGTATGGGAGACAAACAACTAAAATTATTACGTAATTAAATATGATTTAATATAAAATAAAATAAATTATTGTTATTATAATGTAATGCTATGTAATAATAATAATATGAAAAAAATATCCACCACCCCCAATCATGGAGCAGTCCAGCAATTAAATTTATAAACATTATATACTTGTTGTTTTTTAGTTTAAATTAATTTTAAGAAATCAAATTATTTAAAATGTAAAGCTTACATTAAGATACAATGTAGAAACAAAGATTGAGTGACATAAACAAAAACAAAAAAACTGCAAAATAAATTAAAATTAAATAAAAAGCAGAAGGGGGGCACTTCAGACTTGGGGGGGGGGGGGGGGGGGTTGCTTAGGTCCCCCAAATGACAAAACCCACCCCTGCTCGTATTATATTCCTAAAGACAAATGACGAGTTACTTTATTTACTTCTTTATCAGGTAACGATTATGTCACTCTTTTACTTTGTTAGACATATTTAAGATTTACAACCAAACATAGACACATTTAATCTCTTAGGTTTATATTTTCTTAATTAAAACAAGCCTTGAGCCTACATTTCCGTGATCACAATAAACCTTTTTTTTTTAATTTTTACAATCAAACTACAATGCAAATACTGCCAGTATGTATACTATTTAATAACATGAATATGTAATGTTAGCATCAAAATAATTAGCGGGCATGAACTGTAAAATAGGATAAAATGCCAACATATAAACATATCTCAAAAATAAAATACATAAAAATTATTTTAATTAATTCGTTCAAACAAATAACCATATTTTAAACATTACATTATTACTATTATGTTATTAAATAGGCGAAAATATAACGCATAGTCATATCTCAGATGTTTTTAGCACCCTCTGGTGGACTGTAAATAAAACACCATAAAAAGCTGTCAAATAGCAGTAAAGATAATCTCCACGTGACATAATCAATATGCAAATAAATCAACTTCTTGCAATAAATTACAATAATTTATTAAAGCATTTTGTAAAGCCAGTTACAAAAGAAACATTTTCTCTCTCTCTCTTAATATTTTAACAAGCACAATTATTCATTTTTTTTTTCTGAGTAAGCTATAATTTGTAATATTATGACAATGTCAATGAGGAAAAAAAATTACATTCAGGCCTTGTACTGGCTGCCTGCAGCTGAGCAAGGACCCCAGTGTGAATGTGTGAGAGAGACAGAACCAACCGTGCAATGTTCGTGTACATGTTTTATATCAATGGTCTCAAACTCAATTCCTGGAGGGCCGCAGCTCTGCATAGTTTAGCTTCAGCCACCTCTAATTCAAATAGCCTCTATTAGTCTTAAACACCTTAATTAGTTGGATCAGTGGTGCTTGATTAGGGTTGGAGCAAAACTGTGCAGAGCTGCGGCTCTTCAGGAATTGAGTTTGAGACCAATGTTTTTATTGATCTTTGTGTGTGAGCATATGTTTATGATCATTTGTGTGTGTGTATTAATGTGTGTATGAAGCAGAGTGTAAGCTAGCACCTGAATCTTCTCAGCTGCTCTGTGTGTAACACACCATCTGCTCTTAACACACACACAAACACACACACACTTCTCATTAATCCAAAACACTGCCACATAAAAATCAAATCTTTTTCACTTATTCATGACTAAACACCTCTATCCATTTCTTCAGAGTGCTCACACACAACTCAACTGCATCTGCAGCACTTTAATGCTGATCTGAGTCTTAATGGTTAAAGAGGTCACGACAAATCAAATGTTGTTTTGATCACACTATATATATATATATATATATATATATATATATATATATATATATATATATACACACACACACACACACACACACACACACACACACACACACACACACACACACACACACACACACACACACACACACACACACACACACACAGTTTAAGTCAGATTTATTTTCCCCCCTTTTACTTTTTTTTCTTTTAAATTTTTTTCCAAATGATGTTTCATAGAGCAAGAAAATTTTCATAACATGTCTGATAATATTTTGTCTTCTGTAGAAATTCTTATTTGTTTTATTTCAGCTAGAATAAAAGCAGTTTTTAATTTTTAATGAACCATTTTAAGGTCAAAATTATTAGCCCCTTTAAGCTATTTTTTCCCAATAGTCTACAAAACAAACCATCATTATACAATAACTTGCCTAATTACCCTAACCTGATTAGCCTAATTAACCTAGTTAAGCCTAGTTAAATGTGACTTTAAGCTGTATAGAAGTGTCTTGAAAAAATATCTAGTCAAATATTATTTACTGTCATCATAACAAAGATAAAATAAATCAGTTATTAGAAATGAGTTATTAAATCTATTGGTTATAAATGTGTTTCTAAAGGACTTTTATTACAATTAAAGGGACAGTCCGTCTGAAAATGAAAATTTCTTTACCATTTAATCATCTTTAAGTGGTAAACTATGAATTTCTTTGAACACAAAATAAGATATTTTGAAGAATGTTGGAAACTGGTAACCATTGACATCCATCCATAGTAGGAAAAGCAAATACTATGGAAGTTAATGGTTACTGGCTTCAAACATTTTTCAAAATGTCTTATTTTATGTTCAGAAGAACGAGACTCAAACTGGTTTGGAAAAAGTGAATTGAGAGTAAATGATCCAACACAGACTCATTCTGAAAGCTCTATATACGTTCCTGGAGATCGTGAATTATGTAGCCAGAGTGACATATGTCTGCATTTTGTTTTTAAAACGAACGCTACAGGGTGGTATGACACTGTTCCTTTTCGCGCTTACCAGCTGTGCGCTTACCCCTGTATGGACAGCTTTTCCGCTACCAATTTGTCCGATAGCTCGACATGTACATTGGCAAACTCGAGACGCTGAGTGGAGTCAAGCGCGACGATGAACAGTTCCAGAAAGCAGGTAAGACAAAAAAAAAAGCTAAAAAATAAAATAAACAAGTAAATAACAGGGTGAGAATATGGTAGAATCTAAAACGTGGTAAAAATCAGGCGAGGGTGTTCTTTTTCTGGATTGCTTTTCAAAACACTGTAGCTGGGTTTAGGGAAGGGGGTGGGCAGGTCAATCCGTGCTTTTTAAAATACTATTGGTTGGGTTTAGGGAAGGGGGAGGGTGGTGGATTGTTCAGTCAGTCAACAGCGGCCTCTGGTTGATTTATGTGAGAACAGCAGGCACGTGTAGCACTCGAGAGAAATTTGAGATCTCAAAAAGCGTACACAGCGGCTTCTGGTGGATTCGCAAAAAAAAAAACTGCAAGCATTTGGCACTCTCCAGAAATGTATATTGCGGTACGTAATCAGAATGAGCCAGGGTTGGAATTTTCATTTTTAGGAGAACTATCCCTTTAAAGCGTCCTGTAAATTTAATACTTTAAAATGCCATTCTCATTAAACAGTTTGGACAGAAAGTCCAATGGTGTATATATATTTGCATTTATACTTCTTTGATAAATAGTCATTCATTTTACAGCTGACATTTCATCATGCATAAATAACTTAGTATTTAAAATAAAATAAAGTAAATTAAAATATGCTTTTGTTGAACACTGTTAAACAGGTAATGTTTTCCATGGACTGAAATTGCTAATTAAATCAGTGGTTGTTTAGTAATAGCCTTAGAGGCTCCATCTCAGGTCATTTCATTTCAAATGAGGATTGAAAATGACATTATCATGCTGGGTTCACAACAAATGTGAATATAATGTTGTTTTCAGCATCCGTTGTGTAAAACATATGTATGCCAGAGTAGTTGGTGGTTCATTCCGCTGTGGCAAATGCTGATAAATCTGGGACTAACTAAAGGATGAAAATGAATGTTGGATTCATACAAAATGTGTAGTAGATTACATACAAAGCCAAGTGTAAGAATAAAATGTGGAGTTAAGCTCAACAGCTTCTACTTTAACTTTTAACTTTAATTTAACTTGAGCGCAAAATTTGCGGGAGGCAAAAAACATCCCTCTATTAAAGAGGTAGTTCACCCAAACATACATCGTCATTTACTCTACCCTTTACTTGTTTTTCAAACTCTTTCTTCCTTAAAACTCAAAGGAGATATTTTAAAGAAAGCTGGAAACCTGTAACCACTGACTTCCATAGTATTCATTTTTCCTACTATGAAAGTCAATGGTTACAGGTTTTCAGCTTTTTTCAAAATATCTTCTTTTGTGTTTAACAGGATAAAGAAACACATAAAGGTTTAGAGCCACCTGGAGGAGAGTAAATAAGGAGTAAATTTACATTATTGGGTGAACTATCCCTTTAATGTGTGTCACAATGCTTCACGGCTGTGTGAATTCGGCATAAGCGAATCTCAAAAAACATCTTAAAACAATGATAAAATGTCATGACCCCTTCAAGAAACTAAATCTGAGATCAGCATGAAAGGGCGTCCCCTGCAAATACTATCCCCAATTATTAACGATAACACTATCCTAACAGATAAATACACCAAACCCCTCCCCCACCCGCTTTCCATAAATATAACCATAACGGAAGTCCCCATACACATAGCTCGCCAAAAAAACACCTTCATCATATTCCATCATCAATAACCGTGTTTCAATTCAGACATACACACGTTCACAAAAGAACTTGCATTACACTGACAAATATAGTTGCATATCAAACGGCAAAATTACACAGGTACTGCAGGATTATACTCACATAAAAAAAAAAAAACAACAGGCATACTTTAGACTCATCGACTCATTGAGTCAATGGATGATTTGTGTTATGGTCCACTGTGATTTCTTTTGTCTGTCGTCTCTCTGGCGTGAAATATTAATAAGAATGCCAGTCATGACTTGTAACACAAAAAGGCTGCTACGGCCAAAACAAAGAAAAATAAACCTGTATTAAGAGCACATATATCATAAACTCGGAGAATGTGTACGTTGTAATATGTTTATGATCTTCTTTTTTTTTCAGAGGCAGTCCTTGTAAAGACAAACAGTCACTTCTGTGATTTAAGGGAACAGATACGCAGCTACATAAGATTAGCCACCAGTTGGTCGAAATGCACTTTAAAGAACTTGAGGTGTTTTTTTACAGTACAGCAAATGTAAAGTTGATGCCAGCAAACGACGTACATCAAAAACATTTTGATTCTTCTCAAGCACCATTTTTTTTTAAAGATTCCAAACCCGCTTGTCTCTATTTGTGCTGGTTTTTCTCTGCAGTCAAATGTGATGATATATTATACAGTTTTATGTGTTTTCGTATGTATGCCGAGATTATATAAACTATCATACAGAAGATTGGGTGACGTAAGATTTTTTTAAAACTGTTTTTGGATTAAAAAAAAAAACTGTTTTCACCATTTATTTAATCAAAATACATTAGCGACTATTATGACAACATTAATTGTGCTAAATTAGGTTTCTATTTTAATATACACTACCTGACAAAAGTCTTGTGGCCTAACCAAGTTTTAGGAACAACAAATAATAACTTGACTTCTAGTTGATCCTTTGGTATCAGAAGTGGCCCATATGAAAGGCAAAGGCCTCTAAATTACTCTTATTTTACCAAAATAAAATATGATCATGCCTTGATTTTTAATTATGTCATTAGGATAATTAGTCATGATGCAGTGGAAAAAGAATGAATATTGTTTATGACTTCCATGAGCTTAGACAAGTTCATCAAGATTCTTTGGATTCATCTTCAATGCCTCCTCCTTCATCTTACCCCAGACATGCTAAAAAAAATTATGTCTGGTGACTGGGCTGGCCAATCCTGGAGCACCTTGACCTTTTTTGCTTTCAGGAACTTTGATGTGGAGGCTGAAGTATGAGTATGAGCGCTATCCTGCTGAAAAATTTGTCCTCTCCTGTGGTTTGTAATGTAATGGGCAGCACAAATGTCTTGATACCTCAGGCTCTTGATGTTGCCATCCACTCTGCAGATCTCTCGCACTCCCTCATACTGAATGGAACCCCAAACCATGAGTTCTCTTTCACCAAACTTGACTGATTTCTATGACAATCTTCAGTTCATGCGGGATCCAGTAGGTCTTCTGCAGTATTTGTGATGAATGGGATGCAGTTCAACAAATGATCCCTCTGAGAAATCGACCTTCTGCCACTTTTCCAAATGATCAATTAGATGTGAAGTTAATTTTTGATTCTTTTACAACTGGGATCGTCGACAAGGCTATCAGGTAGTGTACAGTATTTTAAAATGAAGCTACTTGTGTCACATGATCCTTCAGAAATTATTCTAATATGCGGAATAATATAATAGAATAAGCTGAACTTGTGAAACATTTATCATATCTTTATCATAGCTGAAACTACTTTCTTTGGAAACCATTTTATGTTTTCTTCATAATTCTTGGATTCATTTGAAGAAATAATTTTTTTTAAACATTTCAATTATTTTTACTGTCACTTTTGATCCATTTAACTCATCATTGCCTTAAAAATGAGCTTAACTGTACGATAAAATCTTACTGACACCCAAACCTTTAAACTGTACGTATATGACTAAGATCTTCAACAGTTGGCAGATTATTTTTGCATCAAATTGCTTCAAGTGTGCAATCCTAGGATACGTTGCATCCGGAAAGTATTCATAGAGCTTTACTTTTTCCACATCTTTTTATGTTACAGCCTTATTCCAAAACGGATTCAATTCATTTGTTTCCTCAAAATTCTACATACAAAACCCAATAACGACAATGTAAAAAGAGATTTTTTGAAATTGTTGCAAATTTATTATAAATAAAAATACCTGAAAAATCTCATGTACACTAGTATTCACAGCCTTTGCTCAATACTTTGTTGATGCACGTTTGGCAGCAATTACAGCCTCAAGTGTTTTTGAATATGATGCCACAAGCTTGGCACACCTGTCTTTGTGAAGTTTTGCAGTACCTCTTAAGCTCTATCAGGTTGGATAAGAAGCTATGGTATACAGGCATTTTCAGATCTCTCCAGAGATGTTCAATAGGATTTAGATCCAGGCTCTGGCTGGACAATTTAAGGCTTCTTATGGCCTGAGAGTCCTTCAGATGCCCTTTGGCAAATTCCAGGTGAGGAGTGGCTTCCGTCTGGCCACTCTACCATACAAGCCTGATTGGTGGATTGCTGCACAGATGGTTGTCCTTCTGTAAGGTTCTCCTCTCTCCTAAGAAGAACACTGGAGCTCAGACAGAGTGACCATCGGGTTATTTATCACCTCCCTGACTAAGGCCCTTCTTCCCCAATCACTCAGCTTAGATGGCCAGCCAGCTCTAGAAAGAGTCCTGGTGGTTTCAAACATCTTCCACTTACGGATGATGGAGGCCACTGTGCTCATTGGAACTTTCAGAGCAACAGAAATTTTTCTGTTACCTTCTTCAGCCTTGTGCCTCCAGACAATCCTGTCTTAGAGGTCTACAGACAATTCCTTTGTCTTCATGCTTGGTTTGTGCTTTGACATGCACTGTCAACTGCAACTGGGACCTTATATAGACAGGTGTATACCTTTTCAAATCATGTCCAATCAACTGAATTTACCACAGGTGAACTCCAATTAAGCTGCTGAAACATCTCAAGAATGATCAGTGGAAACAGAATATACCTGAGCTCAATTTAGAGCTTCACGGCAAAGGCTGTAAATACTTGTGTACATGTGATTTTTCAGGTTTTTTGTTTTTAATAAATTTGCAACAATTTTAAAAAATCTATTTTTACATCGTCATTATGAGGTATTGTGTGTAAAATCTTGAGCAAATAAATTAATTTAGTCCATTTTGTAATAAGGCTGTAACATAAAAACTGTAGTGTTGCACAAGTATTGTTATGTATATGCATTGAACCAGTACAAAAACATGCTTATTGAATCTTCTGTAGCTTAATACTTGTCTACCGATACTGCCTCTTTTCATCACTTGCATTGTAAGCCGCCATTATCTGATTTCAGCAATAGCAAACCTTGATACCTATGACTTGCATTTTTCATTCAACGCTATAGGTCACCAAAATGGGTGTGTTTTTGTGCACCGGTACAGTTAAAGTTACACACGCTTTGCAAAAGAACAGAAAAGCAAACATCCCAACGAATGTAAATACGAATAATTGTAGACACAGTATCAAATGTAACACTTCAGCATATGTATTTATAGACTCTGGCATGTAATACAAAATAGGACGTTTGTTGCATTGATAATGTGTGAGGAGCCACACAGATATCCATATGCTTCTGGCCACAGATAAACTGCAATCTGATTGGCTGACTGACTCATGGTGGCCCCCTACTGGTAGATGTTTTCACTACACTTCCTGGGGCGCAACTATTCAGTAGATTGCACATCTTCCATTATACAATAGGTGTCTAATATGTGAATAATATATTCCTTGCTGCACCATCACCCAATCAGTGCTGCCATGATGTCATTTGTTTAGTCACATGGCATCTAAGTCTCAGGTGATTGGCTGATAAACCTTGATGTAAGCATGAGCAGAAGCCATAAGCGAAGAATTGCAGAATTTATATCTTATAGTTCTGCGGGTCCTGCGCCAGCCTAGCAGCTGCCATTGAAATGAATGGGAATGTTAACGCATATTTCTCCTACTTAGTGCTTTCATGGCTTTACAAAATAGCTCTGCGTGTGCTCCACAAAACATACGCTTGTGTGAATGTGTGTGCCTGTGCAAATTCTGATCTCGCACACAAGCATATTATACACACCTCGGTATCATTAAATAGGAGTTGTGGTTGGGTACAACATCACTGACTGCAATCTGAGGGTAGAGAGAAGGAAACAAAATGGAGGACAGGCATGTAAATAAACACGTTTGGTCATCAGTCAGAGTGCTGGCAGTGAGGGGAGGGGAACAGTGAGCAGGTTACCAGAATTCATTGTGCTTCGTAAAGGTGAAATTAGTCTGAATAAATATTAAATAATGGTGAGCGTGCTGTTGTATTCGGGATAGGTAAGACAGAGGAGTTGAAACGTTTGGAGTGGTGAAGTCTCTGCTTTCCTCTTTCGTCAGTAGTGTATTTCTCGTTCGTCATGTTGTGTAGCTGTACATTTGGAGCTCTGGGTGGTGTCGATCACCTCATCCAGGCGCTGCTGTTGCTGGTGATGGACATGATGCTGCAGCGCTTTTTGACGATCATATTGATGTAAGCCTTCATGATCTTCGTGATTTCACCCACCTTAAAACACACAATGAAGCACACTGGTTATTAACACTACCAAATACTAAGGCTAAAACTGTTGTAGGAACGGGAAGCACTACATTCAAATATTCACTAAGTATTAGAGGTAAGACTTGCTTGAGAGCAAAGAAACTATATTTATAGACATTAATCAGACCCCCTAGTTTTTCGCGATTCTGCGATCACTGAATCCAACGCAAACTCAACAAAAAGTCGCAAATTTTTTCGGTCCTGCAAAATTCTTGATTAAACGCCGAATAATCATGGAGCTAAAAGGCTCACAGAATTTCAAAACCTCATTTGCAAAAATCTAGGAAAGTGGGAGGGCTAGCGCTGCCCACCTTCCGTCAATGCTATTGGGCAGCTAACATGAGGGCTATGATGTTTTGGCATGGTGTGATCAAGTCGCTTCCGATCAGTTAGATACATGTCCTAAGTGGCTGCATTTTGAGGCTTGTTCAGTTGGTAACAGTTGTTTAGCTGCAATTTTGTGGTCAAAATCATTGAAAATGGTTCAATGCAAGAATAATATTGTTCATAATTCTATGAAAATTTTAAAGCAAGTGAAAATGCCGTTAAAGATTGAACATCCCTTCATTTATTAACCTGTCTGCAAAAATCATGATTTTGTGCAAAGACAACTTGATAAGGTCTTTACTTTTTGGAGTGACATAGGACTGCGTTCAAAGAAGGATTTTTATGTATGACACACTGACCACACATTTGAATACTTATATAAAACTTTTGGTCTCTCACAATCACACTTTTTTCGTTATTTACAGGTGCGTCATTTTATCAAACACAATTTTCCTCAGTGCGAGGAACTCTCTCTTGATCATGATTTATACAAGATTTTGAGACAGTGCCCAATGAAGAAACATTTAGTGACCAAATTTATAAAATCTGTTTGCTTCTCACGTTTCGGTTTTTATTGCACACCTTAAAGATTCTTGGGAATCAGGAAATGACATTTCATCCTCTATTTGGGAAGAGGGATTGAGTCGTATTCACTCTTGCTCTATAAATGTTAGACTACTACAGTAGAGGTCTGCATTCCCGCGGCTGTCCCGCGGGCGCCGCGGGACCCGACCAGATTTCTACGGCGTGGGTATAAATTTCCGAATAAATCACGGGAGCGGTCGGTAACGGGTTTAATTTGGGACGGGAGCGGGCTGTCTAGCAATATCGCTCCCGACTCCCGAGAGAGCACGCGTATGTATGTGTGTAAATGAAATAGCCGATGCTGTGTTTAGCTTGTTTGTTGCAGTGTGTGTGTGTGTGTATGTATGCGCACGCGCAAATGAGAGATGTGTGTGTGTGTGTGTGTGTGTGTGTGCGCGCGCGCGCGAATGAGAGATAGAGAGCTTTGACTCATTGCCTGTGTTTGTGCTTGGTGCTTATGAGTGTGTGTTAGAGGGCGTGCGCGCGCGAATGAGAGAGAAAGCTTTGTCTGTGTGTGTGTGCTTGGTGCTGTGCGTGCGTGTGTTTATACAAACAGCTTGTTATAGGCTGTCTGGACTGTATAACTGGGTGATTTTTCGGTTTTGTTCTCCCCCCGCTCTTTAGCGGGATCGGGCGCGGCGGATAGAAAACGGGGCGGGTCGGGCAGCGGGACATCAAGTGCTTAATATATGGCGGGATTCAAAATGTAGTCCCGCGCAGATCTCTAGACTACAGCTCATACAATTTAAAGTGATGCATATATTGCACTAAAGCTAAACTTAATAAGCTGTATCCTTCTATCACTTCTCTGTGTGATAAATGCAATGGCACAGTCAAGACCTACGGTCATATATTCTGGTCCTGTCCAGAAGTATCTGAGTTTTGGAAAAGTATCTTTGGACTTTATTCCCAGGCTGGTGAAATGGACATTAAAATGAATGTGGAATTAGCACTGCTTGGATGTTCAGACCAGGCTCTAATGTGGCCTAAACATCAATTCTGATTCTGAAGTGAAAATCCACAACACATCCAATTTTTTTAAATGGTTTGCTGAAAGGGTTTCTGTCTTTAAGCTGGAAAGGTTATGTTTCTCTAGATTTGGCAAACAGTTGTATGATAAAATATGGGGCCTCTTCCTTAGATGTATAGGTTAAGAATATTTCTGTAAATGTTTTTTTTGGTATTATTTTTTTCCCTCATCCTTTTTACATCAAAAAAAAAAAAAAAAAAAAGCAAAATAATCACAAAAAATGTAAATAATATAAAAACATCCCATTCCAAACCATATAATCAAATTATATTTATTTCAGTTTGCAATGTATTGTTTTACGTGACTTATAGAGGTTACATACGCAGCACACGTGATGTATTTGAGTGTAAAAATAGAAATCTCACCTGCGCCCTCACAATCATTACATTAGAATGGGGAAATTGTTTTGCAGCCTATGCAATAAGCAGATGTGGATGAATCGGGAGTGATTTACATGTGATGTCAATGAAAAGATTGGATTAGGCATTCTGTGGTGTGAACTGGGTGTTTTGTACTTTTGACGCATGTCAGACTGCAAAATAAAGTGTGAGCAAACATCTAACAAACGGAGCAACAGAACAGACAGAACAGCAAGCAGCTTACAGTGATGGAGGTTTCATGAAGAAATTCATGAAAAACTAGGTGGTCTGACTAATATTTGCATTTTATTTTAATAAATGCATTTATTTTTATATTATATTTTAATTATGCATTTATATCTGCTTTTTATATCTTTTGAATGCTTTTATTCAAAAAAGTATACTTGGTATATACTACTATAGTACTAAAAAAGGTTTAATAGCACAACTGTTTTGAACAGTCATAAAGCGATTAGTTGACTTTACTCATAGAAGCAAGTAAACTTGTTGATTTTAAAGTAATTCCAACTGAAATAAAACATTGAGTAGGGAGTGGGGCTTTCTTTTTTGCATCATTCCCTTGTAGCAAACTAATGGTAAGAGAAGCAAGGTAAAGAAAACTGACACACCAAACCGACATAAACAGAGAATGACCACCACTCCAAAGCGAATAGTATTGTTGACTTAAAGAATAATAATGTGCGCTAGTAAAATAAACATTGTAATTATTTTAAAGACTTTAAGTAGATGAAATGTGTGGATAATTATAAAAATGAAGTTACTCTAAGTCAACTTACATTCAGTCGATTCTGATTGGTCAGTTCATACATTTTAAGTTATGTTATTCTAAGATAACAACTGCTGAATAACTCATCTAGGAACTTTGGATCTCCTTGACGTATCCAGTGAATATGTTTACATCTATATACTTACATCCACATTCATATGTATCTGTAGTCTGTCACCTCATTCACACAGGGCGTCAGCGTCAACGCTTCCTATTCATTTTGAATGGGTGACGTCAGGCTTTGCCGAACTGCATTGTGGATCTGTCTGTGCAGCTTCAGCGGCATTGTTTGCTGCAGAAGTTGGGAAATTCTCAACTTTTCAACCACCAACGAAATGACAATCGCATTAGCCCCAACTTCAGACACGCACTCGCTCAATCAGTGACCCTAAATCCCCATGTGAATCCCCATGTAAATGCATGTGTTTTGCTCCATCTCACGAATGACTATTACACAGATTAGTATATGCTCCGTTCAACTGGTTTTGTTGCCGTCAGCTATGTGCTTTTGACTGTTTGGCGCCATCTTGTGACGGAAGAATGAGCAGGTTAGTGTACACTCCATTCAACTGTATTTAACTGTTTTCGTTTCTGTCAGCTTTGCGTATAATTAAAGAATTAATAAACTATTACAGCTCAAAACATTTTTTATGTCTGGTTTCTTTCAGGCTTCTGATAAGCCTGTCAAGCTTTATTCTGCGATAACAACCTTCTGGATGTACTTTATCCCTAATTTAAGTTACAACACATTTATATACTTTTATAAGTTGTTTATATAATTTTTTTAAGTTAAATTGTCACTTTTAAGGCAGCAGGTACTTGGTTTAATTAAACATTTTAACTGGTCGCTATTTACAGTGTAATAAAAAAAAAAAGATTATTAAACACCAAATTAGCATATTATACTGATTTCTGAAGAATTCTGTGACAAGACTTCACTGAAAATTCAGCTTTGCATTGCAGGAATAAATTACATTAACATATTAAACTAGCGAAAAGAAATACAAAACCAAATTATGCACTGATAGCAAAGGCACAAAAGTTTGTTACCTGTGACGTTTCGAAGAACATCTCTCTTTCATCAACTATGATTTTGTAAGTGCTGGGCTGAGGTGCTCCAAAGAATACAATGTGCTCATACTGGAAAGTTTCAAGGGGTTTGGGTTCACCTCGTTTGTACACCGAGACATTTTCAGCACTGACGCCCAGCCACAGATCATGTGGGAAGCCCCCTTCCTTACACTGTAGAGACACAAAAACATACACAAACACACATTACTAATGAATTCAAATAATATTAGTGGTTAAGCACTGAGATTTACTGTATCATAACATTATAGCTACACTAATAATACTGTAGGAGATCTGATTATATGACTGCTGAAAAAGCAGCTTAGACCAGTCTGAATTTTATGAATCTAAGCTTATGATGGATTATCCGTCAGTTTGTAAACCCTTAGCTCAACTATGTTTATATTTTTGTTCCTGAGTGCTAGTTTATTAAAGTTTGTTTTGTTTGATGACTTTTTTCCACAGAAATTCTGTTGTTATATGTGTTTTCATTTTTTAATTAAATGATTAATTAAATGCTTCATATGCAGGCTCATTCGCATTTTAGAATTCAAGTCTTAATACACTGATCTGATCTTTGAAAAATTGATCACATCGGATTTTCTGTTCAGAAATTACCAATATTTGAAATGTGTGTTTACAATCATTTTAATAATAATTCTGTATTTACAACTAATCCTTAAAATAAAAAGTGTAAACAGGCCTTTAATGAAAACGATAGTCACCTCGACATCAAACAGCGTAGACCCATATCCTGGCCACTCTTTGATCACGGTCATGTAGTTGAGCATGGCCTGGTGTTGAGGCATGCCCTGCAGACGGCTCCATTTCTCCAGCACACTGGTCAGCGTGGCAGACATCTCCTCCTTCACAAACATCTCCAGCATGTGTTCCTCCTCCACACGCTGTTTCTTCAGCGATCCCGTCTTGAAGCTGCGCCTTAGTGTCCCGTCCAGGAAGTTGGTCTTCCGGCGTTCTAAAGTGTGCCCTCCAGGCCCGACCATACCAGCACCGGGTACTCCGGCGCCCCCTGCTTTGGTGGACTGGAAGATGCGTGTGCGGAGTCGCCCCACGGGGTACACACTGCTCAGGCTCCAGGGCGTCCGGGCCACATCCCCATGGATGTACTGCAGGCGCAGGGCTGCTAAGTGCTGGAGGGTTTCCTCAGGCGCTGGGAAATGACCACTGATTAGACTCTCATGAGCCTGAGAGATGGTGGAAACAGGAGAAATAAGGAGGAAATATATAGAAAATCTGTGACTTTATAACAGTGTTACACAAATTAGGGCAAAAAGGCCTAAGTTGGCCAACCATGCTATTTCATAAGCTCTTTCAAATCTTTAATTCTAATTTAGATTTTGTCTTTAATATATTTACTTAAAAAAAAAAAATATTTATATATATAGATATACATAACATATATATATATATATATATATATATATATATATATATATATATATATATTTCCCAAATGATGTTTAACAGAGCAAGGAACTTTGCACAGTATGTTTGATAATATTTTTTCTTCTGGGGAAAGTCTTATTTGTTTTGTTTCTGCTTAAATAAAAGCAGTTTTAAATTTTTTAAAAGCCATTTTAAGGTCAAAATTATTACCCCCTTTAATCTATATATTTTTTCAATAGTCTACAGAACAAACCATCGTTATACAATAACTTGCCTAATTACCCTAACCTGCCTAGTTAACCTAATTAACCTAGTTAAGCCTTTAAATGTCACTTTAAGCTGTATAGAAGTGTCTATATATATATATTTACTTTTTTTTTTTTTATCTTTAAACTGATTATAAAATATTAGAGATTGAATTTGTGTCCCAGTAAAAAATTTTGGAATTTTAATTAATGATACACTTTCTTTTAGTTCTCACATTCAGAGATGGGTTAATAAATTACAAGGAATTTTAGACTATTGTAGAATAAATAACTGCCTTTCTATGGACGTTTAAAAGAAGCTGGTTGATGCAAAATTGGTCTGTTATCTATATGAAGGGTGCAGATTTGCTTTTGATACTGGTGGGGACCTAATTTAACACCAACCCACCCACCAACTGTAACTTCACATTTAAAATGTAAAGTTAAAGAATTACTGTCAAAAGGGTAGTTTAATAAAGACCTCCGTTTACTAAGGGCTTATTTGTGCATTATCAATTACACATCTTAACACATTTTTGCAAGTATAACATTGCCATTTATGCACTTGAAGCTAAAAGATGACTTTACATGTCTATGTGCTTTTCCTTCTCTTAGTGTGCAAACAGAACAGGACATGTTCTATTTCAAACTTAAAGAAACTTTAATAAATAAATCAAATACAATTAGTAATAAAAAAAACAACAACATTAAATCAAGCATGCCTTATGGTGTAAAAGTAAATTTACATGATTTTACTTTAACAAGAAATGAATACAGACTTCTGGAAAGGGGACACAACAACCAATTTATCTCGATTGTTGTTTTTTCATAACTGTCGTGGAGGCCAAAATAGAAACAAATGTTTTTTTTATTGTACATCCATGGTTACTATTATGGTGGACTTGTAGTGAACTTCTTTGAAATGCAGCTGCTGAAAATTTCGACAAAGCATTATTTTATTTTGGAGGCGATTCAATTCTGGGGACATTTCAATAATCTGTGGATATTGGTGGGGACACATCTCCTCCATCCATGCTAATTCTACACCCTTGATTTATGTGCATCCTTCGTCTCAGAGTCTGCATGCACTGGATACTGTTTACCATGGTGCACTAAGATTTTACTAATTTTAAATCCCTTACTCATCATTGTTGTATACTTGGGTAGGTTTGTCTGCTTTGTCCATTATGTAGACTCAAACATTAGCATATCTGTTTACAAATCTATACTAGGTTTACTCCCATCATATCTTCAGAATTACAGTTCCAATGTAATTAGAAATGTAGCCTTTGGTCACAGGATATTTGTTTACTGTCTGTTCCTAAAGTGCGAACTGAGATGGAGGAAAAAAGCTTTTACATACGCAGCACATTTTGCATGCAATAATCTACAAATAAAGTTGCAGTTAAAAGAATTGATTTCATTAAATGCTTTTAAAAAGAGTTTAAATGATTTAGAAATTGAAGCACAGGCTTGTAGATGTTTGAATAGTTTGTTGGTCAACGTGTGATTCATGTTAACTGTCACTTGTTTTTTGTTTATTAGACCCATGTGACATGTATACTGCCTAATTAGGCCAGGACGCTTTTGTAAAAGAGATTTTTAATCTCAATGTGTCTTTCCTTGTAAAATAAAGGTTATAAAAAAATAAAAAATAAAATAATAATAATAATAATAATAATGAGTACATTTTATTTTTAAAAATAAATTTTAATATAATAAATATTTCTATTAAATCAACCCTTAATCTTAATAATCAGTTTGGCCACTTTTGCTTTATAATATGTTTAATTATTAATATCTAAAATGTTATATTTAATATGTTCTGTCAAATTTGTAATAATAATTTCATGTAAGCTGGATTAAAGTGTGAAATAGGGACATAGCATAGAAATATTTTTATTTTTACAAGTTTTATATATTTACTCTTACAGAAAACAAAGGTAAGAGAATATATATCTATATATTATATATTAACTCTATCAAGCCTCTTCAGCTGCTCCAGAACACAGAGCGGTCTCCAGAAGCACGAGTGGTCTTTAATGAACCTAAAAGAGCACATGTCACTCCGCTGCTCATCCGTTTGCACTGGCTGCCAGTTGCTGCTCGCATCAAATTCAAAGCTCTGATGTTTGCCTACAAAGCGACTTCTGACTTTGCTCCTTCTAATCTGCTCTCACTTCTGCAGATCTATGTGCCCTCCAGAAACTTACGTTCTGTGAATGAACATCGCCTCGTGGTTCCATCCCAAAGAGGGACGAAATCACTTTCCCGAACGCTCGCGTTCAATCTGCCCAGTTGGTGGGCTAACTGCATCAGAACGGCAGAGTCACTCGCTGTTTTCAAGAAACGACTAAAAACTAAACTATTTAGTCTCCACTTCACTTCCTAATCTGCAATTGCCTCTCTGGATATACCACTAACTGTTCTCAAAAAAAAAGAAAAAAAAATTACTAATGCTTTCCTTCTTAGACTTTACAGACCTGAAACTTGCCTATAGCACTTATTCATTGTTGCTCTTTTAGTTGTGTAAATTGCTTCCTTGTCCTCATTTGTAAGTCGCTTTGGATAAAAGCGTCTGCTAAATGACTAAATGTAAATGTAAAATGTAAATGTAAATATCTTTGAGGTACCAATATGGACTCTTTTAATACAAATGTATACCTGTTAGAAAGGTATGGCTCCATTTACAGCTCTCATATCTTTTTTCTAAGTGTGTAGACAGTCTATTAAATGTCCATAACATTACATTACAGGTTACAAAGGTAGTTATTTATTAATTTAAACTAGATGAATAAATAAAAATCTCTATGATGCACACAACATTTAGAAATACGTTTGTGTTAACCTGCTCAAACATGAATGCAAACTCCACTCCTTCTTTAGGCATGCTTTCCACATCAAGAAAGCAATAGAGCTTAAAGTAAAGCCTCCAGGGTCCTTCCTCCTCCTCCTCCTCACTGCCTGTTAACCTGAAATTGCAAAGCAGAGCACGCAAAGTAAAACCATGGACAGAAATATAGATTTTACAGACGCTCTAGATATTGGTCAAGTTATTAACCATAAGATTACCTCTCAAACTTTGCGAGCACATCAGCCACAATCACACGGCTTTCTATAGCCCGACTCTCCACCTTATTGTGTTCAAACAAAGAGAACATATTCCTGCTGTTTTCCATGGCCAACCCACGAATCAACTTCTCCACCACCTTGACGCAGACAAGCACACATAAGATTAGACCACTTATATATTAGATCATATATGCATGCAATGTTGACGTCTGAGATTGTACAAACCCAATTCTGAAAAAGTTGGTATTATGTGACTTCCTATGAAAGACACAGTCTTGATGGTAGTATATGTTTCTGTTCTATCCCAATAAATCACTCCAAGAGACTGGCACTCTCACACATATACCACGGTGGCTGCTAGATCGGATATGGTTGCGGACGGAAGTTAACCAAAATTATTTCTATTATTTATTAAGTTTCCCATTTATAGTATTTTATTAACGTCTACCCCACCTCAACCCTAAATCCAACCGTCACAGTAATATTAAAACAGCAGTTGTACAGAGTGTTATTTATGCTATCTATTAAATTACCCATTTAGTTTTATTTTTAATGCCTACCCCCACCACAACCCTAAACCCAACTATCACAGTACTGTAAAAATATTAATCATTGTGATACAGCGTCATAAATAATGCTGCTATATTGATGTGCATATTGCACTAGATCCGATCTAGTCTCTACCATGTATCAGTCAACCATTACATCTGCTCTGCTGCAGCTCCATTCTATAACAGATCCTTTGCTTTTGCATCTGTCACTCATCAAAATCTAGCCCCTTTGCTCTCAGTTTGAGAAGTCAATGTCCGTTTACCCCAGCAACTTCTTGAAAAAAAAGTCTTTTTGACAATTTGATGTGAGCTCTGCAGTATCAGAACTAGCCTATAGTGTTTTTGACTAGCAAATATATTGAGTAGCAAAAACCAATCACGTGTTGCCAATCAACAACACTCAAGACACACCAAACACAGACACATGGAAGACTCATCTAGAGTTTGACTTCATCAATCTTTGATGCATTTTGTAACATGCATTCTGACATAAACAGAAACAATATAGCTTTAAATTAACTTATAACATGCCTTGACAATAAAACCAGAAAAAAAAATAAAATACAATTTCCAAAAGTGAGTTTGAAGTTGTCACAATAGTCGCATTTCCATTGTCGGGTCAGTGCAAGCCAGGGCTTTTATCAGGCCGGGCCGAGCCAATAGCCCGGGAGCTTGAGCAGTCAGGCCGAAAGCATGTCGTGTTTCGACTGTCAGACTAATAGAACACAGCACGGCATGCAAACCCTGCCCCCTGACCGTTCCCCGAATCAAACGTCACACAACCCGCCCAGTTCAGCGGGAGTCAGGCAGATAAAGCACATCATCATATCATCACGAAACGATTAAAATAAAGACAACCGAAACAAACAACTGATACGTTACTGTACAGCAGTACATTATATGTCTATACGCATAGGCCCATGTATTTTAATTCAGTATATTTGTTTACTCGCCGACCAACTGTTGGCATCGTACATCGAGTGGTGTTGCCACTAATGGAGGGATGACCCAGCACATCATCCATAATATAAAACCACAGAAAGTTTCCAGTAATAATATCGGTATAAAATGTATTTTATAACATCCTCGTTTTGGTAGACGCCGTCAAACGTTCAGCCCAAATGCTCCAGGAGACCTAAAACTTTAAAATTAAACTACATTTGATAGCGCAATCAGGATCAGTGTGCTCACTGGTTCTTGATTTGTTGCTTGTCATAAGAAAAGCCAAACTGCAGGAAAGTGTCTTCATAGGATCAAATGAATCTTTTAGGATTTACAAAATTTATCTCAGACAATAAAATCGTATTCCAGTAAAAAAATTGAAAATTATTTTTTGTACTTTTGTCAATTAAATAAAAGTAGAAATCACAGATTCTTTATCACATTTTATATAACATTCCAACTTTTTCAGGATTGTGGTTGTAAATAAAATTGATCATCTCTCTCTCCTTCTCTGACCTCTCCAGCCGTGGTGTGTGAGTTGATGGATATCTTGCAGGACCCTCCTCCATGGCAGTACACAGTAGTGGTCATCTCTTGTCTAATCAGCAGGGCGGCGATCTCCTCCTGAGAGGGCACATACTCCCTGGCCTTCGTCTTCTTCAGGGACTCACCAATAAAGTGGGCATACTTCTCAATCTCAGTGCCAGGGTAGCGCTCTCTAACCCTGAGAGATTATTCACAGAAACAGATAAAAAAAAAAGTAGCTTTTGTTACCAGAAATGAAATGAGAATGTTAATTAGACCATTACTGGGTTCCAAGTAGGGCTGAATGAATCATTCCATTTGCTATGATAATGCAATATTACCAAACAGACACATTACGGATTTCCATGTTGCCAGATATCTTTAGGATACTCTCAGAAACAAAATTACAAAAACGCTGCCTTATGGGGCAGTGCCTTTTAAATAGGATTTTTAAAATACGATTTTTTAAAAATAATAATGTAAGTGTATTATGTTTTGTTGTTGTGTGTGAGCCTATGTCTGATGACAAAGAATTTTTTTAACCCTGTGGGATAGACAATAAAGTTTATTAAATTGAATTGAATTTAATTGAATTGAATTTAATTTAATTGAAAGGTACAATTTTGTATCTTACAGGTGCACATTGATACTTTCAAGGTACAATTTTGCACCTTTATTGTACACTTTTGTTCCTTTAAGGTGATATTTGGTACAGTTGTACTTTTTAGTTATTAATATTTACCTTAAAAGGTACAAATGTGGACCTTTTGAAAAGCTACCACCCCAGTGACAGGTGTTGTACCTTTATTTCAGAGTGTGTGTATAATAACTTAGTCATATTTTGTAGTCTTATAACTAGGGTTTGGTACCAAAACCCAGTGCCATTATAGCACCGGTACCTTTGTAACCGGTATGTATCAAATCAGCTTATGAATTTTGGTGCCTAATTTCGGTGCCACTGGTGCTGCGACAAGGACGTAAGAAGCATCAAAGGTGCATCAAAGGCACACATGTCATAGCGATGTCAGGCGTTTGTTCTTGTTGCTTAGGGAACGACGCAGGCAACGCACGCAGTAGCTACAGCGCATTCGGTGAGCGAGAGCGACTTTTTTCAGATCAACACGCATGATCATGTTAATCAAATTTGCTTAAACTAAGTGTTTTAAAGCATATTTTAAAAGCAAGGATTCGGGCACAGCAACATGTGCACTTGCTCTCTCTGACGGTGACGGTGCTGCACGCATTAGCCTAGTTCCCCACATTTGTCAGAGGTTGACACCCAAATTGACACAGGTAATCGCGATTTTAACACTTTTAATATAGAAAGTGCTCGGCAATGCAGAGACCATTATTAATCAGAAATCTAGTGTACATAGTTTTACATTAGGAAATGCAGTCTTGAATTTACAAACAGTCGGCAAGTACCAAAGAACAAATATAACACATTGATCAAATGTTGTTTTCAGTCATGCTAATGTACGTCATATTCAAGTCATTTAGTTTTGCCTTCATTTTTTATTTCCGTCAAATGTTCAAACTAAATATATTAATGCTATTCAAATATATAAAATATGACTTGATGTTTACGTTAAACTTTAATTATATTGTTCTATTAAAATTATATTTTTCAAGATTGTCAAAAAAAATTTTTTTTCTAGTGTCATCCACCATAATTTTGTGGCTTAAAAGTATTGGTTCAGGCACTGTTTTGTCACCGGTACCGTTTTAAAAGTATCGATTTAGCACCGGTATCGAAATAAACCCAAACAATACCCAACCCTACTTAAAACACACGCATCAGGGAACTTTTAAATGTGCAAGGTAATGAAATTATTAACAAATGTACATTTTCTTTTACTTGGACTTTTTTTTTTTTAATAGCTCAAGTAAACGGTGTCACCTAGAAGCAAGGGTTGCCAGGTCCAAGATAGATTTTCCAGCCCAGTGACAATTCAACAGGCTCAACAGGAATAAACAGCAGCAACTTTTTTTCTCATGTCCAATCAAAGTCATTTGCTGCATTCCCACAAAGGGAAAGGTTTAACATTTACAGTATAAAAATACAGTATACGTGTTAAAGTACTGACTGACTTTCCGCACACCAAACAACAATACCTTTCTCAGATGTGGGCATAACTGAAGTTTTGAACATTTAATATGTGACTTGTCATCAGATGGCTTTACTTACACAGTTGCAGTGGTCTTTGGGTTGCCAGGTACGAATTCCAGAATCAATACCCATTAAGAATATCCCACTTTAAATAAAAGTAAAAGTGCAAAAAAAGCAACCCACAACTTTATATTTTTTCCCACAGCAGCATTTTAAAAGAGCCCAATAATGTGGGAAAACCGCAACCCTGGCAACACTGTGTAGAGGAGCTACACGTATTGCTTTTTTTAAATGAAGGAAAAGAAAATGTACATACAACACAACAGTAAACGTTACAGTTTACTTCTTTCTATTTTTGTTTTCTGAAATAAATTATTACTATTGTAAAGTAGTGAAGTGATAGTATTTGTTAATTATGTTTAACCTCAGCATAATATAGCTTTGCACAAACTGTCAAGCGGTTTGATTAAATTTAGGTGACTACTGTAATTGTGTAAACAAAATATTCTAAATGATAAAACTGAAACTAAAAACTGAAAGCATAATTATGAATTAGAATTATGTACAAAATACAATAATATTCTGTGTGGCCAAGTGTGAAATATTGAACTCAATAAAATAGATATTAATTATACAGCAAATTAATATTGTGTTGGCTATTCTATATACCTACTTTTAAAAGATAAAGAAGATGGTATATTAAATCGCAGTTGCAATATTGGTCAAAAATATCACAATCAGATTATTTCCTAAAATCGCTCAGCCCTTCTCTGTTACCTCTTCAGGTGGAATCGAAGGTAACGCAGGATGGCGCGGCTGGGCAGGAAGGTGCAGCTCATGCAGGTGAGCAGGTGCCAGTGTGCGCGGTTTGCAGGGCTGTTTGGCTGGGGCACGTGATTGGTCTGCTTGATCAGCTGACAGTAAACCTCGTCTCTCAGTGGCCGCAGGTCATGGCAGGTCTGCAGGATGCCCTGGATGATGGCGACAGGGTCTGAAACGATCTCCATCTCCTGAAGAGAGTTGAAGATCTTCACTGCTTCATCCTGGAGGCTTCCGTAGCCCTTTTCCTTTCGCACTATAGAAAAAAGAAGACAGATATCTGTTGGTAAGATGATTTTCATGAAACGAGAGGGATAAATTAAGAAATTAAATTAAAATAATTACAATTTGTAATGTTTTTGAAAGCACTCAAGCTCACCAAGTGTGTTTTTATTTAATTGTCAATTTGTACAACAGTCTAATATTATTCTTATTCATATATATCTGTGATCTAAACTCTTGTGTCTACCCAGTCATTACACTGGTTTACATTGTTCTTTTTTTGTTTTATTAATGCTAATTTGATGATCAAAACATATTCATATTATTGTCAGTGTTGAGATTTTATTTTGCTTCTCCTTTGTGATATTTTTGAAAATGTTTTAGATACATTTTATATTTTAAAATAGTAAAAGTTTTCATTAAACTGATCGAAAAATAATAAGACAGGGTCGAGGCGGTGGCGCAGTAGGTAGTGATGTCGCCTTACAGCGAGAAGGTTGCTGGTTAAAGCCTCGACTGGGTCAGTTGGTGTTTCTGTGTGGAGTTTGTCTGTTCTCTCCGCGTTCGCGTGGGTTTCCTCCAGGTGCTTCGGTTTCCCCCACAATCCAAAGACATGTGGTACTTGTAAATTGGGTAGGCTAAATTGTCCGTAGTGTATGAGTGTGAATGGGTTGCAACTGGAAGGGCATCAGCTGCGTAAAACATATGGTGGATAAGTTGGCGGATCATTCCGCTGTGGCGACCCCGGATTACTAAATGAACTAAGCTGAAAAGAAAATGAATGAATGAATGAAAATGAAAGACTTTTAAAATGCAGTATTTCCATTTCAAATAGATGCTTTGTCTTAATATTCTTGTTTTATAGCTTGTAAATTCAAATTATATTTAACACATTACTGTTTTTACTTTAAAAGCACCATTAATTTGAAATTCTTTTAAAATTCACACCCCCAGCACATGTAGCAGCATTAAAGTCCAAAGACATGCTGTATAGGTGAACTAAATAAACTAAATTGGTCGTAGTGTATGTGTGAATGAGTGTGTATGGATATTTCCCAGTACTGGGTTGCAGCTGAAAGGGCGTTCGCTGTGGTAAACATATGCTGGATAAGTTGGTGGTTCATTCTTCTGTGGCGACCCCTGATGAAAAAAGGGACTAAGCCGAAGGAAATTGAATGAATGTGATGATATTGTTTTGAACAGGTGCACTCTCTTCAGGTGTTCAAACCCCACCCCCCCAGCTCGCTTCCAGGGTGCAAGAGAAGTCTCCTTTCTCTCACTCCAGCCTCATCGCGGGATCCAGGGAGGAAGGTAAGAGACAATCTTTTATTTTCAGCTCTTTTTCGGTGAGCACTCCCCTCCAGAGCTGGCACGTCTGTGAACACTCCGTTGATGCCATTAGCGCGGGCTCTATCAGCCTGGTTAGCGCTACCCAGCCCGACACGGTGGCTCATTCGGACGGTCAGTCAATTTTTCAAAAACCTTTCCTTTGTTTCTCATTTGTGAGGGATTTAGCCAATCAGAGATACTCACGGCTGTCGCTGACCTCTCCATAGGGCAGTGGCAGAAGAGGCGAGTGCAAGGGATGCTGGGTGTATCTCAGGATAGGGTTTCTTCTATACATTTGTTCCACAGCTTCAGAATTAACACTGTTTTCCTACACAAAATCACAAAAATGTCAAGTTCGAGTTTTATTCTTGATTGCAAAGACTAAACATATGTGTTTAAGCTGAATTACCTTGATGTCTCTGATGAGCTGCTGGGTGGGCGTTTCAATGGGCACCTTGTTGTCAATGACACCCTGAATGGCAGAAACCCAGCGCATGGCCTCATTCAGCAGCTTGGTGTACAGACGATATGAATGTTTACGTCCGTGAACTATGATGTTCCAGTAACCTGCAGTCGAACCACACATCAGCATGGACATGTTACTGTATGTTCAATGAAAGAAACAATTGCATAATGTATTCTCATGGTTATAGTACTGCATTCACTCATTTATTTACACATATTGTACTTATTTGTTTTTTTTAATGTTGGATGAATACTTATACTTGATTAAATACCTGTATGTAATTACATCTGTAATTAACTTCTATAATTACATTTGTAAATACTCTGCTGACCATTACCAACACCTTAACCCACCCTTAAACCTACCCACACCACCAAACCTGTCCATAACCCAACCCCTTTCCCAACTCAAGAGCACCACTGTCATGGTCCTGACCTGACAGTCTTGTCTGTCCTGTCAGTGTTTAATGCTTGCTTGTTTGTCCTGTGCTTATTTACACTGCTAAGTCTTAATTTGAGTTGGCCATGTGCTCCTCTTGTCTTTCCACCTTGCTTTCAGTTACCCCGCCCTCATATTTAGGCCTTGTTATCCTGATTGTTTTCACCTGTCTCTCGTGTGCTTTGTTCTATATAATGGGCTGTGTGTTCTCATTTCTTGGCTGGTTCGTTCCATGTGAGCTTGTCTTGTATCCTTGCCTTGCATTTGTACTAAGCTTTTGGTTTTGCCTGTTCTAGTTCGCTTGTCTATTTATTGTTTGCTTGCAGCTATTACTTTCTTTCGTTGTTTCTAGTGTTTACTTAATTTTGTGTTCTAATCTTTATTTTACTTTTACCCTTAGAGCCATTGTTCCATTTTCCTGTCAGTCTCAGTCTTCTTAGTAGATAATTATTAGTAGTTGTTTGATTTGTTTAATTACTCTCTTTAAGATTCTAGAAGTCTTTATTTCAGTTTTGTTTTATCAGATTGCTAAAGTCTGTCTTTCTGTCTTCTAGTATTTAGATTTTTATTTTATTTCAGTTTTAGTTTATTTTATTGTATATTATTACTGTCTGTTTGTCCTGTCTTGTGTCTTAGAATTTTTCCAGTTCTATTCCGTGTCCTGACCTCCCTGGTAAGACAGTCTGGAGTCTGCTCCAGGATCTAGATCTGGTTTTGACCACTGTTGCTCCTACTCCTGGCTGGCTGTTCATTTTAGTACCATCTTGTCACTACCACTGGCTTTCTTGTGTTGTTGCCATTACCGTTTGGACCAGGGGTCTCAAACTCGGGGGCACTTTTGATCATTTTGAAAGGGCACTTTCTACGCAAAACTAAAAAGGGCATGTGCTCTGTCTGCACAGGTTGAGCCCTATGTGTGCACGTGCCTGCCCTGCATCTTATATATATTATAGGTAGATACAGACGGGTACAGACTGATGTGACTGGAGTGGGGTGGGGGTGTTTTATTTATACATATATACGTCTTTTTTTTAGGTGAGGGAATGGAAGTTTTGAGTGAATTCCCCCACTTTTTTCCCTAGGACTTCAATAAGTCAAAGTACAGGTCTAGACTTAATGATGATCATCTTCAAGCCATACTGAGGGTCTCAACTGCTTCCGCTCTAAAGCCAAATGTGATTCAGATTTGTGAGAAGAAGCGCTGTCAAGTCTCTGGCAGCAAGAAGTAGGCAAAAGATGCCATGTTCAGAAGAACTGTTCATAATCTTCACTCAATGTTCTATTAATGTTCAGGACACTTCATGTTCAGAAGAAATAATTAAAACTGTTAATAATGACATTTGAGGACTTTTTTTTGTGAAATCCCTTATGCGGCCCAGCCTCACCCAGACTTTGCCTCCTGCGGCCCCCAGGTAAATTGAGTTTGAGACCCCTGGTTTGGACCTTATCATCCCCCTGTGTGTCTACTTGTGCCTTATTCTGTCAATAAACCCCTTTGTATTGTTCATTGCTGCAACTGGGTCTGTTTTCTTGCATTCAACCGTGACAACCACAAGAGTTCTCAAATACATTATGAACACAGTAAGTACATTGTATTTATTTATTTATTTATTTATTTTATTTTGTAAGTACATAGTAGTTAAGGACACTTAATATAAAGTGGGACCAAATATACTGTATGTTAGGGAGAAATATTAAATACAATTTTAATAAAGCAGAAAAATCAAGAGAATCGAAAATAAATATAATTTAGTTTAAATTTAGTAAATTATAATATATTTTGCAACTTCTCATTTGAATTTAAATGTTTTATCTTTCTAGTCCTAAAGATGTTAAGTGATCACACTCTTATTTTAATGATTATAATTGTTTAATAAAATAACTGTTTAGTTTTTTTAAATAAATAATGTTTAAAATCACTATACTCTATAGTCTATATTCAATGATATACTGTTTATTATATTGTATATGTAATGTATACATACAGTACTGTAAACCATATACCATACATCTTGTAACAGACTTAATAAGTAGCCATACCAGTCTCTTTAAACTTCTTCTCCTCAGGTTGGACCACAGAGCACAGGCTGTTTAGAACCAGAGTCCCCATCTTGGATGCATTGCGTTCAGAAGACTTGTAGTAGTCCAGAGAATTATGCGTCAAGACAAACCAGCGCTTTTTCAGTTTAAGAGCAGAACTCTTGGCTCCCGCCTTCATCTCCTTGTGGAGCCATCCTGTGTCACAAAAGCAACATTTACAGCATCTAAAATATACACACAATCATATTGAGTTCAATCTAAATGCTCATATGGGAATCTTTCAGAACTAAATCAAACACAGTTTACATTTAGGTTTGGTTTCTAAAAGTTTCAAACTTGAAGATGACTGTCACACCTCTGACCAGGAACTCTTGTCCATCGCTCTTCGAGTCTCCTTTGGGTTTTTGCAGCAGGCTGATCCAGTGATGCATCTCTTCTGGCAGGTCTGAGTTACAGTGGATCACACGATTGGCTGTGATGATGACAAAGGAGTTGGGCCTGATTGGAGGAAAACAGTGTTAGCATCACAAAAAATGGTTATATTTAGGGTTTGGGCAGTAACCATAACAGTTGGGCAGTCTATCCTTACCACTGTTTGCATATTACTGTCCGTATTAGCAGAAGTGAGAGACTCAGGGCCCTATCATACACCCTGCGCAGTGTGGCGCAAGATGCTGCGCAATAGTCTTTTGGTAGTTTCAGCTTGGCGCAAGAGTCGTTTTGAGGCGTTGCGCTACGCTGTTTAAATAGCAAATGCATTAGCGCTCATTTGTGCGCCCATAGGCGTTCTGGTCTAAAAAGGAAGGCGTTCTGAGGCGGACCGCTGGTGCGTTGCTATTTTGAGAAACTATAATAGATTTTTCATTAGACCAAAACTAACCCGGTCTAAACTCCGGCCCAGAGTTGCGCCTCGCTTACGCACTGCTTAATACGCACAAGAGAGCAATAGGCAAATATCTTTACATATGAAAAAATGTAAATATTAAGGATATATATATATATTGGATATAATAAGAACAGATATAGAATATAAATATAAAGGATTAAAATATTACAAAACATTTTCTAGCCTATATAAATATGAAAAACCACTGCTTTTATGTCTTCTTTATCTTGGGAGGCTTTTTCAGTTCATTCATAACAATTTGCTTTTGTATAATGTTATTATTATTAGCAGTATTATTTAATATATCCATATTTATATTTGTTTTATTAAAACAAGCTTAGATTTGCCCACCTGTCAGGTTGTAGACCATATGGGGCACATCATGTGTTTTAGGATATAACTCAGGTTTTTGAGCACATTTTGCTATTATTATTCATTTATTCGTTTGCTGGAAATTAGAACTGAATTTAGAAATAGTTTTGAAACGAATATTTGCGCTTAAACAAAAGTATTTATTTATAGACTAATTGATTTCTGTGCGTAAAGGTTTCCCTATTCAAGAGCGAAAGTGAAAGTGATCCATTATCTCTCATTCTCACGCAGTAGATGCTCTGTTTAACAGTTTTCTGTTAAAAAAAAACTGTTAACTGTTTGCTTGTGAAATGCTCTTTTTTTCCACTTAGACTTACTTTGCGTCCTGTAAATAGTTAATGCGCTCTTGGCGTGACGCAGCTGACTCTTAAAGGGAATGGGAGATGAGACTCTAATTGGTTTATTCTCAAAACACACCTATAACTCATTAAGAAAATTAACTCAACCCATTTAGGCCATGCGCCGCGGCTCAAGGCAGATTTCCTTAAATTGGCAAAAAACGCATCCTGACACGCCCTGAAAGCATTTGCGCCCTGCGTTTTGCGCTCTGCACATGGACCGTCAAAATAAAGCCCTCAGTTTTGAATTTTGCATATATCTTACAAGTTAATCTTGTCATAGTTTTGAAGCACACTAGCTTATATTTAGATAACCCAAGGGCTAGTATATTCATTCATTCATTTTCCTTCGGCTTAGTCCCTTTATTCATAAGCGGTCACCACAGCGGAATGACCCGCCAATTTATCCAGTATATGTTTTGCACAGCAGATGCCCTTCCAGCTGCTACCCAGTTCTCAAACCTGGGGGACTGTGGGACCAGTGACCTTCTTGCTGTGAGGGGACAGTGCTAACCACTGAGCCACCGTGTCGCTCAAGGTTAGCATAGTAAAATTGTATTCCCTGGGGACTGTATTCTTTTTATTCAATCATTTTCTGCATTTGGCATCTTCTCACACTCACCGGTCAGGATTGTCTGAAGCACAAACCGAATCGATCAATCCAACATCCAGTGTGCCCTGAGGGAAGGAGAGCAGAACCAGCTGTCAACAGGTGTTTTAATAATAAGAGAGCATGAGATATCAGAACACTGACCACAGCGTTCTTTGGGTTGGCCTGCTCATGGGACATCTCCAGCAGCTGCTCTGGGGAGGCATTGTGGACCCGACTCAACATGGTGAACCAGCCGCTAAGAAAAAAAAAGGAGCAGAAGAAAGATCGGAGATTAAGGAGAGACATTTGGTGCAGTTACAAAAAAATAACAATGATAAGCTCTGGACTTTTTTACTCTTTATTGATTTAGGAGCCAATCACACAGCAGTAATGTGCAACAATGGGAATCAAGTGGGAAGAAGTGTGTTGACATTAGAGATGTACCAAATGTTTCACTATAATGAATTTATCAGCCGAAAATAGGTCATGCCATTTAACAGACCCTCTAATTTTTGAGGCTTCAGTCATTGATTGGGTACTCTCTTAAATCTGGAAGTATTAACAACTAATATAGAAATGAATATCGTTATCGCTCTTTATGGAAACTAATAATCTATCTAACTAAAGGTGTCAGTATACCTGGCATCCTCTGGAGACTCAGCAAACACCTGGTACGTTCTCTCATCGGTCACAATATTCAGAGCATTCTCCTTCTCATGATTATCCACTATCTCCCTGAAAACAGAGGAAGAAATTTTGGGTAAAAAAAAAAAAAAAAAAAGTAGCATTAAATCAGTTGCATGCAACAATTAGAAAAAGTGTCTTTATGTCATAGGGGTTGTTTACACCTGGTCACTTCATGTGATTTTTCTGATGGTAAAAAGGGCAGGTTTAAATGCCCTCCGAAACCCATTTGAGTTGGATAGGAATCAAACCATTTTCATTCTATTTTTGACCAGACATTAACCATTAAATAATACATTTAAATGTTAAATTAATATCAAATGGCAGAATTAACTACAGAGATGCAACACACTACCTGAAGCAGCTTATCTCTGTGAATGGAGAGGAAAAATAACATAAAAATACAGCATTTTATTAGTTTCCAAAGTAAACTCTTTACATTTCTGTTTATCTGTACGACCAAAATTTATTTTTCATTTAGGCTGTAATGACAGTTATCGCAAAACGCACCTTACTGACAGTGTTTTGTGCTGATGTTGTACTGGAACACGAGTGAAGTATAAAAACCTCCTGTAGCCTACATACACTCTTAGAAATAAAGGAATGAGAGCGGTCACTGGGGTGGTACCTTTTCAAAAGGTACACATTTGCACTTAAAATGTATATATTGGTACCTCAAAGGTGTATATTAATACCTAAAATTTTCAAGAGGTACGCATTTGTACTTTTTATGTACTAGTACAATGGTGGGAAAACTCGGTCCTGGAGGTCCGGTGTCCTGCATAGTTTAGCTTCATCTCTAATCAAACACACCTGAACATGCCAATCAGTGTCTTCAAGATCACTAGAAATCTATAAGCAGGTGTGTTTGATCAGAGTTAGAGCTAAACTGTGCAGGACACCGGTCCTCCAGGACGAGTGTGCCCACCCCTGTACTAGTATGTACTCTTGAGGAATAAATAAGGACCCTTTAGTTACTAACATGTACCTTTTGAATACCACCCCAGAGATAGCTCTCATACCTTTATTTTTGAGAGTGTATGAAATCCTTTGTATGTTGAATACAGGGTTCCCACGCTTTTATGAACAGGAAATTCAAGAACTTTCAAAGACATTTTAATGCACCATTAATTTCAAATCAAGCACCTTTGTAATTTATACCCCAGCATATGTAGCACCATAAAGCCCTGACTGTATTTAACATTTCACTTACACTTAATATTTATGTCAAAAAATGTTGACTGATTTAAAAAGTCATGTTCTAAGGACTTTTTTTGAAATTTGTTTTTATTCAACACTAGTAATGTTCAAATGCTGTTTCTGAAATATCGATAAAATGTGCATTATTTGTCAGTGTTTTTGTACAAGATTTACATTTAATAATATTTCAGTTTTATAGTTAACAATCGAGTACAATTGTTTAAATAAAACCTTAAACAAACTTGATTTAAAATTTGATTTAGGCATATTAAAGGACCTATGTTTGTTTTTAAGCAGGCCTGGAATCCATATGCCTGATATGCAAGTACTTATAAGAAGCATGGGAACCCTGTAAATAATATATAAAGCTTTTGTTTCAGTAAATAATAATGATAATTATATACAATGATGTGTCTTGAGTTTATTTAGGCGTAGTTAGTATTTATTTGATGCTTTAGTTGATGTAACCTAGGTAAATTTGAATAAAGCACTGGATTTAAAGATTGGAATTATATCCATTTAGTGGAGAAATATTTATGTGAAAATGTAAATAGAAGAGATTTCACAAATCAGATAACCGATCAGAGAAAACATATCAAGTGACCCGGTGTGAACAGGCCTATACATTTGACTAATATAACCTTAAAGCTATTTTCTCTCAAATTCTTTTCTCTGAAATGTACTTGGCTGCACGAATGTCGATTGTTCCTTTCAGCTTCTCCTCGCTGTCATTCTCGAAGTACATGAGCTTGGAGTCGCGCAGAACGAACCAGCGCATCTTCCAGTTTCTGCGGGAGAGAGTGGACAGACCGCCGCCCTTCTTGTACAGCCAGCCTGACTTCAACGACTCCTGTTTAGAGCGAAACCACATGAAGGTTTCGTCTTTAAGGACACACCAACGCCTCCGCCATGGGATCATCAACCCAGCTGTGATTGAGATAGAAAAGAGAGATGATTTAAACTTTTATACAGTCAATAACAACATTGAAACAACTATAAAGCAGATATACAGCATGTAATAATGTATCAACTGCCATTTTTAATGTCGATCAACAGCTTATAAAAGCTTTGACTTCCTAGGATTTCAATGAAAGTCTATAGACAGATAAAGGCCTATTTTTGCTGGAAAAGCATAAGTGATTAGACATTTGCATGCTCATAAGAAATACTTTTTTTTATCCTATGACACATGAAATGAATGCTTTTATAATGTAGCAGATAATGCTAAAACATGTATTATGTCAATTTGAAAACAGATTCAGAGAAAACAGAATTATTCAAACTAAAGTCTCACATAGTCACATATAACCTCTAGTCTCAAAAACAGGCCAACAATGTGAACTTATCATCTCTGTCATCAAGTTTCAGAGAATTCCAGAATGGTGCAAATATTTATATTGCTAAGATCAGATGCTTTCTTAACTGCTGCTTTCTCAACACCATCACTTAATTTACTTTAAATAGCGCAAATCAAAATTTGCATCTTAATGTCCAGATGTTTATTATCACTATATTATTGCACAGGTGGGGCGACACGGTGGTTAGCACTGTTGCCTCAAAGCAAGAAGGTCGCTGGTTAGAGTCCCGGCCAGGCCAGTGTGCATTTCTGTGTGAAGCTTGCATGTTCTTCCCGTGTTCGCGTGGGTTTCTTCCGATTGTTCCAGTTTCCCCCCAGTCCAAAGACATGCGGTATAGGTGAATTGAATAAACTAAATTGGCCGCAGTGTATGTGTGTGAATGTGAGAGTCTATGGATGTTTCCCAGTACTGGGTTGCAGCTGGAAAAGAATTCCGCGGTGGCAACTACTGATAAATAATGGACTAAGCCGAAGGAAAATCAATAAACGAATATTGCACAGATATTTCAAAATGTTTATTTCTAAGCAAAAAGATGTCTATGTGAGTACATTAAGGAATTAAACCATCAAGGTATGAGCATTTGCTGGCTGCAGTTCACTTAATGGCCACTGGTGTCACTAATAACAAGGGTTTCTAAATTGTATATATGATGATGTGAAGGGGTTTCTTCACCCAAAAATGAAAAAAAAAAGTTTATTAACACTCAAGTAGTTCTGAACTTTTCTGAATTTCTTTTTTCAGTTGAGCATAAATAAAACAGATATGAAGAATGTTGGAAAAAGCAGTCCTTGACATCCCTAGTTGGGACAAAAATGTGTATGGAAATCAATAGCGTTTTTCCCACCATTCTTCAGAATATCTTCTTTTGTGTTCAACAGAAGAAAGAAACTCAAACTAATGGAGGATGAGTAACTGATGACAGATTTTTCATTTTGGTTGAATTATTATTGTATGACATCTTACCCTTCATGTAAAGGTAACTGTGGAAGTATGGAGGTCCGTTCCCATTCAAGATGTTGACTTTTCCATTGGACACCTCTTCATCTGTGTCCACGTACCCATCATGCTCATCATCGCTCTCAGCATACTGATACAGACAAGGACATAGTGAATGCTCAGAAATAAAAACAATGCTATATATTATAGCTGTACATAAAAAGTATTTTGCTCCTGAAAAACATAATTTAGATTAACTTAGCAGTTATATTGGAAACACTTCTGAGCCAACTCTATCTATTGGAAAGGGGAAAATTCAAAACTGTTGTCAAAATAACATTTTTCAAACTAGCAATTGCATGGGTCTCAAACTCGATTCCCGGAGGGCTGCAGCTCTGCACAGTTTTGCTCCAACCCTGTTCAAACACAGCTGAAGAAGTTGAAGAGTTGTCTAGAACGCCTTGATTATTTGGATCAGGTGTTTTTGATCAGGGCTGGAGCAAAACTGTGCAGAGTTTCGGCCCTTCGGGAATTGAGTTTGAGACCTATGATTTACAGTATACAAGTTATATTTTAACTGCAGCCACAGTGATGCAATGACTAGACCAAATAGTGATTGGCTGTTTAACTTAGAAGGCGGTAGACTTGCATTAATACTGTAAACCCACACTTGAATAGCCATATTGCATGATACAGTCTCTCTTTACCCTATTTATACCACATTATGTGTTTCTTGTTATGAATTTACTCTGACAGTTAGGTTTGTTTAGGTAGTTGTAAACACATATTGATGTGCTTTAAATTATTGCAGACATAACCAAGGCAATGCAACACTGTAACAGATTAGGTGTGACCGGATTCACATACTTCCCTACTATTTAGTATGTGAAAACCAGTACGCAAGCCTAGTAGTATGTCTAAATTTATAGCATTTAAAAACAGTTGGTAAGAACTACTATTTCTGAGGAGATTTTGAAGATTTTTGAAGCATCCAATGGACCATTTAAAGACCATAGAAGAGAGATTTATGGGATTAAAGCAATGCAGTAGACCAGGGGTCACCAATCTCAGTCCTAGGAGGTCAGTGTCCAGAGTTTAGCTCCAGCTTGCCTCAACACACCTGCTTGGAAGTTTCAAGTATACCTAGCAAGACCTAGATTAGCTAGTTCAGGTGTGTTTAATTAGGGTTGGAGCTAAACTCTGCAGGACACCTGCCCTCCAGAACAACTTTAAATGAATTATGGAGTACACAGATAGGTCATGTGGTAATATCAAATGATGGATGTACATTTGAATTTCATTTAAACTACTCACATTCATATGCTGCATCCGAAATCTCCTGCTACCCAGTAGGTACTACATTTGAATGTGAATTTACTACACGACTGTTAGAAAAGCACGTTCTGTATAGTATGAGTGTGAGTAGCATGAATGGAACTCGAGAGTACTACATCCACCACTTGTTATAATCACGTAACCTACCTGAGTCAGCTGCGTTGCTTCATTCCCATTCATGAATTCTCTTGTGTGGCATCATGGGATAGCGTATCGTCCATTGGATGTGCACTTCAGAATCTTGCCGAAAGTAGTAGGTACTTCTCGCATACTGTTTTTCAAATTCTATGAATTTGGACATACTATTCGGCTCACATACTGTTTTTTTTAACAAACTATATAGTATGGAAGTATTAGATTTCGGAGGCAGCAATACAGGAACAGGGTTGCCCAATCCTATTCCTGGAGATCTACTTACTAGCTGAGTAGGTACTGCATTTTAATTTAAGTTTACTTCACGACTGTTAGATAAGTATGTTCTATAGCAGGGGTGCCCAACTCTGTTCCTGGAGATCTTTCTTCCAGCAGAATTCAGCTCCAACCCTGTTAAGAAACAACTTACCAACTAATTCAGATCTGAAGGAGTTCTTGGTAATTACAGAAAGGTGTGTTTAATCAAGAACTCTGCAGAAAGAAAGATCTCCAGGAACAGGGTTTGGCACTCCTGCTATAGAACATACATATCTACCTGTCGTGAAGTAAACTTAAATTAAATTGCAGTACCTACTCAGCTAGTTTGCGAATTCGCAAGCAGCTTTTAAGCCAAAAGTGCAAACAATCTTATAAGTTTGAAAATTCACATATTACGTCCACCTTAAGCTTTAAGAATGATTGTTGTCAGACCCATAGTCTTTGTGTAACGTACTGAATCTGAGCTGCGGTTGTAGGATTCCTGGCTTGCGTTGGTGCAGGTGGACTTGCGTGCATGTTCTCCGTCCGTCGCTGCAATGCTGCTCTGCCCATCCTCCAGATCATCTTGGTCGTAGTCCGACTCTCCATCCCCTGGTACACTGTAGATGGGTTCCTCAGTGTCCGGCAGAGACTCTGCTGCCGTCAGCCTGCTGGTGCGGTCCACATCCTCACCCTCCTTTTTCCCATCCACCTCTTTATCTGTTTTAGCCTCCTCAGGCTTGCCCTCTTCCTTTTTGGTTTCGCCAGGAAGAGGAGGAGGTGGAGGAGGAGAAGGTGGAGGAGGAGCTCCAGGTGGAACGTTGGGTGCTGATGGAGCCACCGTGCCCTCAGCGAATGCAGCAGGAGGAGGCGGTAAAGTGGCTAAGATCTCCTGATCCACTGGACCTTCTGCTGGCGGAGGGAACTCTGGAAGTGGTATGCACTCTTCCTCTGCGTGAAAGCCTTCGTCTACCTCTTCCTCAGTGGCTGTTGCCGATCTGGAAGCAGCTTGTTTAGGATCCCCAGGGATGACTTCAGGGCCTCCAGTGTCAAGGAGTTCAAGGAATTCAGTGGCCACACGAGATGCTGCTTTTTTCTGTCGCAGGACCTCGGCATCACGGCGCAAGCGGAGTTCCTGTTTGGAGCTCTCACAAAGCGTGGACACACTGTCTTCTCTTTTCTTCTGCAGAATCTCAATCTCTCGCTCCAAACGCAAGATTTCCTCCATCTGGCGGGTATCCTCCTCAACAGTGCGTGGAGACTAAAGGATGCCAGGTTTGAGGGAAGAAATAGAAACACTGTTTAGAGAAAAATAACCGTATAAACATCTTGACAACACCTGTCTGCAACTCTGAAAGGATTTTAAACTCAATGTCTATGCGCTTGAAAAGAAGTCTATAGAATGACAGGTTGTGTCTATATATACAGTGTATCCATCTATATGAAATAAATGAAATAATGAAAATGAAATAAATTTATCAAAGAATTATTTTTGTGTGTTAGAAATTTACATATAAAAGAGAATTCAGTGTGACAGCAAAATTACAGTATAATGAATTTGTTCAAGCTTAGCTAAGAGCTGCACGATTCTGGCTAAAATAAGAAATGCGTTTTTTTTTGCTTAAAATAAAGATCACGATTTTCTCACGATCCTGTAGATGTAAAATAAAGGTTAATATGAGTCGCAATTATAATTGTTTTTTCTCAAACATATGGTAAAACAACAATAACATTATGTGTAGGTTTACTTGTTTTTTATAAATAATTCTATTGTACTTATAATAATACTGATGTTGAATTATGTTTTTGATATATGCTTGCAATCTGTCATTGACAACATTATTAGACCCTTTTATTCACTGGTAAAAATCAACATTATATAGGCTAGAGTAGTTTTACTGACATTAAACATTTATTTTCATGCACAACTGTGTGTTTGCTATGAAAGAAAAAAAATTCAAATGCTTGTCGCAATCATAACTCTAAAATGCGATATGATTATTTAAATCAGTGGTCCCCAACCCCCGGGCCGCGGATCAAACAGTACCGAGCCGCACAAGAATTAATTATCTTTAAGTTGGCAGACTTTGCATTTAAAGCCAACCTGGATTTGTGGGGACGGCGCGTGAACAGAAGCATACTGGACTTGCATGATATGTGTGTGTGCAGGCGCTCAAGGGCTGTTTGGAAAAGTCTTGAAGGTAAACAAACAACGGCTTATCATAAGCATCTAATCGTTAATTATTTACACGGTTGGCATTAAGATGAACATATAAATGTTATCTGCCTAATTTCTAGCACCTAAATGTGTCTGGAAAAATATTCAAAAGCTTTTATTCTCATAAACCGCACGGACGTGAATGCGTCTAACTGTTCTGGTTGGCTAAAGCAGATGTCTCACGTCAGTACGTTCTAGACGTGTACGCGCTCTTTCCGACAATCTTCCTTCTGCGTTTACACAGCGCAGCATTCCGGCAAATTACCGGTAATGTTTCAACTTCTCTTTCCAGAAAATAGCTAGAACGAATTTACCAGTATTTTTAAAAAGGCCCTGTTCACACATACACACCTTTCCGGAAAATTACCGGTAATTTTCCGGAAAGGTGTGTATGTGTAAAAGGAGCTTTTGTCTGAAATTATCCCCAGATGGGACCATCTCGTTGCAAAGAAACAAGCTCAGGGCTCCCACTCATTTAGCGTTACGGACAGTTTTTGATGTTTTAATATGTTATATTGTTGGAGCGATGTGTTAATAAAGTTATTACTTCCTAATGTTATAATAGCATTGTAATGTTGGAGCAATGTGCTAATAAAGTTCCATGAGTACACAGTGGATTCATTTTATTATTATTATTATTATTATTTCAACCCCCCGGTCTGTAGTAAAATTGTCAAGCGTTGACCGGTCCGCAGTTAGAAAAAGGTTGGGGACCACTGATTTAAATGGTGTGCACGCTTTCGGTTTCATTTTCACTGCTAAGTACTGTATATACTTCGCGCCCGGCTCTCAAATGATCACTCTGTGCCACAAACTGAATATTATTTACAACTTTATTACCTGTTATTCACAACCTATGTAAGTATGCAAGTAGGGTGTGCCCACCCTCTCTGTGGTAACAGCTCATGGTCAGCAGTTCACGTCACGTGTGATTTCCCGACCGCGAATACAGCATTATATGAGGATAAAAATGACAATATTAGGTGAATTGTATCTTATCAATACAGTATGTGACTCTTTTAACACCATTTGGAGGTGTCCATGTCACTGAGCCACGTATGTGAAACAATGAAAAGACTCGTGCAGCCGCCTTTGCTTCTCTCCTGAACTTGAAAATATGATTGGCAGAATCATAGAAATGCTGGATTAAGATTGTCTAGGGGGATGAATTGAGATCTTTTTCCATTAATCGTGCAGCTCTAGCTTAGGTGAACAAATATATCGCATATTTAGTTTCAAAGTTTGAAGAAAGCTGAGACAAACTTAAAAAATGATGATCACTTGCTAAATCTACTTTGAAAAAATAACACCTTACCAAACAGAACACTAATTACATACAGTAATGGTGACTTCAAGGTTATTTTGCCTTAAAATACATAAACAGCTGGCATGCATGGAATTTAAAGGGCACCTATTTTACTCCTTTTAAAAATTTTGTCTTTTGTGTCTCCAGAATGTGCCTGTAAATTTTCAGCTCAAAATACCCATCAGATTATTTATTATACCTTTGTGTATATTGGAAATTTGAGCTGTTATGACTGATGTAGCTATATTTGTTACCTGTGCCTTTCATGGACATGAGCTGGTTCTCCCAGCCACAGTTCCGACGTGCATGTCAGAGCTAAAGAGATTTCTCACTATTGCTATGATGGGTGTAGCTCCTCCTGCTGTGTCTCGTATATAAGTAGCACAGTGACAGACAACAATGAAGCAATCTACTTTACTGCATTAAGAACTTTCCCAATGGTTATTTGATGTATTTGATTTGAGTTAATTCAAGCCTTTCTGCAAAGATGAGTCACACAAAATGTAGTTATAGAATTCACACACACACACACACACACACACACACACACACACACACACACACACACACACACACACACACACACACACACACACGCACGCACGCACGCACGCACGCACACACACACACACACACACACACACACACACACACACACACGGGCGTTTAGCTTTGCACAGTTTTAGCATGGCAAATGTGACAGGATACATGTTTATGTCCACTGCTGTATGGATATCCGTTATGTTCATGTACAAAATAAACCTGATTTAAGTCCATGAACCGGGATTGAATCGTCTTCTTTTATAATTGTAATGACAAGCAGCAGTGGTGATGAATTACAGCAATTTTACTGTCTTTATTACAAACATGCACTGTTTTAGAAACATTTTAAACTTGTAAAACTCATTCTTGAGGTGCTGCTGAACACAGAGAGCTGAACAGATCTTTTAATCCCGGTTGCTTTGCACATGTCCTGTCTTGTACATATAATTATAAGAGTTACTATGGAGACATGTTAAAGCACGGCTGTCAATCAATTTGGGGATCCTATTCTAACAAAAAGACACTTATAGTGTTTCTATCACTCCAATAAGACTGCGGACACACTGTACCTACACACAGTTCTGTCCAAACAGCTTCCTAATGACGATTTTCATCATAGGTGCCCTTTAAAAGAAACATTAAAATCACTTACCTCAGCCTCGTCTTCCTCTTCATTTTTCTTTTCACGATCTCCCTCTGTTTTCTTCTCCTGCTCCTCTTTCTTTTTCCTTTCCTCCTCCTCTCTCTTCTTCTTCTCGTCTCGTAGTTTACGGCAGACTCCTCTTGCCACTTGCCCTCTCCTGTGCTTCTGAAGGACCAGCGCAGCAGAGCGTTTCCGCTGAAACCTCCGTCGATAGAGATGAGTGCGGTAGTTCTTCTGGATGGTCACAATGCTCTCCAGAGCCTTCTTAAAGTCCTTTCTGTAATGAGTGTCATGTCATTGTCAGCCAATAGGTAAATATTAAGCATTTACACATATAATAGAAAGGGTCTGTAATCATAAGTTGTGTTTTCATAAATTCCTTGGTATACTGTGCATCTGCTAGTGTAAAACTAAAGATTTTATTCTTTTAAACACTGCCTAGTGCAAATTAGGATGTGTGACGGCTCATACAGAAATCTGATATAAGCTAATTTGTGCAAATCACACACAGTATATGATATTCAAGTTTGGATTTTTAAAAATATTATGCCATTTATTCAACCTATATGTTAACATATTGGAACCATTATTGGCGACACGGAGGCACAGTGGGTCTCAGCTCTCCTCACAGCAAGAAGGTCGCTGGTTTGAGCCTCGGCAGGATTTCCTCTGGGTGCTCTGGTTTCCCCCAGAAGTCCAAAGACATGCACTATAGGTGAATTGAATAAGCTAAATTGTTCGTAGTGTATGTGTGTGAATGAGTGGGTACGGATGTTTCTCAGTGACGGGTTGCAACTGGAGGGGCATCCGCTGGATAAGTTGGCAAATCATTAAAAAGGGATTAAAAAGGGACTAAGCCGAAAAGAAAATGAATGAATGAATGAATGAAATGTGCATGTGTGTATATAATAAAAATAAATACATTAAAATAATAATAATAAAAAACACCATATTATTTCCAAACACTTGCAATTTTTATCTATAAATTTATAAAGTGATCGAAAGGAGACCACACTTTTTAAAAATTCTCTGCTTCACATCTGATCACAAGTTTTTCATCATTATTATTAATGAAAGCGTGTTCTGAAGCACCAAATAGCATCTTATAATGATTTCTGAACGGTCAGGTGACACTGAAGTAATTTACACTGAGCAATGACTCTCAAAATGACAGTATTTTGATCAAATAAATGCTGCCTTTGTGAACATAAGAGACGTCTTTCAAAAATATATATTTTTTTATATAATTCTTTGTATAAAACTATAATCTGAGCATAACTTTAGTGAAATCAAAATGTGATATAGCATGACAAGATGGCTAAATGAACATATAGACAAATCAGAAACTGCTTTGAAGAGCCACGTTACAATAAAATCCATTCATTCATTTTCCTTTTACTCAGCCCCTTATTTATCAGAGGTAGCCACAGGGGAATGAACCGCTAACCATTCTGGCATATGTTTTACACAGTGGATGACCTTCCAGCCGCAAACCAGCACTGGGAAACACCCATACACTCTCGCATTTACACACACTCATACACTACGGCCAATTTAGTTCATCCAATTTACATACAGTGCATGTCTTTGGACTGTGGGGGGCACTGGAGCACCCGGAGGAAACCCACACAAACACAAGTATAAAATGTAAATTCCACACAGAAACACCAACTGGCCCAGCAGGGACTCGAACTGGTGACCTTCATGCTGCGAACCGACAGTGCTAACCACTGAGCTATAGTACCTCATCGCATTAAAAACCAAATTCTAAGAAACTTATTTAAAGAGCCCATATTATGGGTTTTTGAAAATTCCCCTCCATGTAGTGTGTAACACAGCTCTAAGTGAAGTGAAGTATCCAGCTAAGGCTTAAATCTGTAAGAATACAGTGTTTAAAACTGTTGATTCATCTATAAAAGAGTCGAATCATAGTGCTTCAAACGAGTCGCCTTGATACCGACTCATTAGGTGTTTCGCCATGACGTACGAACGAAACAAAGTTTTTCACGTGCACGCGCAAACCCGGGAGATTTCAAACCTGAGGCCCCGCCCTCTGATGCAGAAACCCACACACACACACACCCACAAACACACGCACACCCACAAACACACGCACACAAACATGCCGGTCGATTGAAGTCACACTGCAGATGGATATATTGAGTCTCTACCCAAAGATGAAACATCAGCATTATAACCAAGCAGTTGGAAACTTCTGGAAGCTACATGCTACAAAGAATACTTCATCTGAGTTTGTTAAAGGAAGGATCAGTAAAGAGTAACTGATGGACGTCAGGATGGGTTTCTTCCTACATTTCTCAAGTGTAAGTACGTGCGGTTAAAGTTGTTGCCTCGTTTACTCTAGCTTGCAAATGTATTTAGTTGTGATTTGTTACTTGTAACCGCGTGTACTGTATCAGGTTAACTGGATATATTATCTTATCGCGTGCAAAGTCACGTTAAAAACGCGACGCGTGCTGCTTGTTTATGGAGCTCCGTGCTAGAGTTCTGCTCCCGCGATTTATTCGGAAATGTATTCCCGCGCCGCAGAAATCTGGCGCGGGGAGAGAGAGAGAAAGAGAGAGCGAGAGAGAGAGCGAACGAACGAACGAGCTTTGTGTACTTTGTGCTGTGTGTGTGTTTTTATACAGACACCTTGGCTGTCTGGACTGTATACTGGGTGATATTTGGTTGTGTTCTCCGCTCTAGCGGGACCGGGCGCGGCGGGCAGAAAACGGAGCGGGTTCTCAGGCTAAAACCTGGCGGGTGCGGGCTGAAGCGGGAGCGTTGTCATCCGGAGGTGTGTGTGTGTTTTTGTGTGTGTGTGGTATGGCGAGTACACGACTGTCTCCTTCGTTCGGTTATCCGTGGCACTATCCACTCGCCATAGTGTGGCAGCTAAAGTCCACGCCTACACTATCGAGCGTGTATGAACTGTGATTACTTTTTAAATTGCTGATTAGCTATTGGGCATTTCCCTCTCTGACTGAAGGCAGTCGACCAATCGCGACAGACTGTCATCGGTCCAATCAGCGCAGATTAGCTCCGCGCTAAGGAGGGGTTTGGGAACAAATGAATCACTGGACGATTCATACAGGAGTCGCTGGGATAATTAGGTAAAAATAAATGCAGATTATAAGACCATGAAAGTGTTTTTTGACCTTGCATGCATATTAGACTGTTGTTGGAGACCCTTACAACCAAGACATGACCTTATTTCATGTATAATATGGGCTCTTTAATAAAACTTTTCTGCAAATGTAAACTACATTATTATGTGCAAAACACAGGAAATTCACACACCTTGCAATATATCTTAGAAGGTATGCTCGTATGATCAGGCCAGCTTTGCTTCGCACTTCATCTCTCTGCTTCTCCAGCTTCTGTTCCAGGGTTTCCTTTAGGAAAACCTAAGTGTTCAAAGATTATCACAGCTTAGTGTCATCAAAACAATGTAAGAGCACTTGTTTACTTTTACCTCAAAGATTGAAAAGTTGCCTTTGATTAAGAACAGATATAAAGAAACATGCATTTACCTTGGTTTTCCCAAACTGCCACTCTTTCTTGGTCTTGTCGTGGATTGTCAGCAAATCCGTGCTCTTCTTTTTGTCATCTCCATTGGAAGCCACAGCTGCTTTTTCCTTCTCCTTTAGAATTATCTTATACCTGATGCACACAACCACAAAAGTCTCGCAAACCTCAGCCAATGAAAACCTCACGCAGTTTTTACAAAACACCATTTTTGAAGAAAACATTACATATTTATGTAGTTTGATGTTGAAAATATTATATAATGAAAAAATATAAGAAGTCACTAAACTTATTTAAAAGTTTTTTCTTTTTTACTGAAATTTACACTTACCGGCCACTTTATTAGGTACACCTGTCTTAACAACTGCTTGTTAAGCAAATTTCTAATCAGCCAATCACATGGCAGCAACTCAATGCACTTAGGGTTTTAGACATGCTCAAGACGGTCTGTTGCAGTTCAAACCGACCATCAGAATGGGGAAGAAAGGGGATTTAAGGGTGCTTTCACACCTGTGAATCGATTCAGTTGTTCCGAAACAGATTACAAATGTTACATTGTTGCTCTTTGCTCTTGGAGCGGTTCGCTTTCACATTGCAAAGTTTCTAATCGGACCAAAAGAGCTAAAACAAGTCACGTGCAAGTAAACTCTCTTTACATTAGTCAGAGTGTCAGGGTTTATTTTGCAGTGTCCCGCTCAGCTGTCAGGAGAGGTGGTGGTTTGGTGGTGATTGACAGACGCGAGATTACCGGGAGATCATCACTCGTTTGCGGGCATCCGGAGACTCGGGAAACTTCCCGCCATGCTCATATTTCTCTCTTCATATTGCCGTATGCCTATTACATATTCACAAAACACTGTGATATAACCGCGCTTGGATCGGATCGCTTTCTCACTGCAATCAAACCGCTCCACGGTTCGTTTCAATCGAGCCGAGACCACCTCATTCAAGCGATCTCGGAGCGATTACTTTGGCGCGGAACAGTGCTGCGCGATTGCCCTGTTCACATATGCCAAATGAACCGCGCTAACTGGGCAATTGAGACACGTTCCGAAACAAAAGTGTAGGTGTGAAAGCACCCTAAGTGACTTTGAATGTGGCATGGTTGTTGGTGCCATACACGCTGGTCTGAGTATTTCAGAAACTGCTGATCTACTGGGATTTTCATGCACAACCATCTCTAGTGTTTACAGAGAATGATCCGAAAAAAAGAGAATATCCATTGAGTGGCAGTTCTGTGGTAAATGATGATGACACAAAATATATTCATTCTTGTCATGTGCGACAGTAAAAATGCAACATCATGTCAACAGTCCATGTTTTAGAACACTCACCTGGTGAAGAAGTCTTTAAATGTGCGTCTGACAGGGAATCCGGCTCTGCGAATCTTCACTGTCTCCAGCATGCCAGAGTACCGCAGCTGATTAAGAACCACTTCTGGGTCAAACTTGTTTGGTGTCTATTAAAGAGCAAATACCAAGGGCATAAAATGTACTGTATGACTCGTGTTTAATGGCATGCGGTTGTTATTGGGTGATGTAACTGCTCTCACTTTGTCCATGTTTGGTTTGATGCAACGCACAAAGAAGGGATTGGACACACTGAGAGTGGCCATTAGGGAATGAAGAGAGTCCTGAGGAGCAGAAAAATCAAATCACTGACAAAACAGAACAGACAGTGAATGACTGATTGTTTGAAATGCAGCTTTTAATTGTAGGTGTATTATTAAGGTAAATGTCTTATTATGGGAGTTATTTCTCACTCTGAACTGAGAGCTGACGGTGGGCTTTTTTCTGGCCGTGCCCATCTTCAAGGTCTCCTCGTTATTTCTGCTGCTCACTTGCTCAAACAAGTCATAGATGAAATCCAGCCTGCACACATTCAGAATAACGCACAGGTTAAATAATGTGTCGGATAAACTGCATACACAAGCATGTGTGTGTGTGTGTGCGTTGTGCATTTATGTCCTACCTGCTATCCTTCAGCATGTTCAATATATCATCTCTAAATGTGTCTCTGTTTTTCTCTAAAATCCCCCTTACATCATACAAGACCTATAAAAAGGAGAAAAAGTATATAAAGTTTATAAACAAAGACAGACATACTGAAACAAAAAAATGACTTGTTCTTGTTCAAACTATATATTTAAAATGAGTTAAAACAACACAATTCTTACTGTTTTTGGAGGACAACCTTACAGTTTTATGTTTAATCTACTTAAATTTAACACTTAAACACTCAATTAACAAAAGTTAACTAAATTGATTTGGATTGGGACAACATGAAGGAATGGTGTGGAACCCAACATTTTTTACAGTGTAGTTTGGATCTACTTTCATTGGTGAACCAAAAAACAAACAAACAAAAAAAACTAAGAATTTTGTGTCTACAAATACGATGCTCCAGGGGTCCGTTCTTCTCACCTCGCTTAAATGATCTAAGATAAGTTGGCAGATCCTGGATCTTTTAATCTTGATGACTAATTTGGTTCTTCAAACAAGTTTGTGAATCAGATTAAAATGCCTGGATGAACTGATCTGAGATCGCTGCGTATGTTGTGAAGAACAGATCTATCGATCCTCGAAATCATGATCAGCAATGCACCGATTGGCTGACAGCACAGCAGCATAATTACATCATCTGATTAATATTCAATTATCCATGTAAGCAAAATTACATCAAATTAGCAGTAAACGGTTTGTTAAATATGATACGCAATAACTACACATTTGTTGTGGGCTTCAGGCTTTACACTTTCATGTGTTAAAAGTATTCATCACGTATTTTAATGCATATCAATGTATTTAGTTCTACATTTAGAAAAGATTTTCTTTATTATAGTAGCCTAGGCCTACTCATGTTTGTTTATTTGGTGTAAGGAATAACTGTATAACTGTAATAAATTAATTTTGCATCAAAAAAGCATTTTGATATGGGTAAAGGTATAAATCACCAGCATATTAGTGATCAAAACACATGCATGACTGCATAAATTATTATCCTTTTTTAAAAAAAAAAAAAGTTGAATATTGTGCATGTACGCATTTGCATCTAAAAAGTTCATACTGTATCAATAATTTTCTCTTTGAACCCCCAGGTGGCAGTCCTTTACTTTTATTTTGGAGTGCAGATTGTATAAGTTTTAGTTTTATTTTAAACTTTATATATATATAATAAATAAGTAAAAATTATATATATATATATATATATATATATATATATATATATATATATATATATATATATATATATATATATATATATATATAATATATATACACTATTTTCCCAAGGGTATATAACTACTGTAAGAAAATATTAGTATTTGGTTCATACTTTCAGTATTATCTTTGCTTGAACTGACCTAATCTAATCCTGTTTATATGAAATGAACCTGCTCCTACGCAGGTTTGAGCTACCAGAACTGTTACTATGACAACAAGTCTCAGATGAGTTTTGAAGAACGAAACAATCCTGGATCGTGTCAAATCCTCAACATCCAAATCCAGCTTATTGAGTAATCCACGTATGAAGAACGGACCCCTGGTCTGTTTCGTTACAGAATATTACTGTTCACTATCGAGCAAAATGACTAAACCATAAAAGTTGTCCAGAGTTGTCCATTTAGAGATAGGAATGTAAAGCAAACTTATTCATTTTTTTAAATAATACACACCATCAAGTAGTTTTGTGGTATTTATTCATTCATTCACTGTCTTTTCGGCTAAGCCCCTTTATTAATCCGGGGTCACAACAGCGGAATAAACCGCCAACTTATCCAGCACGTTTTTACGCAGCTCATGCCCTTCCAGCCGCAACCCATTCCTGAGAAACATCCACACACACTCATTCACACTCATACACTAGGGACTATTTAGCTAACCCAATTCACCTGTACCGCATGTCTTTGGTCTGTGGGGGAAACAGGAGCACAGGCTCGCACATTGTTAAAACAATTACTATATTATCATAAACAATATATGTCAAGCACTAACTATAAATATGCGAAGAGATACATAAAGAGACAGAGGGATAGACAGAGAGAGACTCTTCATGTACCTCTCCAGCGTAATGTTTTATCCCAAACTGATGGTCTGCCAGTCTGGGTTTCACATAGTATGGATTAGTCTGTGGAAAAACAACCTCAAGTGTTCAGTTTTTTACATTCGTAGATTAATTTCATTGTGTCTTTCTAATGAGAATATAACTCACAGAGTGTCTGCCGTGTAGTTTCTCCAGCAAGGTGAAGTCAGTGCCTTTGGGAAATCTGCTCTCCTCATTAACCAAAGCTAACATGCCCAATTTCTGCATAAAAAACATATAATTAATAAGGGCATAACTGAACGACTGTAATGATAAAGCTGACTTCTGGTTGAATACAAGTATAATAATATGACTAAATGAATCATAATCACACTGCTGACCATGTTTGAATTACCTTCTCGATCAGATCCAGACATTCTGCATTGTCCATCCAGTCAATGGCTTCCCAATGAATTCCTTCCCTGCACAACACAACTCATTGTTCATTCTTTTAAAATGTTTAGGTAACTCTTAGGAGATACAGTATGCATGTTAAGATCACATGGGTTTACCTGTTGTACTCCAGTTGCTCCAAAGAGAAGATGTGTTTGTTGAAATATTCTTGAAGTTTCTCATTGGCGTAATTAATGTTGAACTGCTCAAAACGGTTGACCTTCAGAGCACATAAACACTTGAATTAACGCTCGATAAACACATAATGTGTGTGAATGAACAGGTGATCTCTGTAGACGCACCTCAAAGTTCTCAAAGCCAAAGATGTCCAGGATTCCTATAGACTTGAAGTTATCTTTGCCCTTTATTTTCTGATTAATCCGCATTATGATCCACGAGAAGCACTGAGAATAAAGCGCCATGGCAACCGAATCCCGGGAATCGATTGCCTGTTAATGATAAACAGTAAAAGGAAATTACCATTTTTTGTTTTTATAAACATAGTTGTCTTGGCTAAAACCAGTCTAAATTTGGGCTGTCGGTGAAAATCTTATAGAATAGACCAAAACAAGACTAGTCATCATTAGTCACATGTGTAGTCATTCATTCCTATGTATTTAATGACCAGTCAAGTCTTGGACTATTCTTAGATGTCTATTGGATTTTCATTGACAGCCCAAGTTTAGCCTTGTATTAGCCAAGCCATTTACAGTTGAAACCAGAAGTTTACATACACTCTAAAAAATGAACATAACCATTTTTTGGAAAATGTCTGATGGTAAATTATACTAAACGTTTACTATTTTAGGTCCGTTAGGGTTAACTCAATGATTTACATTTGCTAAATGCCAAAATAATGATATTTTTGAGAGAATGTTTTATTAATTTCTAGACAGTCAAAAGTGTACATACATTTCCTTGTTTTTTTTTTTAGTTTTGCTTTTAAATTGTATAACTTGAAATGTTTTAGGGATCCTTCCACAAGCTTCTTACAATAGTTTGCAGGAATTTTGGCCCCTTCCTCCAGACAGAATTGGTGTAACTGAGTCAGATTTGTTGGCTGTTTAGCTCACGCAAACTTTTTCAACTCTGCTCATACATTTTCTATAGGATTGAGATCAGGGCTTTGTGATGGCCACTCCAAAACATTCACTCTGTTGTCGTTAAAGCACATTTTAACTAATTTGTCAGTATGCTTAGGGTCATGGTCTGTTTGGAAAACCTATTTGTGGCCAAGTTGTAATTTCCTGGCTGGTGTCTTAAGATGTTGCTTCAGTATTTCTACATAATGTTCTTTCTTCATGATGCCATCTATGCTAAGAAGTGGACCAGTCCCTCCTGCAGCAAAACAACCCCACAACATAATGCTGCCGCCCCCATACTTCACAGTTGGGTTGGTGTTCCTAGGCTTGTAAGCTTTCCCCTTTGGCCAAACAGTTCAATCTTAGTTCCATCAGACCACAGGACATGTCTTCAAAAATGATTTCCCAGTGTAATTTAGCAAACTGTAATCTGGTTTTTTTTTTTGATTCTGGCTTGTTGATTTTCCCATGTTGTCACAAAAGGAAGCAGTGTGTTTAAGGTTTTCCTTAAATACTATTCTAAAGTTGTGCCTCCAGTTAAATCAAATGTTGTCAATTAGCCAATCAGAAACTTCCAAAACTTTGACACCCTCATCTGAGCTTTTTCAGAGGCTATATAATCCTATTTTAAGGCGAAGCAGTGGCGCAGTAGGTAGTGCTGTCGCCTCACTGGGTCGCTGGTTCAAGCCTCGGCTCAGTTGGCGTTTCTGTGTGGAGTTTGCATGTTCTCCCTGCGTTCGCATGGGTTTCCTCCGGGTGCTCTGGTTTCCCCCACAGTCCAAAGACATGCGGTAAAGGTGAATTGGGTAGGCTAAATTGTCCGTAGTGTATGAGTGTGTGTGTGAATGTGTGTGTGGATGTTCCCCAGAGATGGGTTGCGGCTGAAAAGGCATCCGCTGCGTAAAAACTGGATAAGTTGGCGGTTCATTCCGCTGTGGCGACCCCGGATTAATAATGGGACTAAGCCGAAAAGAAAATGAATGAATGAATGAATAATTCTATTGTATGAAAACTTGACTTTCAAGGAAAACTATAATAATTTCTCAAAACACATTTCTCTCATTATTCTGCTATTAGGCATAACAGAAACAAATGTTATAATCTTAACTTACCTAAAAGAGAAAAAGTTGAGTCACATTAACATCTGACTTTTTTAATTGTTATGTGCCTTTTTATACAGTGAATGTAAACTTCTGGTTTCAACTGTAGACATCTGTTTGATGCCTATTAGACATCTTTTTAAACACAGGATAAGAGCTAAAAACTACAAGTCTTTTTATTCATCATTATTTATCATAATGAGAAAATGTGTAAAGTGATTGTACCTGTTCCACTGTAAGCGGAGAGCAGATCTCTTCTCCCCTAAGGATCATGGATCGCTGGGTCAGAACCTCAGACAACTGAAAACAGTCCAGGCCCAGGAGCTCACTTACATTAGTGACAACTGTAGGAAACAGAGATCATTATTACTAACTAACACATATAAGCAATGTCTATCTATAAGATTAAGCTCTGACACATGAAGCAAACACCCTGCAGCTTCTTGGCTATTGGCTAATGTTTAGATGCATTGTGTTCTGCATTTTTGACACTAGCCAGACAACATAAACCTTTTGGCACTTCAGAATAATGTTCTATTAGTTAATGTATTTCCTAACATTACTAATGAATAATCTTGTAAAGCATTTATTAATCATAGTTCAACATTTATTATTGCATTAATAAAATTCAAAGTTGTGCTTGTTAACATTGTTTAATGCACAGTACAGTGAGTTAACATTAACTAACATGAATGTTATTTGACTTAAATGACATTAACTATGACTTATTCTCATTTCACTTTACCACTTTGATTTGATGTACAGCTTAGCAAAGCAGTGCATAAAAATACATTGACACTATGCTGTCCATATATTTCCATCTTGAAAGGGTGAAATTGTGGTCACTCTAAAAGGTACTATTTTAATTAAAAAATGTAATCGAAGTCTATTACAGATATAAAATGTTCAAACATGCATATAATTGTAGTTGTAGATGCTCTGTAAATCTGCTTTGGAGTCGACAAATTGGATTTTATGTGACAGGCGGCTTTATATGTCACTATGCTTGTTTCATATTTAAGATGGTAAACAAGTTCAGATTTTTAGATGATTTGTAAATCTGTAATTCTATGTTTAATTTTTTGTTTGTTTGTTTCTGAGGTGAGAAAGTACATGCTAGTTGTAGTCTCAGTGATGTCATAAAGCACAAAACATTTTTGGATCAAATGTGAGCTGCCAAAAAAGTCAGCTCTTATTGCTGCTTGTCTTTTGAGAAAATTTGCGTGTTACAGCATTAATATAGGGAAATTAGGGATAGTTCACCCAAAACAAAATTTAAAAACAGTCATCTTTTACTCATCCTCCACCTGTTCCAAACCTGATTGAGCTTCTTTAATCCAGCACAGACTTGGAAATATGTGCTCAGGGCACAAAAACGTGCTTCAGCATATGTTTACCTGTAGATTCTGGGTAAAATAAACGCTACAGATCCAGTGTTTTCTCTAGGATTTTTTCCAGATTTTTACACAGATCTACCAACTACCTGTGGTGTTATTTCAATGCCAAATGTTGTGAGCGCAATATTAGAAGTCGACATCGGATTTATGTAATAGCCTACGAGCATGCAAATCTCTGTGCTTGCACGCCAATTTCCTCTGCTCGTGCACTAAACTTCTTGCACGCCCTCAAATAAGCCGCTTCAAGAGTGCGCAGATCTTCTTGTGCGCTCTCAAACTCCAATAGACCTAGAGTAGCATTAATGCGTCCTGAAGTAAAGTGAAACGGCTATACGTCATGTTTGCTGGCCTCATGCATCTGTCAGCCAGTCAGTCAGCACGTCACCTTAAAGGGTAAACAAATAACGCACAGCACTACTGCGGTTACAAAAAAGTGCGCTATTATAATTCACTTACCCTTTAATACATTTTGGTGCGATTATTACCTGCTATTAAAAAAATAAAATGTTTTTAATGGGAAGCTGCAATGTAGCTGTGGCGGGATGAATTTTGGCGTGGCGCCCCACCATGGAAGAATAAATGTAGCGGAAACCATGAGATCCATATTGCACCAACAACTTTTGTTACTTTTTTATTGATGAATAAAGGGTTGTTTTGCATGGTTCTTCAAGGAGCACTGAATAAATAAGACAAAATAACTTAAATGCATCTGTGATATCTTGCCTTCTTATCTCAATATGGACGACTTCTCCGATGCGGTCAGTTTGCTCGGTAGCTCACCTTGTACGATGTCGAACTTGGGATGAGGAGTGGACCCGGTTTGAGTCCAGTGAAGAATGGTTCCAGAAACCAGGTAAAAAAGCAATGTGAAATTGTGGTGCAACCACACAAGTGCCAGGCAGTTTTCACTTCTCATTTGCTTTCGAAAACACAAATGAGAAATTGTAGCCCAGTATTCTTTTTGAGATTCACTAAAATGTAGACATTGGCCTTTGGATTTCAACACAAGCTGTGAGAAAACGTCACTGGAGCAACTTACTTTGCGATTCGCAAAACGTAACCCGGGGCCCGCATTTACAATGAGCCTGGATTGCTTTATTCAGTTGAGCACAAAAGAAGGTATTTTGAAAAATGTAGATAACTGGTACCATTGACTTTTTTCCTACTATGGATGTCAATGGCTTACAGTTCATTCTTAATTATAACCTCTTTTTGGTTCAGCAGAAAAAAGAAATTCAAAAAAAGTCTGAAATAAATCATTTTTGGGGTGAACTATCCCTTCAAAAAAGGAACACCACTTCTCACCCTGTTTGGTGGTGATCTGTGCGCCCCCTGCTGTCATGAACTCCACATTGCCAAGCTGTAGGACTCCAGAGAGCAATTTAAACATATCTCTGATTTCTTCCTCCGTGAACTCCATCACCTTCAGAGCCTCCTGCAGGCAAAAACAGAAACAGGGAATGAATGGACATGCAGCAGTGTTTACATTAGGTTGTTTATGATCATGTAAACAATAATCTATTCTAGTTTTTTTTGTAGATTACCATGACATCATCAAAAAGCTTCTTGTCATCGAGACTGCGGTCCTTCACACATCCTGACTGACTCAAGTAATGAAATAACTCCGGGGAGTCTTCCAGAAAATATGTTTCTAAAACCACAGAGACATATCTTATCATTCAGTCCTTCAAAATGGCTTCGTGTTTTTATTTGATAAATCAGCACTGTGTGTATTTATTTGCACTGTTTATTCATTCACCCTTTTCGCTTTTACTAGCCCCAGCCAGCAAAGCATAAAATATATGGTAGTTCCTCTCTCCTGGATTCTGCCTTACCACTCGATTCTGGAAGAAGAGATCAGATCACAGATGCTGAGTGGGCGAAATTCTCACTTTGGCATAAAGACACTTTCTCTACAAAATGGTGGAGTGATTCTGCCTTTTACAATATATCCAGTGCCAAACTGTATTATCAGAACAACAGTAGGATTTATGCTCTTAGCACTTTAGCACAGAATATTGGTTTCTGGTAGTTAGACGTGAGTCAGACAGCAAGGTTTACCTTTTCAAGTAAATCTGAAGGGGCAAAAATTAAGGGAAATGCAGACACATGAAACAGATGAGCTGAATTATTAGACCCCCTTTTTTATTTTTCCCCATTTTATGTTTAACAGAGAAGATTTTTTTCAACAAAATCCTAAGCATAATAGTTTCATAACTCATTTCTAATAACTGGTATATTTTATCTTTGCCTTGATGACAGTAAATAATATTTGACTAGATCTTTTTCAATACACTTCTATACAGCTTAAAGTGACATTTAAAGGCTTAACAAGGTTAATTAGGTTAACTAGGCAGGTTAGGGTAATTAGGCAAGTTATTGTATAACGATGGTTTGTTCTGTATAGGGGAAAAAATTTAAGGGGCGAATAAAATTGTCCTTAAAAAAGTGTTTACAAAATACGAAATAAAAACAAAATAAAACAAATAAGACCTTCGCCAGAAGAAAAAATATTATCAGACATGCTGTTAAAATTTCATTGCTCTCTTAAACATCGTTAGGTAAAAATTTTAAAAAGGAAAAAAATTCAAAGAGGGGCTAATAATTCTGACTTCTGTATTTTTTTTACTAAAAATTCCAAAAAAAATGCATGACTGCAAATGTACAGATATGAAAGGATACAGTCAACGATGCATCCTCCCTGAATGTTCCCGCTTTGAGAGAAATGAAGCTGAATGAATTTCCCAAAGCGACTGGAGTTGTTGTTGTAAACTGTTTTGGCATTTCCAAAGGCTTCCATGATGGGGCTGCAAAAGAATGAATAATGTAAAGGTTGTGCATTTGTGTATGCATACTGCGCTTATTTTGTATCTCTGTACTTGCACACATTGAAATACTATTGGGAAAGAAGGGGTTAACAGTTACTTATTGTTTTACATGAAGAGGGCCCCATCTGTTACCTTAAATATATATATATATATATATATATATATATATATATATATATATATATATATATATATATATATATATATATATATATATATATATATATATATATATGTTATTGTGTATGTAGAAGAAGCCTGTGCACGAGGTCTGGTTGTATGTCTCTGTGCTCATTTATTTTCTGAATGTTTTTCACAGACAATAATTCACTGAGAGATTTATAAAGGTCGTTATTTATTTACACGATGCAGAAGAGATGCAAAAGACTAATTACATTGGTGCCGTGACCCGGATGGGAGTGAGGTTTAGTGAAGTGCTGTGCAGGTAAACCTCACTCCTCTGGCCTTTAAAGGAGCTCCAGCGACAGACGCTAGGGGCCATAGTCTTTAGCCTCCTTGTTAGAGCAACTGACTACCATGCAGAAAGTCGCTAGTTCGATCCCAGCTCAGAGTGGGTTGGGTGGTGTAGGACTGGCGGGGCTACATGTGCATACTATATAAAAGTGCTTAGGCTGTGTGTGTTAAAGGGATACTGGTGATAGTCATCATTTACACACTTATTTGAGTTTGTTTCTTCTGTTAAAGACAAATGAAGATATCTTGAAGAATGTTACAAGCTGGTAGCCACTAACTTCCATAGCATATTTTCTCTTTCGATTGAAGTCAATGGCTCTAATGTCTTGGTACCACTTTATACTAAGTGGTCTTAACTACCATGTACTTGCATCAAAAAATAGCTGCAATGTACTTACTGTGTTCATAATGCATTGCAGAACACTTTTGGTGCTCTTGAGGTGGAATATGGGTAGGGTTAGGGACAGATTTGGTGGTATGGGTAGGTTTAAGGGTGGGTTAAGAGATGGTCAACAGGGTAATTATGAATCTACTTGCATAAATTAATTACAGATGTAATTACAATCAGGTATTTAATCATAAGTACAATGTAAAACATGCATTTACAGATTAAGTACATTGTAAGAAATTATTAATTTCGGTGTAAGTACATATTAGTTAAGGCCACTAAATATAAAGAGGCCAAGTTTTTTAACATAAATAAATTCATAAAGATTTTAAAACAATTGAGTTTGAGAAAATGAATAGTAAAGTACCATTTTTTGGGATAAACTCCACGTGTTTTACCTGCTCTGGACGATAGCCTGCTCCACACGCGTGCTCTTCTCGGTTGGTGGCGTCCCCGCAGAGTTTTGGCTCATGACAGACAAGAACTGCAGCAGTAGTTTGGTGCTTTCTGTTTTCCCAGCGCCACTTTCTCCACTGTTAAACACACGCATACACACAATCATGTATGACCTTCACAGACATTTGTGCTGCCCTGATTGTATTTGCAATGCTGTGAAATCTGATAGCAGCTTGTGGCATGGGTATATAGGCCACAACCGCGCAAACTCAGCCTTCAGGTTTAACACAAATGAGATTAGTGAACTCTAACAATGGATAGCCATTAGTTCTCAGTCAGTAAGGGAGACTAAAAACATTTCAAACCTGACTCACAGTGTTTATAAGCTTCAAAACAAGATGCAAGTGACACAAAACACCACTAAACTATTCTAGTAAGAAGTGTTTAATGCAGTAGAACAGAGAACACAAAGGCGAATTAATGATTTATGTATTTATACTGGATTCCATTGTTGTTGTCATTGGACCAAAATTGTAGTCAGTAAAAACACTAACATAATTTCATGGTTCTCTGAACTAGTTTTATTATCTTGAAGTTATTTATAATAATGATCAAGGCTTGACATAAACACCTGCCAAACTGCCAAATGCCTGTAGATTTCAGTGGTGGCGGATAAGACAGATACTAGCACTAGCCACTTTGGCTGGTTGAAAATAATTTTCCGGGATAATAATTCTTAAAAGCAGGGTTCGATATGCATGTAAAGGCGATCTTAGAATTGAGAAGCAACACGACTGCCAAAAATAATTGTGTTCGCGCAAGCAATAGAGGGCAGGTGGATACCAAATGAGAGGATGATCACTCGCACTAATAGCTAAGGTGATGTGTGGGACTGTTTAGAAGTGTCTTGAAGAATATCTAGTCTAATATTATTTACTGTCATCATGGCAAAGATAAAATAAATCAGTTATTAGAGATGAGTTATTAAATTATTATGATTGAAATGTGTTGAAGAAATCTGCTCTCCGTTAAACAGAAATTGGGGAAAAAATAAACAGGGGGTCTAATAATTCAGGGGGGCTTATAATTCTGAAATTAACTGTGTGTTTGAGTGTGTATACACACACACACACACACACACACACACACACACACACACACACACACACACACACACACACACACACACACACACACACACACACACACACACAGTCAAATAGCTATTAACTTCTTTTTTTTTTTGGTGGGGCCAGTGAAAATTTTGGCAGGGCAAGTAAAAATCAGAACCACTGGTCCGATCGGGCCAGTAGAAAAAATCCTTAGCGTTGAACCCTGATTGAGCAAGCTCATACACAACACACAAAAAGTGAATGTGTGAGGAGGCATGTGGCGATAACACAAAATTTAAATCAAGTAATTTTAGCATGTCAAAGTCATATTTATGTGTATAAAATATATTTTCCCAATAATGAAATTGTGGCTAGTAAAAATGGCGAGTGGCTTGTAATGTTGGAAAATCTAGCCACATACTTCCCATACTGATAAACTTCCGGTGAACAGTTCATGTGACTTCTTTCCATTTTATACAGTTCCATCAATTTTGTAATGTAATTAAAATACAATCCGTTACATAAACTTTTGGATTCATTTAGTTGCTCAAGCGTAAAACAAGGTATAAAGCTGTGTCCCTCAGGATCAACAGGCTAGCGCAAAAGCTCCATTATCGCAGATTTTTAAAGAAAACAGACCTTAAACGCGCTGATTTTGTAATGGCATACAGTTCAAAGGAAGCACTTAACCCAGGTTACTGACAAATTAAAAGTCCTTCCGCATACTTCTGCATATACCCTATACGTAGTGTGTGGTGAGTGCACTATTGAGTTGAATTATTTATATTTTTATGATTATGCACATTGTTTATTTACTCAAACCTTTTCAAGCAACACGTTTACTCACTTTTTAAAAAATCAAATCAACTAATAACTTTTAAAGTAAGGGGTTTGCTTACAGTTGTAAGTAAAGTCAACTAATTGTTTTTTTTACAGTTTACAAGTTAATATTATACTAAAACTTTAATACCAGGGTTTCTGCAGGTTTCACAAAGTCAAATTTAAGACTTTAAGACACTTTTCAGACCATCAAGAATGAAATTTCATACTTATATAGGGTTAAACGCTAAGGATTTTCTAAATGACCAAGCACAAAAAAAAAATATTTACTTGCTCCATCAAGAAACAAATTCTTATTGGTAATTTTTTGGTCACATATTTTAGATAATGTCCCAAATCAAGCAGACCCTGGTTGTACACATGCAAATTAAACTTAAAAAAAGCTCTCGAGTTTGTCTTACAGCATTTTAATGTAAAGAATGATAATGTTGTGTATATGTATTAACTTCATTTTCATTTTTTATCAAGCCTCACTTGGACAGGTGCTGAGAAATAGTAAGTCTGCTAAAACACTTAAACAAATGCATTTGGATTGCCAGTGTAATTGTGATGTCAAATAAACAATAAATAAAATAACATTAGTTATAAATAGAGTTTTGATAAATGTTTAACTGAGAGGTATTTTCGGGCGATGCAGTGGTGCAGTGGGTAGTGCTGTCGCCTCACAGCAAGAAGGTCCCTGGTTCGAGCCTCAGCTGGGTAAGTTCACGTTTCTGTTTGGAGTTAGCATGTTCTCCCTGCATTCGCGTGTTTTTCCTCTGGGTGCTCAGGTTTCCCCCACAGTCCAAAGACATGTGGTACAGGTGAATTGGGTAGGCTAAATTGTCCGTAGTGTATGAGTGTGAATGAGTGTATGGATGTTTCCCAGAGATGGGTTGCAGCTGGAAGGGCATTCGCTGCGTAAAACATATGCTGGATGAGTTGGCGGTTCATTCTGCTGTGGCGACCCCTGATTATTAAATCGAAAAGAAAATGAATGAATGAATGAATGAGATGTATTTTTGGTGATGGATCGATTGGGTAGCTTTACAATAAACAAAGTAAAATTAAGACCCGTTTAAAGTGATTTAAGACCTACAAGACAATATTTCAGATAATTAAAAATTTTTAAGGCCTATAATTTTGTTTTTGAAATTGAAGATATTTTACGACTTTAAGACCCTGCGGACACCCAGCAGTCAACTTTATCAGATGAAATGAGTGTAATCAACTCAAAATTGACTGAAAGTTAATTTTACTCATTTGAAAAGAGTTTTGAACTCAGTGTTGAAGGTAATGAGTTAATTAAATACCTTATTACTTCAACTTAAATGGAATAAGTTCACAGTACTTATATAGATTAGCTTGTTACTCAAATGGTTTGTAGCAATCGGTTTCCTCAAATGGTTTGAGTTGTCTTAACTTGATGGGTTTTTACAGTACTCAGTTGGTTTGAGAAATATTTATTTATTGAGTTTTACTGTGCTCAAATTGCTTTGTTTACTCAAATGGATTAAGTTCACACTACTCATCAGGATTAATTTTTGAACTTAAATGGCTTGTTGCAATCGGTTTCCTCAAATGGCTTGAGTTACCTGAACTTCTTGGGTTTTACAGTGTAAATAAAATGTGACTGAAACATTTTCATGTGGAAAAAACTTTTATCACGTAAAATCTTTCAACGTAATAGTTATATTTATCTGTATTGTTATCATTCAGCTACTTACTGACTCTTATTTTTATAAAATATGAAGATAAAGTCATACTTTACAAAGCACATTTAAAACAAGAAAGTATTTGTATGACTTGTATTACCTGATCAGCACACACTGGCTATCATGTCTCTTCCATAAGCAGCGGTAACACTCATTGGCGATAGCAAAGATGTGTGGCGGCAACTCGCCCAGATGATGCTGACTGTACAGCTCCACTGCCGAGAGATCATACAGCCCTTTGATCTGCTTATAGGGATTCACAGCTGCCAGGATAGAACCTATATTAGTCTGAAAGACAATGGAAAAGAAGCAGTAAGTTAAATTGTGCTGAGTAGAACAAAGTCAGCACACTGAAACAAATGCACACACTTACAATCAGCACACATTTTAATTCACACCTACAGATAATGGGGACATTTCAAAGGGAACTTCAATAACCAGGATGTGATCAGGTCATACACATGCGTCAGGGTCAGTGGGCCATGAGAGGATTGTATGTGTGGAAACATAAATCCATCTCATTTACCATTGAATGCATTACTGCGTGCTGGTCTTTATAATATGCTCATGGGTGGGTGTGTGTGATTGTAATTCTCATAGATTGAGGCTAACAACAGCCATGCTCACCCGTTGCCACCTGCAGTAATATGATTTACGGATCTTAGCAACAGCATAGTGATGAGATTAAATTGGGATTTCCTGGAAATGCACTACTAAATGCAACAATATAAACACTATACCAGGAGAAATGGAATTAAAACCAAATCTATTACAAGCCTTATAATAAAAACAACTCATGAACAGGATATATTCATCATCACACTGCTAGGTTCAACTGCAAGAGTCACCAGTTAACAGACCACAGTTCCATCTGGACTGAGAGGCAACATTTGCCAATTTTAGCATTTCTAATGTTTAAATGAGCAGCGCAATGTTTACAACTATATTTAAAGGAAAGTAGCTTAAGTGTGCTTGAATCACTTCAAAGGAGCAGTTTGGAAGTCTGAGGTCAAGAGCACTCTGAAGCAGATTTTCATTCAGGATGTCTCTGTAGATTGCTGCATTTATCTTTCAGTACATCCTGACTAGTTCCAGTTCCTGCTGCTGAAAAACATCCCCACAGTATGATGCTGCCTCCACAATGCTTCACTATAGGGATGGTATTAGCCTGGTGATGAGCGGTGCCTGGTTTTCTCCAAATGTAATGCCTGGAATTTGCTCCAAAGAGTTCAATTTTAGTCTCATCAGACCAGAGAATTTTGTTTCTTATGGTCTGAGAGTCCTTTAGATGCCTTTTGGCAAATTCCAGGCGGGGAGCGGCTTCTGTCTGGCCACTCTACCATACATGTCTGATTGGTGGATTGCTGAAAAGATGGTTGTCCTTCTGTAAGGTTCTCCTCTCTCCACAGAAGAAGGCTGGAGCTCAGACAGAGTGACCATAGGGTAATTGATAACCTCCCTGACTAAGGCCAAAGTAGAATATTATGATAAGAAAACATCAGGTTGCAAGATCAAGCTGCAGAACAAGCTGTTTTTAACATCTAAAAATTAATGGAAGTGAATGACACGGAAGTCTCAAACCAAAAGGATTTGAATGAGGTCACATACATAAAGGTCAATAGGAATAAATCAATTAGCATTGACTTAAAGGAATAGTTCAACCAAAAAAAGATAATCCTGTAATCATTATAATTGTTTCATCTTTTGCAGATATTGTGAAAAATGTTGGTTGCTGGCATCCATTGACCCCCATTGTATTTTTTCCAATACTATGGAAGCCGATAGGTGCCAGCAACCAGCATTTTTTAAAATATCTTCTTTTGTGTAGGAGATGAAAGAAACTCATGAAGGTTTAAAACCACATAACAGATAATAAAGCTGCCACTGCCTATATCAGAACAGTATGAATACGCCTCACAGCAAGATGGTCACTGGTTCGAGCCTCGGCTGTGTCAGTAGGCATTTTTGTGTGGAGTTTGCATGTTCTCCCTGTGTTGGAGTGGATTTCATCAGGGTGCTCCGGTTTCCCCCACAAGTCCAAAGACATGAGATAAAGGTGAATTGGGTAAGCTAAACTTATTCGTAGTGTATGTGTGAATGGAAGTGTTTGGCTATTTCCCAGTAATGGGTTGCAGCTAGAAGGGCTCTGCTGTGTGAAACGTGCTGGATAATGGCGAGCACAGAGAAATAAAGGGACTAAGCCGAAATAAAAATAAATGAATGAATGAATACCAAACAATGTGATATATATTCAGGCCTTTTAATAAAGAATTCAGCTGATGTGTGGTTGTTTGCTGTTTCAAACTAGTTTAAAATTTAGTTTAGTCTAAAAATTACTTATTTTAAAAATGGTTAATCAGAATTTGGAACCAAAAATGTACACATGGGAAGGTTAATAAATTAAGATTATTAAATATTATGAAGGTACCATTATTAAATATTCTGAAAACCAACAACAACTATAATCATACTGAAAACTTTCAGTATGCTTCTCTCTGTCGCAGTCAACCCTTACAATGAAATATCCACTGGCATTACAGACTCATTCTGTGCATTCAGCAGAGGCCAAGTTTGAATGCTTGATCTATAAAGCAGACAGTGAGTCACAGCAGTCCCTCCAGGCTACAACTCTAAACCAGCAGTCTGGGATGTATGGCTCAGTTTAGACCAATGAGCGTACAGCTGTCTGTCCCTGAAACCTGATCACATGACTCTTCTCTTTGGCAACATCATCACTAAGACCCTTATAGTGACACATTTATTTACACATGTCCCGAGGGCCTAGTCTTTGATTTCTCTCTTTATCTCTCTCATTCACTTACATGCGCACAAACACTGATGCAATGTGTGAAATATACCCACATATTTACCCACATTAGAGCATTCTCAACTAGGTTTGGGTACAGAAGCCCAGCAGTACCTAGTGGTTTAGAGTGAAAGATTGTAGACTTTTGGTGCCACTTAAATGCCTTAACTGTTTGAAGGGAAACATGTTTTTATATGATGAAATGAGTAGGCTATATTCTGAATCTGTACAGTTTGTAACGTAATTAATGATTGTTTAACCTGTGCACACAGCACTTTTGTTTCTAACCGTGCACATTTGATGAATGAGCAGCTTGCATGTGTGCTTGTAATTGTTCACAAGATGTCAGCACTGAACCGGGCTGTTGTTTGCTTCACAGATAGAGCGCCCTAACACCCCGAGCAATAAGGCGCAAGACCTGTTTGGTGCGATTTGTTGCTATTTTCAGACCAGCACAACCCTATAAGTTAGATGTTTTGCCCCACGTTGTTTAAATGGCAAATCCATTCGCACCATTTTGTGGACTCATGGGTGTGCTGGTCTGAATTAGAGGTGTGTTAAGGCGCATTGTTGGCGCGTTGCTATTTTAAAGAACTGAAATATTTTAAAGAACTGTGCCTCTGACCATCTAAAAGCAGGTTTAAAGTCCAGTGCAGAGTGCGTTAGTTACCCGCCTATGTGGGTTTAAATGTTTACACATTGCTTAATACACACATGATGTACAACAATACACAAATAACTTTACAAATGAAAAATATAAAGGATTAAAATGATACAAAAATTATGATTTTATACATAAATATAAATACCGCAGCTTCTATGCCTTCTTCATGCCTCCATGACTTTTTTAAGTTTATTCATGACAATTTGCTTTTGCATAATGTTATTATTATTAGCAATATTATTTATTATATGCATATTTAAATTTGTTTTAATAAAAACAAGTTTAGATTTGTCCACCTGTTGGGTTTTGGAGACGTATGAATCACCATATGGGGCAAAAGTATAGGACGTGTTTAGAGCTCAGTTTTTTGAGCACACTTCATTATTATTGTTCATTTATTCGTTTGCTGGAAATTAGAACTGAACATAGAAATACTTTTGAAACAAACCTTTCAAACGAAATCAAATGTGTAGGCTAATGGATGTCTTCAGTGGAGTGCGTACAACACCGTTTCCTTATCCACAGAAGTAGATTAAGTAAGAGATAAAAGTAGATAGAGTAAAGTAAGAGATAAAAGTAAAGAGAAAGAGAAAGTAAAGAGGCCGAATGAAGGAGACTCGTTCTTTATCCTCGCGCTGCAGATAGTGTTTGGGTGCTTTAACATTTGTAGTTCAGTTCATTTGGTCTGGACCAAGGGCAACAAATGGTGCACTGTAGCATTTTCTGCCGTCTTTGGGTCCTTTTCACACCACACTGATTGCACTGGTCCGAACCAGTTGAAAAGAACCAAAATGCACACATGTGACAAAATCCACATCACTCATTGGCCAGATGTTGTTGAACATATTTCCTAAACTGCTTATCGATTGGTCAAAATTCACATGTGGGAAAATGCTAATGGAACTCTCGCAAGTAAACAAACCAGCAGAGAAAATGTCGCTTTTGACTATGGAGCTACGGCTGCGGTGGCTGATTATATCCCTGCTCACAGTATACTATATAGTTTGTATACATCACTTTAGACAAAATATACATTTCAAGAATGAAGCACGGCTGAAAAACAATGCTTTAATGCATTGTAAATGGCAAAGGCGCATCGCACGTCAGTTCAGGAGGAGGCGTGAAGTAATTTTACTAAACTGCAACATGGTCATCTTCCGGAAATATTACCAACAATCCATCAGGTAATGTTTTTCCCTCTTTCTCTCTGTTGGTAAAGCGCTGTCAACAAATAATTTTCCTCCTCATCCCGTAATACACAGCGCATAGGCCTATGGCAGCTGCATTAGTCCAAAAAGGTGCAGTACTTTTTGCGGTTGGGTCTTTTTTGGTTCGGATCATATTCTCACCACAAACAAACTGCTCCAAGGTTTGTTTGAAAGCCTACAGAGACCACCACTTCAAGGAGGTCTCGGTACGCTTTTTTGGTGTGCTTTTGGTGCATGCTTGCGATTGTTCCATTTACACTTGCCCACTCGAACCGCACCAAGAGGGAAAACGAACTTTAGTGCGATTCAACCAAACTAAATAAGGCAGGTGTGAAAGCACCCTGTTTTCTCGCTAGTGAAGCGTTGTTATTTTTTTTTTACTTATAAAGTAAAAAATAACAAATGCACCATGGTGTGACACAACTGACTCTAACAGGGAATAGGAGATGAGACTCTGATTGATTTAATACACATTGTGTTTAAAACACACCCATAACTTATTGAGAGAATAAGCTCAACCCTGTTAGAGCATGCGCCAGGGCGCAAAGCTTATTTTTCCATCCTTACAATAGCAAAATTGGATTCAAACACACACTTAATGCATTCTTTAATAATGTCATAAGATTGCTTTGAAAATCTTTTTTAGAGTATCAGTTTTAGGTCCTTTTTAGACTTTGATGCACAATTTTAAAAGTATCGATTTAGTGCAAGTATAAAAAAACTGTATTATGCTAATAAACTAAAATAAGCTGTGTTAAAAGTCAAATTAAATTGATATAGTTCCAAAACTGTCATCTGAACATCAAGTCATCATCAGTGTCAAATATAAATGATCTCTTTTGATATAATAAAATGACTCACTTTAAAAATTGAAAAAAATTGTTATAACATTCACTTACTGTAGTTATGCTATCATTTACAGTACATATTGAATTACATACATTTTGCTCGAAAAACTAGTTTGAGATGTACATATAAGGTTTTGGATGTTTTTCTTTAAGAAGGAAGAATCTCTAATCAAACAGGGTTTCCTTCCAGTCTGAGGCTGTCATTCTGCTAAACTAAAGCAGGAAACTCCAGTTCCTCTCTTAGCCGGTCTGAGATCTGTCCGCCCTCAAACTCTGAATGCAAAACAACACACGACTGATTACACAGGAAAGAAAAGTGAACACTTATGAGAAGTGAACACTTATACTAACTGCCATCCTGACCTACTTTTTCCCAAAGAAAATTGGAGAGATTTGTGTGAAATCTACAATATTAACAGTAATCCCCATAACACTTTGATGTAGAATATTGGCATACTTGTGTCTGTTTTAATATTGGTCAGTAGCATACGATATAGATGGGAAAGAAAATGATGTGGCAGTGAGATCAGAAACTGATAAGCTTGATTTAAACTAACATGCACACAATAGATCCAGAGCTCAGTGTGTTGGAGTATATGTAATTCAAAGTCATGTGATCACAATTTTTCTGAAGACAAATCATACTGTAATAGTAAAGGATAAAGGATAGGTTTATGCTTAGGAAAAAACAGTTTATGCATAAAATAAATCCTATCAGTTTTAATTGGGAAATGTACAAAATATAATTTACTTTAAAGTTTTGTTTCAATCCATTTCAGTAATGATTTTCATAGTTACTTTTCATATTTATATATACTACTGTTAGGGCTGGAGCTCTAGGCAAACGAAGATCATGCCGCTCTCACTGGGTTCATGCCGCCCCACTTTTTGGTCCCTGACGGAAGTGAAGAGCTGGGGGGTGGGTTTGTGGTTGGGGGCCGGGGTTCAGGGTTGGTCTCGTGTCACCCTCCGTAAGATGTCGCCCATATAGCTCATGCCTAAATCTGCCACTATCTACTGTTATAACTTTTCGGGTTGGATTGAGGTTTAAATGTTTTTGAAAAAATGTTAGTTCTTAAAGCACAACTACTTTACTAATATTGTTAAATATTGTCATAATTTAAATGGCAATAATTTTGATGATAAAGGTAAGCGTTCAGCTTGTGGCGCGAAAAGATGGCGGCTTCATTCCGCCCGGTTGCGCTGGTGAAATGCAGCCATATGTAGCTCTGGCTACATAACTCGTGCTCTCCAGAAATGTATTTGGGGCTATGTATTCACAATGAGCCCATGCTGAACAATTAATATGGGCTGAATTTAAACAAAGAAAATTAAGTTGAACATTACTAAATTTAATTTGCTTGTTTAAATTCAGCCTATTTAAATTGTTTGCAAGCACTTATCTTAAAAGAATGAAGTAAATCATTTTTTCAGGGTGGATAATTTTGAGTTTGTGTGCCTTACGTAGATGTTGTCTTTCTGGTATCGCTGATGAAGGTTGTGCATGATGGCGGCCTCGTGGAGCTCTGCCAGCGTGGACATGTCCTCCACTCCATCAATGCTGCTCTGGTGCATAGCAGACACCTTCTCCCTGTTCACCTCCGCCTGCTGCAGGTACACCACCTGCAAGACACAATCACACACAGAGCGGACTTAACAAAATAACACTAACCCCAACCTGCTCAGACATACACACACCAACGCAAGAGTAGTACTTCACAAAAGGGGAGAGGATCCTGCCTGGGCCATTTTTAAGGGAATGCCCAGAGTTGAATAATGCATTAGTCAGACGGCAGGGTTCATGCTTTTCTGTTCAGCGTGCTGAGGCCTTTCTCTACCCTTTATGCCCACCAAGCACATCCTAACAAAACCACCAGACACTCTGCCAAGTGTGGAGTACAGTCTGGCCTATTTAAACTCAACAAAGGAGGGAAACTATTAGGCTACATGTTAACCTGTGTGGCTGAGAGCAGGAGTCCACATTAAACCTTTTACACGCAAGTTAAAATACCCCTGATGATGAGTTTTTTAATGTGACTGTTAGGGCTGGGCGGTATAAAACGTTACCATGGAATGAAATGTGTACCATAAAATAATTTTTAATTCTGTGTGTAACATGACAGTGTAAGGTCCAGCCAGTTGGTCCAATGACGGTATCCAATGGTGGATGAAGGTTCACTGCATGTTCGGTCTTTCCAGTGCACAATGTTGATTTATATTAAACTTAACTCATATCTGACTCCAATTTTAGTATGAGGTGGTTTAGAATATTAATATATTTATCCTCGTTTTATCTGACTCCAATTATAAAACATTGAGAAGGTTATTTTGTTTCCGTTCACATTAATTTAAATTATGATTGAATATTCTCTTCGGTTCATCATTTTATGTTATTCTCGTTCATTGGGATCTCTATAACATCCTGAATCTTGTACCGGCCGAGTATACAATTTCTTAAGCACAAGCATGTCAGGATATTTTTTATGCGGTCCCCATAGGTCTGCTACCTCCTAAATCAGACAGAGCTATTTAGTCATATAACGATCATTACTATAGAATTAAGCAGACCAGTCGTACTTAAACTAGTAGTAACTTTGAATAATCACTATACTATCTAAATAGTATTAAAAGTTTATCGGGTGAAGGACTATCTCCTTAGATATCCTTTTACAGCCTAAGTATACATGAATAAATGCCAATTTGTTAGTCGGAGCTCTAGAGACATCGTATAGCGTGCCGCAATGCTCCGTCTACCGTGTCCTAGTCCGCTACTAACCTGAACAGGGGCTTGTGGTGCTATGAAATTACCACAATCTACTAAAGATAATAACACGAACTCTGTTTGAAATATTACAACATGTAAAAAAGTGTGTGTGGCCAACACACGCGAAACAATTGCTTTGTATTTTCAACAAAAAGTGATAACTTAGTTTGAATATTGTATAAAAATTGTGACTTATATATTATATATTTTGTATTTTTGACGGTAAGTTTTTACATTTCCTTGAAGTGTTTCATATTTATATTTTCATATTATAGTTTTATTTTCCTGTTGCTTGAGATATATTTGATATCTTTGAAAATATGTTACTTGAGAAATGTTTCAAATAGGGCTGCACAAGGTATTTTCTCAGCATTGATATCACAACGTGTGCATCCGCAATAGTTACATCATATAGATATGTAATGTTGACTGCAGAGTTTAACCACAGTGGAGTGAAATTTTATAATTTGCATGTTTTTAAGGTCTTTGAGAAGTATTCAGGCACAAAAAAGTTAATCAATTGGAAGTTAAAGAGAATAATTTTATTAAATTACTTATAGAGTGTGTACATTTTACATTTACAAAACCTTAATAAATCATACACTGTTAAATTTACATTTATCTTTGCTTTTATTGTATTTATCTATGCTTTTAATTTGTTTTATACGTTTTATGCATGATCCCAAATATTCATTCATTCATTTATTCATTTTCTTTTCAGCTTAGTCCCTTAATAAATCCAGGGTCGCCACAGTGGAATGAACCGCTAACTTATCCAGCACGTTTTATGCAGCGGATGCCCTTTCAGCCACAACCCATCTCTGAGAAACATTCACACACACTCATTCACACTCATACAATATGGATAATTTAGCCTACCCAATTCACCTGTACCGCATGTCTTTGGACTGTGGGGGAAAACGGAGCACCTGGAGGAAACCCACATGAACGCAGGGAGAACATTCAAACTCCACACAGAAGCGCCAAAAAAATATTAATAAGAAGCTAATTTGGAGTTGTTTCCCAGAAATGGGTTGCAGCTGGAAGGGTATCTGCTTTGAAAACATATGCTGGATAAGTTGGCGGTTCACTCCACTGTGGCAGCCCCAGATTAATAAAAGAAACTAAGCCGAAAAGAAAATGAATGAATGAATGAATAATTGGGAGTTTATTAAAGCAAAAGTCATACTTAATGGTTTTGCCAATAGTAAGAATTGAACCTTAAAATAAACTGTGACATTAAATCCTTTCCAAACAGTGCTATTCAAGTCACTTGGTAAAATTATATAGAAACAGTATATCGCTGTATATACAGTTAAAGTCAGAATTATTAGCCCCCCTGAATTATTAACCCCCCTATTTATCTTTTCCCCAATTTCTGTTTAACGGAGAGCAGATTGTTTCAACACATTTCTAAAATATTTGTTTTAATAACTCATCTCTAATAACTGATTTATTTTATCTTTTCCATAATGAGTGTAAATAATATTTTACTAGGTATTTTTCAAGACACTTCTATACAGCCTAAAGTGACATTTAAAGGCTTAGCTAGGTTAATTATTAGAGGTGTGAACCTACACTAGTCTCACGGTTCGGTTCGATTACGATTATCATGCCATCGATTCGGTTCAATTCGATATTTCGGTGCATCACGGTGCATTGACGGTGCTTTCCATACACAGTTTTATATTTTCTTCACAGCAACATTTCTTGTATTAAAATGTATGAATATATTTATATTTATATACTGTATGTAATACAATTTTGTCATTTAATACAAACAGTCAGATATATAAACTGTAACTTTAAACAAAACGAGCATTTAGCAAATAATATAAACAAATATAAATATCCAGCTCAATTTCTGATCCGTGTCTAGTTCTCTTACACCCCTTTGATTGGTCACACCCTCAAAAAAAAAAAACGGTCGCGATTGGTTCTTGCGCGCTGCGTTCTTCACAGATGAGTGATGCTGATAAGCGGCAGGGGCGATCTCACAGCTGATGTATGATAGACACAGTGGAGAAAACTCTGCAGACACGCGCTCGTTTCTGGATGCAAAAGAAACGCTGTAAAACAGCCGAGAAGAGAAGAAAAACCACGCCAGCAGGTCAAATGGGCCTCTGTGTGTGTGTGAGAAAGAGAGAGAGAGACAGAGAGAGACAGAGACAGAGCGCGTGCGCGCGCGAGAGAGAGAGAAATAGAGCAGGCTACTTTCATTCTCAGTGAAATAGGGGCTATTGTTGTATATGTCAGTGAAAGACTGATCCAGCAAACACACACAGTGAAATTGTGCACAGTTTATGAGTTTTAAGTAGTTAAAGCGCTGTAAATACTCGCGATCGCCTCCCTCGCGACAGAGCGCATATGAGGTAAATGACGTCATAACCGGTTATGATTATTACTGATCCGATACCGAATAGTCCGCGTCTGCATCGCAGTGCACCGAAAAAACGATTATTTTTGACACCCCTATTAATTATGTTAACTAGGCAGGTTAGGGTAATTATCAAGTTATTGTATAACGATGGTTTGTTCTGTAGACTATCGAAAAAAATATTGCTTAAAAGGGCTAATAATATTAACCTTAAAATGGCTTTTAAAAAATTAAAAACTGCTTTTATTCTAGCTGAAATAAAACAAAAAAGACTTTCACCAGAAGAATAATAAAATATTATTAGACATACTGTGAAAATATTCCTTGCTCTGTTAAACATCATTTGGGAAATATAAAAAAAAAAAAGAAAACAAAATTTAAAAGGGGGCTAATAATCCTGACTTTAACTGTATATATATATATATATATATATATACGCTTAAAAAAATAACTGTAAAACTATGAAATGTGTCATACAGTGGCATTTGTTGTTCATCTAATGTCATATTTTGTTTACTATATTTAAAACATTAAAAGTAAAATTCAAAATAATCAAATAAAATCAAGTGGTTTTCTTTACTTAAATATTCAAGCTTATTTATTATAGAAACAGGCTTTTTTGTACATTTTCTGAAAAAGCTACCTTTATAAAAAAAACTGTATTGCGAAAGATATAGTTACCATGAAATAAACTTTCTCATCCCATTAAATAAAATTTAGCTCATACCGCCCAGCCCTCATAAATGTTATTTAGAACACATCGTTTCCATGGCCAAATTAAAAATCGCTCATTTTAGTATTTTTTATTGTTAAAATAAATTCTATACACAGCTTAAAACTCATAAAATGGAAATTCCTAACTCTGAATGTAGCTTATATCATCAACAATTGATCCAAATGAAAGTAAATCTCACAATAAACTCTGCTACCATTCAATCAGCAACCAACGGACAGGAGTTCACTCAGATGTACATTACCGAAAACATGTTTAGCTTCTTTCATTATAGCAAAACATGGGACAATTATAAATATCCTGTCTGTATAAAGATTTCCTCCACGAATGAAGGTCTACTGACTGGAGAAGTGTTTTGGAGACCGAGTCTTTATGCTTTGCACAATTCAGCTTTAATATCCATGTAAATTAACTTTGATAACATGGTCTCTGCTTTATTTGAGTGGACAACACAAAAGGAAGCTACATTCTCTCTCTCTCTTTCTATCTCTCCTTCCCAGCATTCTGTCTATTTAATTTCTGCTGAAACCTCAATCTTGTGCCACCCGTTGCCATGGTAACCAGAGAGAGCAGCCCAGCTCATGAAGAGAGAGTCTGACAGATTAAAAATCAATACAAACACTAATGTGTGTGTGTGCCATTTACTTCAGGTATGGGTTTATGAACTGCGTCGATTCAAACCCATTAAATCAGCCACAAGTGCACACACACCCACACGCACACACATACATGCAAGCAAATGTACATAT